TGAGATATAGCTTGTTGAAAATGGGGGCTTTTTTCTGCGGGGTCGCTAAAATCGTGCACGAGCCGGTCACGTGCACGAGCTGGTCGCCCACGTTAAAGTACGCTAATCCACTTTGGGTACTGCTTTCGTCGCGACGCTTTTCAAGTTGGTTACCAACTTACATCTCATGCAACTTTAACGTCTAGGAATATCTAGGGCCGATTAACCTTTGCTAGAGACAGCAAATGCTCTAACCTTCTCTAGCAACGGTCTAGCAATTTTGTCGTTAGCGAAGGCAAAGATCTTGTGCTTGATTCATTTCTCTTGGGAGAAAGTAGATCATTGCAAAAGGCCTTTGTACCGTGGATATTCTATGATTACCGATAGTACAGTGCAGAAGGCAAGAGTTGCGCTGCCTCTAGTCACCTCTAGAGAATACTAAAGTTTAAAAATATGTTCCTAGTGAGTGGAATACTACTCATTCTGCACAAATAGCTAAGATAATCTTTAGATGCTAAACTGCACATAATGAAGCTTTATGCTTGGCTCATGTGGTATCTGTTCAAAAACCATAAAGACAAAAAGTGATACAGATAGCAGTTTCTTACTTGACTGTTCCCTTCCTTCAATCCCTATCACCATTCGACATGATCCGTCTCCGATTCCCGATCCTGCTCGTCCCCCTTTGCCCACCCCTCCTCATCGAAAACTACCGACAGTTTTTCATCCTCCACCGCTTTCCAATCCTTTTCATTATCATCCTGGGTATCTACCTTCCAAGTTGGTAGTTCGCTGAATTCTTTACTGGTAACCTCTGGGAAACTGAAATGAATATTGACTGAGAAGTGAAAATTTCTGAGGCGACGGCATTTCGACTTCACGGCTCTCACCAGGCCGATGGTCTTTGTACGGGACCGTTTCAGAAGTCCCTCGGGGGCTTCTAGCTTTGTATTCCGTTTTACGGAGACGGTGTCTGGCTCTGGAGGCAAAGCCATTAAGGGTGATATAATCTCAGCGTTCAGCGCCGGTTCGATTTCTGGTTCCGGGAACGGAGTCCAGATGCTCTCATCGTTCAGCGCCTGTTCGACGGCGGCGAGCATCATCTCTATTGCTGGCACCCTCTCCTCGTAGAAGCGGGCCGGTATCTGAAACACTTCGTGTTCCCAGGAGTATCCCCTCCCAGGAACCATGAAATCATGAGAGATCCAGTTTCTGAGGTCCACCATCGACTGGGGCCAGAAATCAGAGACGAGTGGACTCCAGATGCTGTCTGCAGGCACTGTTGTGTGGAACCGCAAATACCGTACGTTCTCGTTCATTGCCGTGTGGCAGGCTAAGATGGCGGAACGAACTTCAACTTTCTTGATGTCATCCTCCGTTGGGTTCTGTTGCAAAAAAATTGTTAGACAGTGGTCTTGTGGTTGGAGCGAGGTCAGACCGTATGTAGCGATGTGGCTGAGGCTGACTTTCATCATGTTCAGGACGGGACGGAGGATCCGAACGTAGGAGCGAGCTCTCTCGGATGAGAGTTGTGCACCGCCAATAACTGCTTCGCTGTATTTGGGTGCTGCGTACTCATCGGCGGTTTCACCGTTCCAGTAACTCAAATTATATGCGAGTTCCATGGCCTCATGGGACTCGAGCTCTTGCTGCTTCGACTCTGAGGTTGCCATCATTGCTAGACAGTGCAAAAAGGTGAATGAACTGAACTCTTCTGGGGAATCTTCGCAGGCCGAGACGATATATAAGCTAATGGTTTCAAAAATATGCGCTAGATGTCTGTTAGGTAGCCAAAGAATAATGCTGATGTATGCCTAACAGAAGGGCGGACAACGAAGTGAATGTAGACTGGGAAATTTGTAGAAATCTTAGGATGTCATGTATATATGTACTTATCAGTCCTTCCGATGATTCAGATGCAGGAGGAAACGTAAAGTCCCTTTTCCCGTTCCTCCGCCGCTGACGGCCGCTCATGACTCACTAGCATTGGACGATTAATAGCCCGTGAAGATGACGCTTCAAACTAGTTAGAATATGTCACTTGTGGAATGATCGCGATTGGTGTCCGGTTAAAAGCCGATGTAGTCCCCGCGATTACGGAGACATTTACTCTATCGAAAGAGTTGAGGACTAATGAGCAAGTGCACATATGGTTACTACACTGTACAATTACCTCCCCGTCCTAGGATGTTCGAAATTTAATAGCTGAACTATGCCGTCATGTTTGTTATAGGATTGTATGGCAGTACTATCACTTAAGAAGGCACATAGGGTGAAGATGTAACACACTAAAATCAATAGGCCGGCACCCCACTATTATAGTACGAATGACAATCGGGCCGTTAGCTAGCGACTCCCCCTCACATGCCATAACACACGCGAATCATAAGACTACCAGGAGGGGTTATATGACTAGCAGACGCAATAACGCTGACGTACACTGTATCCTAACTGTCAGCGCTACCTTACGGTACATCTTTGGTGCGAGATCCCAGTTCTCCAACCGCTGCTCCATCTTGAAGATAAAATATTTTACGTTAGGCAGCGAGATTGATATGACCTTCAGTTATTCCAGTTGAGTGTTTATAGGCTTGTAGTAATGGAAGCAGTAGTGTGTTTTGGACGATCGAACACCCCCGATTTTCTTCGAGTTTTCTGGCCGAGATAAAAGAATCATACCTGTGTATCCGAAACTCGTCCAGTCCATCCCAGCTGGACTGGTGCCTGCATCTCCTGCTTCAACACCGACAAGAAGGATACTCGCAAACTGTGCGTCAGCCGTGCGTTGTCTGCATCCGAGGCACGTGATGTCATGCAAGACTTCAAAATGGTCAAGAGTAGTCTGCACGTGAGAGTTGTGCTTGTCTATAGGGGCTACATAGTGTCTGTAACTGTTAAGTGTTCTGCATTAGCTTATGAATACATGTGTTGAAGTTGACTACGCGGCTTGGGCTAATTGTGTAGAGTGGGAGGCTGAGCCAACGCAAATGCTCGAGCGAAGCCTATAGAATGATATAACTTAAGTAATCACGCCGCCTACAGACTGCAGTACGGAATATGTACGAATTAAACTTGTAGAAAACCGGTTGCTCCAAAACATCCGACGTTTGTTGTTTGCATATGTAGGCAGGCGGAAGTGTCCTTTCCACGGGACCACAGCCTTCACAAAGTCCTAATCAGGTGGGCTTATCCCACACATTTGCTTGCTCCAACACAGTTAAGGAAGATTTACGGTCTTTGCAATGCTGAATCTCCTCCAGAAGCTCCGCACCACAGCGCGGATTCGCAATCACTTGACGCAGGCAGAACCGCATTGCACATCAGATATTGTATACACATAGAGCCCAAACGGAGGTCAGTTCCAGACATCCAAGAATCAATCGTGTGACCTAGGAAACCACTCTTCACCGTACTAGTTTAGTATTTGCGGACAAGACCATTGTTCCCGTATATCCACTGACAGCACGCGAGATGACTTCTACCGACCTCGACAACTGCTGCCTTTTCACCACGCATCCCCCTTTTTGGTCCTATAAAATGTCGGCGCCCCCAGTAGTCGAAACATGTTAAAAAGGGTCCTGCGATCCGGGCCGGGGCTCTGTGACGGGATCTCGCCTGTCATTGACATGTGTGAATGGGTCAGCAGAGTGTTGACCGGGAAAGCCGCGTCCCCGTGATTCTATGGCCGCGAGGAGCCTCTTCTATTGTACGCTGAGTTTCAGCCACGGAGCCGTATGTTAGATCTACACGATCTGTCACAACCCACATATCGACAATACCGCATAACTACGCAATGCATAGTTCCCGAAGTCTGCCGTGGGGTTTTCCGTGTATTGTTTTTGGACACAAGCCGTTCAAAGAGTGGTAACGTTGGGAACTGGTAACGGAGGCGGTAGCCGCTGGGAACCGGTATTCCTTTCGAATAACTATTCATAGAGTAAACTATCATAACTAATGGAGATACTTCCTACAAGAGCTTTTTCAACTGTGACCCTTTCGATCCAACCCTTTCCGTTGTACTTTTCTCTCTGGGTGAGTGCAGGTGGGTCACAATGCAGTGAGAGGTGCTGTATTACAATGCAAAGCGGGAGGTTCCTTCGCCTCCAAGTCCTTCGTCGCATGGCAGATGCAAGGGCTAATTCCCATGACATTCCAAGTAATTGGCACAATCCTATTCCAACCAGGGAAGGCAAACGCTTTGAATTCGAACAGTCAATCGAATACGTCGGGCCGGCCGGTGTGGCTGATCGTTGAACGTGGTGAAGCTCCTCTGAGAGACTTGCACAGATGAGACGGCCTTGCTAGAGCCGTTGTGCAACGCATGTGCTTAATGCGGCATGATACGGGTTCTGCGAAACGGAGTGTTAAGCTTAAAGAAAATGAACTGTCTTGGAATTGAAGAACGAAGCATGTCTTGGCATGCATGTCGAACCTACCGCATTCGTCGGTACTCCGTCGATTGCTGCGAATTTAAGCTTACCTAACTAGTACTATGTATGGTGAAGCTTATTTCATCGTCAATCGAAGAGTGGAAGTGCTGGAGAATTGCGCTCGGTGCACTGATCATAAATAACATTAAGACGTCAGCATAAACATAGCGCCACCAGCGCTGGCATCATCAGATCTACCGTACACCTTCTGAAGCCATAAATCCTAGGGCCAAAGAGTAATGAATCCTCTACGCCTCGAGACAATCCACTTCACCAAAAACGCCGATGATGCCAGACCCCAAGGTATCGTAAGCTGAAGCACCAAAACCGTCGCGAATATGCAGAAACCTGGTGAAAAGCGAGGTGAATAAGGACCTGTACCAACTTACGGGTCCTCTGTCTTCACCCTTTTGCCGTTCGCCTCTTCATTCTCCACTTCCAACTTCCTCTTACCGCTTGAAGCATCGCTGGCTGCAACCGGCGGCTTTTCCTTCTTCCTGGTCTTCACAAGGCCGGAGATGTCATTCGCGGATTTCGTTGCCTCTTCTAGTTTGGCCTTCATGGTGGAAGTATCTGAGCCAAGCAGGCTACCAACGAGGCCTTGGAAAAGTGAAGGATCAATGGCATCCAAAGACGCGGATTTCGGGTCAGTCTTTAGGTCCGCAAGCTGTATGCCGTTAGTACATAGCATGAGCGTGATGGCCGAGGAGCATCTTACCCTTGTCTTGAGATCCTCCAAAGCCCCTTTCTTATCCTTCATCAAAGTCTCAGTCTCTTTCTTCTGCTCCGAAGACAAGGTGTCTCCCGCTAGGACTGTCTCTGCCTTCTTCAAACGAGCCTCGACGCTTCGAATAGCTAGTTCCGTGTGCTTCGCTGCTTCCTCTCGCATGGCATAGTCGATCTCCTGCGCGTCCGGCTGCGGCTTGCCTGTGCCATTACTCGCAGCTCTTTCCTCTGTTTCTGCCGGTTCATCCCCAGCTTTATGCACTGAAGCCATTTCGAGCGCAAGAGAGAGAATATAGTGTGCTTCCGATACGTTCTCGTGCTCCAGCGGATGCAGCTCTTCTTGGAGCGCAAGGGCTTTCCGCGCGTCTTCTATGGCATCGTGGAAACGCTCGTTTTCAAGGGATATCTCAGCAAGAAAGCCATGACAGTCTGCCAGCTTCTCTTTGATCGCCCTAGCCTGCGGACTGAGCTCGGCCTTCCCCTTCCCCTTGTCTCCTTCATTTGCGGTCTCCACCGCCTGCAGTTGTTTCTCGTAGCACACCCGCGCCATCTCAAATATTTCAAACGATGTAGACAGATCATCGTCCTCCTCCCCGCCTTCGCCACCTTCAGCATCCTCCTCTTCTTCCTCCGAATCCGTCCAATTCTCGTCTCCTGTCAGCTGAAAGAATGGCTTGGATGCCACTGTCTCTTCTTTGGTGCCCCCATTCGCCTCCTCTGTCTTCTTCGCCTTCTTCGGCGCTTTCGGCTGCTTTTTATCCTCCTGTGCCACTCTGTTGCCTAGGACATCGCTCTTTTGCAAGCCGACCTTGAAGAGAGCGCGGCCATAAAGGAAGAGCAGCTCTGCATTCTCGGGAGCGAGTTCGCCATTCAATTCGGCTTGGATCTCGGAAGCATCCGCGTAGAGTTCTGCTGCGCTCGCGAAGTTTTTCAGTTTGTACTGAAGGGTGCCAGCGGAGGCAAGTTCGTCGAGCTTCTCTTTCGTGCGCGGTATCTTCGGCGCAGTCGGCTCGGAAGAGACGGGTTGTGTATCCGTCATGGCGACCTGAGTAAGCGAAAATAAGTACAGTATGTGCGCGGAAGATATGCGATCACAATAAAGGCGGGCGCCAGGCTTGGAAGCGTTTCCAGGTGGAAGTAGGATGTTTGTTGGAGGTGGTGAGCTGAAGAAAGTTCACAGAAAGTGCGAAGCAGTGGCCCGTGCACACGCGAAACCGCGGCACGCGTCTACCAGCATTCAGACGCGACTTAAGAAGACACCTTAAGAAATCCCATACAACATAGGGCTCCACTGCTAGATTGATTTTCCGCAGGTTCATGGCGACAACACGACGACTAGAGGAACCTTCAGAGGTCTCCGAAAATCCTATCCCATCCTCATCCCCCGCTTTTGGCACACCTGTGCACCCCATTCCACCCCGCCGAACCGCACCCATTCGTGCACCTCCAGCACTCAGACCAGCAACAAAATCCACCGTTTTACCCATCCTGTTACCACCAGCTACTTTACGCCCTCTTGCCTTCCGAACGTTCACAAAGAAGCACAATTTGACTCTTACTTCATCTGCTCTTCAGGCCCTAGCAACGTTCATTGGGAGACATTGCGGTTCGGGATGGCGAGAAGAAGGCCTAGCGGAGAAGGTGCTAGAGGAGGTAGCAAAAGCATGGAAAAAGAGCAGCGGTCAGGTCATTGTAGAAGGTGATGGTGACTTGCTTAAGAACATCCTAAAGACACTGGAGGGATCCATGAGTGGGGGAAGGATTGTGCAGGGAAGCAATTTGAGTCGCCAGAACAGCTTCAATTTCTCAGTGGACGCCAAGGCACCCGATTTGGGGCCAGGACTATCCCGGCCACCGCTGGATCATAACAACAGCTTCGGCATTTCACGATTGGAGGTAGAAGACAAGGAGGATGAGGACGACCTGTTGAAAGACCCAAGAGAGTGGCTACAGGTGATAGGGGCATTTGACCAACCGAAACTAGTCTACAACACTTCTCAGCGGCATTTTGATAAGTAAGTGACCAACTTGTCCATTACAACCAATTGCAACCTAATCGACATTTCAGAGCAACAACGAAACCAACACTCTTCCCACCACCATCACACAAGACAGAGGCCTTCCGGCAGAGATATCACATAGTACATCAGCGGATTCTCCGTAACGGAACCTTTCAGACCCCAACTTTCTCCGCTGCACGATCAGCCTCACTGAACCGGGCTGGCTCGGCAACAGCGCAGACCAACACTATTACCCCAATTGCCAACCTTCTTGGCAGAAGTGGCAGCACTCATCTTTTACTCGGAATGCTCACAGTATCCCCTACGGGAGCATTGTCGCTCTCAGACCTCACCGGCACGATAGCTCTGGATCTGCAACATGCCCGACCGATCCCAGAAAACGGTGCGTATTTTGCACCAGGAATGATCGTCCTCGTAGATGGGACATATGACGAGGATTACGGGAACCATGCCTCTGGCTCTATGTCCACGCTCGGTGGCACAGGCGGTATAGGGGGCACAATAGGGGGGAGGTTTATCGGGTTTTCCGTTGGCCATCCTCCATGCGAACGGCGGTCGACCACATTAGGAGATGCGGCTGATGACAAGGATAAACTGTCCGGTCCAGCTTTTGGGTGGATAGACTTTCTAGGCGTCGGTTCGCAGCGCGCAACTGGGACGAAAATGTCGCGAATCGCATCCAAACTCCTAGAACCTACAGTTGCCCATAACATCGTCATCGCTTCGGACCTGCACCTGGATGTGCCCTCGACCCTATCCGCTCTACGCACTCTGCTTCGCACATATACGCCTGATCCAACCGATCTCCAACCCCAGTACCCCCATGCCATCATCTTAATGGGAAACTTCAGCTCCAATGCCAGTGTCTCTGGTGTCCCCGGCGCCGGCAGTATAGAATACAAGGAAAACTTCAATGCTCTCGCATCGGTACTCGCCGACTTTCAACAGCTGGTTGCACACACCACGTTCATCTTCGTGCCGGGTGACAACGATGCATGGCCCTCCGCTTTCTCCGCCGGTGCAGCAACACCACTACCCAGAAAGCCTGTGCCGTCGCTCTTCACGAACCGAATACGAAGAGTGGTCGCAGAGGCTAACAGAGAGGTCTGGGGCCCAGGGAAAGCAAAGGGCAAGGAAGGGGAGGTGATCTGGACGACGAATCCAACACGCCTGAGCTGGTTTGGTGTGAAAGGCGATATGGCCATATTGCGCGACGACATTGCCGGGCGGCTCCACCGCACAAGTATACGGTTCGGAAAGCCCGACCAAGATCAGGAAGAGGAGATGCCCGATGCCAGCTCCGTTCCTCAAAATTCGGAAAGTCAGGAGGCCATGGACGTGGATCTCAACCAGCCACCACCGGTAAATAAGCCGCCGCAGGAGGAATTGGATCCGGAGACACAGGCAGCGCGGGCGTTGACACGGACGATATTGTCGCAAGCGCATCTAGCTCCTTTCCCGTTTAGCGTGAGGCCTGTACATTGGGATTACGCGCATACCATGAGCCTGTATCCGCTCCCAACGGCCCTGGTTATTGCCGATGCTGATGCACCAGCGTTTGTGGTGAAGTACTTTGGCTGTACGGTCATGAATCCGGGGCCTATTGATGGGAGTGGTGGTCGCGGGACCAGGGAAGGGCGGGCAAGATGGGTTGAGTATGACATCAATAAGGGTACTGGAGTTGTGCGTTCAGAAGGGTAAATTTTGGGGAATTTATGAATTGGTTATATGATAGAGTCCTGATGCATTAGCATGGCGTCGGTGTTGATGAAGTAATCAGAATCCCCTCTTTGAATAGTATACGCCGCCTAAGTCCCGTCCATGAGAGCATACAAAAACCATTCCGAAAACACCGCCAGCAGGGAAACCTCAGAATAATGGCATTTTGGCCATATAAGCTCAGAATAGTGCTATACCGACCACCAACGCCACGGGATGCAGGAGAAGCCTTCTTTGGCCATAAGAACTCGCTCTACGTTGGCGCAAACAGAGCAGACAAAGAGAGAAAGAGAAAAATTGCGAGGAAGCAAAAAGGGGGACGGTGTCCGTGGGAACGCGGATGAATGTGCAATCTAGCCACCCAAGGGGCTGATAGCACTTAGCAACTATACCGGAAAGCAGATGAGATGAAGCTGGTGACGTACCTTGTATCGAGGATGCTTGCGGAAATGAAGGCCGAGGGTGCTCATCGATGCATGCCAAACATGGCATGGGCATTGCTGATGCCGAAGATGTTGCTCCCAGTGGGCTGCGGCTGGGGAGCTGTCCTCCTTTGGTAGAAGGAAGACATTGTGATGGGAGGAGCAGGCGTGGGAGCCTTTTGAGGCTGCATGATGGTGGGAGCGGATTGTGAGAAGTGGGGTTGAGCCTGCTGGGGGCGAGGCCAAAGGGAAGGGGCGGGCTGCTGGTGAATGGGCGGTGTGGGTTGGGTCTTGTTACGGAAGGGAGAAGGGCAATTCTCAACCTTTTCGGCGAAGAGTTGGTTCAGCTCTGCCATACAAACAGCATCGAAGCCCAGATCGTCGGCCGTGACGCCCTGTTTAAGGAGGGCGTAGAGAGCGTAGATGGTAGCATCGCGGTAATCGTGGTCGGCGGTAGGGGCAAGGAGATTCCTCACGCAGGACAAGACCTTGTCGAAATGTTCGACCTTGGTATTCATCGTTTCGAGTTGAGCTTCGAGCCTTTGGACGTCTTTCTTATGCTCCGTGGAAACGCGGTCAATCTGCGCCTGGAGGTAAGTCTCCTTCTTCTGGAAATCAGCAGTCATTGCGGCGAAATGGGAATTGGCCTGGCTCATGAGTGCGGCGATATCCATATCCTTGCGGCTCAAGGCCTTATTCAGATCGTCAAACTGGGAATTTTTGCCCTCAACAAACATCTGCAAGGCCGTGACAACATCACCGTCAATTTTCAATCCCAGCTTTGTAGCAATGTTGTCGATGACAGCGTTGTTCATGTTGAGGGCCATGTTGAGCTTGGCTATGCGTCGGTCCTTGCTGAGAGACTCCTCCTCGTGTTTCTCGATGAGGCCATTCTTCTCCACGATCGCTTCGTCCTTGGCCTGGCTCTCCCGCTTGAGCTGCTCGATGTGCTCTTTCGCCTCTGCGAGCTCAGTCTCAAGTTCCGATTCTCGAAAACCTGCTGATCGACGGACAGAATTGAGCTTGCCTGTGAGGTGGATCTTTTCAATGACGAGGCCATCCCTTTCCTGCGTCAATGCATCAATCCGCGCCTGCATGTCCTCATTGCCCTGCTGCGGGGTATTGGAGGGTGTCGCTGCTCAGGTCAATATATTTTTGACCAGCACGAACGACTGCGGTTCAACTTACGCTCAGCAGGAACAGTAGGATGACCTGCTTGGTGGGATGTTGTTCGGGTTGGGCGAGATGCTGTTCAGGTTTGGCCGGGGTGGGAACTGCCGTTGGGGGTCAGCGTTTGCAGTCATCTCCACCCATTGAAGTGACTTACGTTCATCGGCGACATTGCGGTGTGTCTTACTCTCGACAAGATACTTGTCCGGCACCGGAAGAGCTTCATAGATCCGTTCGTAGGCAGACCATATGGCAGGCTGAAGTGCCTGCCTGGCTGCGACGAGGTCATGGAGAATGGCGCGGACGGGGAGGTCTTTGAGGATGGTGTGGTAGTCGTCGATGAGGTCGCGAGCGTCTTGGTTGAAGATGATTGGAACGCAGAAAGCGCAGAGCATGCCGGTGTACGCGCTGAAGTTGAAGTATTCCATGGTCATGCCGACCAGGACGATGAAGAGCAAGAATCGAGCCATGCAGAACAGAGTCACCCTGACGTAGCCGCGTTGCTTTGCATAGAAGAGCGCAATCATGTTGGGGATCAGAGGGAGGAGCCAGACCCAGAAGAGCGGGCTGCTGAGCAGAGCGAAGAGGATCGTGAAGAACATGTCGGCGGTTATACCAGCGGAGACGATGAAGACGGAGTGTTGGCGTTCGCAAAAGAGATGCGAAGAGTCGTAGAAGGGCTGAAAGTTGCTGATCGCGTGAGGTTGTGGGCTTCGAGGTCGAAGTGGTTGGGAGGGAGAAAGTTGAAGTGGACGGGACTGTGTTTATATAGGACGAAGGCCGCGCGAGCGAGGGCGGGCGTGACACACAATAGGGTCCATGCTATTGTGCGGTGACGGTCCTGAACAGACTCGAAGAAGTTCTCCCCGTTCGGTTGTGAAAGGTGTGTATCGGCGGAGAGGCCAATGCTTGGCATGTCGACGAGAGGTACGTCGGTGAAAGGCAGTACGCACGCTTAGAGTAATAACCTCGCTCCACCCAAAGGTATTTCCAAATCATGCAATTAAAACACTTTTAGGTACGCGGAAATGACAGTATTGCGTCGACTTCGGGTATAATAGGTCAGTATTGGCACTTTTTTCCGTACTCGGTGGTTTGGCAGTGACGGAACGCAGGAGGGATTTCTTCAACACGTTAACAATGGCGGTTTCAATAATTGTATATATGGTTTAAAGCAATGTCTTAATGACCAGGCTATTGCGGTATATCCGTAGTGAGGCGATGCGTGTGTCGGTGTGTATACAACTCATTTCCCAGGCTTTTTCAACGTGATGAAGTCCAGATGCGGGTGGGGACTTGTGATCAGATCAGCCCTGGCTGTGAGCCACAGGATTATCAAGGTAGCATTTTAACTTGTGACGGCCGAAACAACTCTATATATTGTGTTGATGGAAGACACCGGCTTGAGCGGGTACCCGCACTTGGGACCTAAGCCAGTTTGCTTGTTCAAACATAGCAACGGCCGCATAGAGTGTAGAGCCTACAACGTTTACGTGCGACATAGAATAGACTAGCCAAATCTGTGCGTCATGAGCCGTTGAAAATACCACAGATAACTGTAAAGCACGTCCTCCTCCACTCCTCTCCGCCGGCAACCGCGTCATCCGCTTTCAAACCCACAATCGACTTCAAGAAAGACGGCTCATGTTTGGGGCAGCTAAAAAAACCTGTTAGAAAGCCCCATACGCAAATGACTTGCATGTATAGTCCACGAATGCCACCTGTATATAAATGAGTTCCAGGTTGGTACGTTTCGTCAATGTTTTTCATAATGGTGGTAATGGTTATTGGTGAACTAACACGGAGTGTTACCATAAGTGTGGTAGTTACGATAAGTTTCGGTTTCTTCCATACACGATTCAACTGTTAGGCGTCCTGTTTCCCCTCCGCAGCCGTCTATCTTCATCGCTTTACACGTTCCATGTTTATGCGACTTTGAGTCCTCGCGGTCACAACGTAGGCTTGTACACAGTTGGCGAGGGGACATGACGATTTCAAACCTCTCCTATGCCACATACTTGACTTGCATAGCACAGCAGGGTGTCAAAGAGGGACGGGTCTTCAGTGCTGTGTCTTCATCAATTTGCCCAACACACCAACCGAAGTTTGCCACATATAATTCATAGATTGAGAATGCCAATAGCGCTCAGCATCACCGACTCCATGCCTTCAACATAAAAGACGCAGACTCTCATACCGATGTACACCCGGCTACCCTGGGGGCCAATCAGTCGATCTCCGACGGAGGGTACGCGAAGCGATGACCGTATAAATTTCTCCTGTCTGCTGGTTCTGCTTCAAGTCCACAACTGTCCACTTTTCTTTGTTTACTATATCCAATGTCTCCATGCGATGATCCGGAAAGAGCCCCAGTGCGACTTAGAAGAACGGGAACCTTCGCCTCATGGGGTTATCTCCTGAAAGCCTTATTATTGAGAATTAACTGGTGTATGGCATACTACACGCCTTAATATCAGAGTACAGTGGGTTTCTGATAATAATGATGGTGCTGCTCAGCTCTTCTACAACTACGGACACGACCGGATGCCTGCCACCCGAATGTTTCCATGTGCGAGCTTTTAACTCCTGGAGTAGGTATATAAACATCTTTCTGGCTCCATCCTCCTTTTTCTCCTTCCTAAAAAGGTGTACTTCAGTGGAGAGGTCTTCCTAAAATGAGATACAGTTCGACCCCATGTGTGGTTGGTGTTGGGTTGAGATTTGGCACATGTACGCCAAAATTCAAATCATGGTTTGCATGCTGTGAAGTTGCTAAATGGTAATGATAATAACCGTCATCATTATAACAGCATAATTATCAGTCTGAACTAGCCATGTCACATGTGCTTAGAAAAACTCACAGAGTCCCGTCTGATTCGCCTATATAAACCCCTTCTTCTCCCCAAAGATCGTCCCCAACTCGAGCCAAAGCCTCGAAACCGGAAACCTGGCTGCATTCTACTTGATGTGAAAAGAGCGCAGCTCGACGTCAATAGGCGCCAATACTGACTGATGTTTGGCAATTCCTTTCGCTTTCGCAGAGTTCCCAGGGCTATAGGTTGTAGCTGTGTGGATGCCGGCGGCAAAAATGGAAAATACATTTGGAATGACTTTGTGTTCTCTCATATATCGAGATATATCTAGCCGTTACTGCCCGAATGCTGCGATGTTGAGCAGTATGGTATATGTCCACCACTTACATACATGGCTGTTCATAATCCGCATCATCACCATCACCATCACCATCACCAGCGCTCCAATCAACACATGTGCAGTCGTCGAACAAACAGGAACTTGCAACATGTATCCACCAAAGCTCTCATATAAACCCAGCCGCTATCCACAACACTCAATATCTCCGTCTTCTGCGTCCTCCTTTCTTTCCTCTTTTCAAAGACCACTAAACAAACGAACGATGTGGGCACAACCTCAAAATCGATCCAGCACCAATACATGGAGGAGTGTCCCAGTACCGGAATTTGCCTATGTGCTACGCTCTTTGAGTAGTATTCGGCAACCGTTGGTGGTGATTCGCATTACCGCTGCGTATGCCTCCAAGCTGATGGAAGCGCGCGGAGAATGTGTCCATGATCCTGAAATCGAAGATCTTCTGGTGGCAATGCTTGGTCGTTAACACCACCACGTCCACATTTCGCCAGAAATTTGAAACGCTCTGTTAGGTTGTCCATACCCTAATCGTGCTTTACGTAACCAACCCCTGCAGAAGAGATATATAAATCCACCTCAACAACCTTTCCTTCTCCTTCACAAAACTAGAGAAGTGGGAATCCGAAGGGGAAAAAAAAACGAGATGCAAACGCCATATGAGTCGACGCGAGAGCAGCATGAAAGGATTTTGCTTCGGCATGTACGCTGGTTAAAGTGGTAATGAGACGTGTCACGTCGTGATGATGATGATAATGATACTAGGTAATGATCATGATGATGATGGCGATGATGATGTGGAGGAGTATGTGTACTACAGCCGACGTCGACTTCGTCTCTGCGACGCTACCAATGACATTCCATCCCTTTCTCGCAGCTGCTCGCAGCGCAAACTCATGTTCAATCTCCATATGTGCACTAACAGCCATCACCACCAGCACCACAAAACTGAGACTTAAAGGACCCTTCGAATCGGCCTCCAAAAAGCTTGGTTCCGGACATGAAGACACGACGTCGATCTCCACCACGCCTACCCAACCTCATCTTCTCATGGCACATGTTTTCCCAAACCCCACCCTCATGTCCTCTCATTCACTCGCTTACCTGACCTGCCCCAACCCGCCCGCTGAGATATAAAAACCCACTCGATAACACCCTTCCCTTCTCTCTACCTGCGCAGAGTCCGAATATCAGCGTTCCAAAATCTTACAGACTTCCGGCTGATGTCTTGCACGACAGTGGATCCTAAGATTCCTTTGCTTCCAGTAATGAGAAGGGCGTGTCTGGAGCATCGTACCTCAAATATTTGGTGATGCACATTTCTTGGAGTGAAGGGGTCAGAGCTGCATCTATCGACGTCTGAACGCAATGATGACGGTGATGCTAGTGGTGATTTGGTAAATGATGCTGCACAGCATCTATGAAGACCAGCCAGACAAGTGCACTCACATGAGCACAAAACATTTCGGAACTCGTCTATATCTATCCAAACTTCTACACCAGAACTTGCCTCTCCGTCTGAGTATTTACATCTTAAACGCCCTAAGCATAGCCTGCGGATCCCGAATCCCTGCAACCTGCCCCTCCTTCACCCGCTGCATAGTCAAGGCCGCGATCAACGCAGCACCCACACCCGACCCATCCTCCGACGGCAGCACCTCCACTGGATCGCCCTTACCCTTGCCATACTCCTCAGGCCAGTCGAGGATGTCCTTGAGACCCTGCGCCTGTCTTCCCTTGAAGAATTTCGACTTGCTGAACAAGGAGCCGTCGGCGCCGACGTGGCACGTCTTCCAGCCCTTCTTCTTCACGATGGCGGCGATACCGCAGGCCGTGAGGCGAGCGGCGCGGATTCCAATCATTTCGGCTAGCTTGCGGATGAACTCGAGTTCAGAGCGTGATGGGGAAATGTTTAGAGTACTCTTGAAGAGTTCGAGCGTGTTTTGAAGATTGTCATGGGGGTCTTCTTCGATCTGGGAGAGGAATCCCGAGTCGAGGAAGTAGGGTTTCTGGAGGAGCGAGATGTCCTGGCCTTCGAACATGCTGCAGTCCGGGTTCTGGTGCAGGTCTAGCAGGACGAGGCGGAAGATTTCGCCGAGGTAGAGGCCGGCGATCATCTTTTCGTAGGTTTGCTGGCCTGGACGTGGCGACTCCTTGTCGATGGTGATGTCGTAGGGGGTGCGAGGCAGGACGGCGTGCTCGTTGTCGAAGGCGCCCCATTCGCAGTTGATGGCCATGGGGAGGTCCGGGTCGAGGTTCATGTGCGCGAGTTTTGGTATTGAGCCCACGTTCTCCATGTATGCCGCATTGCAGCCGGTTCCGAAGATGCAGCCAATCTTCATGTCAGTGTCTGTGTAGGCGGAAGCGATCAGGGTGCCGGTTGTGTCGTTTACGAGCGCCGTGAGTTTCAAGGGCAAGCCGCGTGCTGCTATGGCCGCTTCGAAGGGCGGTACGACGTCCTTTTCTTCAACGCCGTCAATGTCGAACCCCTTGGTCCATCTCTGAAGCACACCGTGATCAATGTACTCCTGGGTGGCGGGGTACGAGAATGTGAAGCCAACAGGCAGATGATTCAATTCCTTCATATCGTGATGCTGCTGAATGAACTGCTGCAGACAGTCTGCGATGTAGTTCCAGAGCTCGTCCGCGGTGCCAGTCTTCAGTTCCTCAGGCATCTTGTATTTCGATTGTATGATCTCGAACTCGCCCTTCTTTTCGGTGAGGATTACTTCGCAGACGCGGAGGTTCGTGCCGCCCATGTCGAGAGCGATGAAGGTGCCCTTCTCGTGGCCGGTCGGGTAGCCCATACACCAGGTCGGGTTCATAGGCTGAAGGCGTCAGTCTGCGGTTTGCGGGTAGAGAGAAGAGGGATTCCTTACAATGTCGCCTCCTTCGACCGACAATCCTTTCTCAAGCTCGCCAACGAAGCGCTCGGTGATTTGCTTCAGCTTGGCCTGAGGAATGGTGAACATCTCCTCCAGCCGCGCAAGCTGATCGGACAGATCCTTGTGTGCGTCGGCCATGGTGCCTGGCTCGTGTGTTGCCTCGCTGATTGCTACTCGTGTTGATGTTGCTGTGTAGTTTGCTGTGTGGTATGGGCGTGGAGAGAGAGGCGGGATGGTGTTGTAGAAGAATGCGCCCGCGGGCTCGCCCTTTTGCACGTGGAATCTCTTTCGTACAAGATCTCCGTATCGCGAGTCAAGGCTGTGTTAATGAGGCAACGCGCGGGTGACGTAGCAGCCCTGGGAGTCTTCGACCTGCCCAGACGTCGCTAAGAAGGCGTCCTTCAGCGTTTCCCCGCCTCCACTCGCGGGAAGAATTGCAGAGACGATTCGAAGCTGAGAAGGGATCAATTGGAAGGACCAGAGCTTTGAACGAGGCAATTGATGAAAAGGCACTTAATTTTGCGTCTATTATATGGAGGAGAGTTCTGCTATCTGGACATAGAGGGCCATTTCTTTTTCATGCTTAGTTGAAGCTGACAAGCGCAACTCCCCCACACTACGAAAGTTAACTTGGTGGGGTAATAATGAGCGATTCATAAAAAGCAAAACAAGTGTATCGCAAGGTCCACTGATACAGTATTACGCTTGTAGAATGAGAACGCAACCAACGACACCAAGGTCCAACTTGGAGAATGCTTGCCAGCACCAGTATCTCCGGGGTGTGGAGTGGGAGGCGTGGTGTGGGTGTGAAACACCCAGATTCGGAAGCGGATGGTCCCGCTCGCCGGGCTTGGCAGTCTAAGCCTAAATAGAACATGCCTCCCATAAAATGACCTCCGCATGTTTTATGTATCTCATCAATAAATTATATGTGTACAACCCAGTGAACGGAATCGCTTCAACGGGCAATCAATCAGGACGCATTCCGGAACCAGAACTGAGGACATTGTCTCGAGATGGAACATCCGATGGCCGATCGGCTCGATTACCTCGAAGCTTGCTTGTCTACCAAGCTCGTGACGACTCGGCACTCCATCATTCCAGTCCGTCCTTCTCCTTTCAAGCAATCCATACACACTCCTCAGGAAGCCTGGATTGATAAGTGACAATCGCCACCTGGGCATATGAAGAGCCGGCTCGTGCCAATCGTCCTGTGATGCTTTAAGTGAGCGGATGAGGAGCCGGCTCACTGTGCGATCACTATGGTGTCTATACCACGGTACGCATGTCCTACCTTCTACCCTCCGTAATTGCGACAAAGCCGCGTACGCTCTTTACCGCAGAAGCTGCAAGGTGTCGGGTGAATACCAAGTACGTGAGAGTGAAGCGCACGTGACTCCAACCAAACATCACTACCTAGGTATATTTGAACGTCGACGGAGAGGGACCCTTCGGTGCCGCTGCAGGGGCGTCAAAGGGAAACGACCACCCGCCACCTGGGCAGCATATAACCGTTTCCCATGCCTGCTACTGTACATCATTTGCGGTGAATGCACTACAGTTGGCCGCGATGCGCCGTCCCGATTCGGCTCCCCACCATGGGGCTTCCTTCCAAGGTTCCCAACTCACCGTCATACCTGCATTTTTGGGAGCTTATTTAGTTCCGTCAACATGGGCGCTTCTCTCTGGCTCTTGCTTCTGCGTACGACGCTGTTCTCCCTCACTTGCTTAGCACAGCAAAGATGACGTTTGCCGGTCGATACTGGATCCAGAAGAGGATCGAAGAGGAGAACCACCAGCCGCACGCCCGCCTAGGTGTTCTGTGGGAGACGAGATGGAGAGCTCTGGTATGCATCTCACGCTTCACTCTTTGCGTGGTATCCCATCGCGACATCGTCGGTAACCAATCAATGCAGGCCCAGAAACGCATCTACCCCTTCATGTTCGGAAGAGTCGAGGATTTCGAGCCCATATTCGAAAAGATCAAGGACATGGAGCGGCCTCACGACTGGGGAGAATATGCTTCCGCTTTCCTGGATACCGCAGCGAGGTTGACTTCGACGGCCCAAGAAGAAGAGAACAACGGAAATCTCCAGCGGGCTAGCGAGTACTACCTCCGTGCCAGCGCCGTCTACCGCATAGCCAGGTTCCCAATCCCCCGGCACCCTACACAAAGCCAGGCGTGGGAACTGGGCAAAGCCGTATGCATCAAAGGGCTGTCCCTTCGACCCAACCCCGTGGCCGAAGTGCGAATTCCATTTGTGCATGCCATGGCGGGAGAAGGCTCAGACATTCCAGCTTATCACCTAGTACCTATTCCAGCGCACCAAGGTGCTTCCGTCCCCTTGGTCATCATCTTCAGCGGTCTAGACGGTTTGCGAACCGAACTCGCAGTCTGGATGGAGGGCTGGCGCGAGATTGGTGTCGCAACCTTGGTGGTCGAAATCCCAGGCACCGGAGACTGCCCGGTAAATGCAAAGGACCCAAAAGCTCCGGATAGACTCTACTCTAGCTTATTCGAATGGATCGGTACCCAGCACACCATCGACCAGAATCGGATTGCCGTCTGGGGCTTTTCCACGGGAGCATACTACGCCATCCGCGTCGCACACACGCATCATGGCAAGCTCGCAGGTGTGGTCGCCCTTGGTGGAGGATGTCACCACATGTTTGACGAGACGTGGCTCAGAAGGTGCGATTGGATGGAGTACCCATTTGATTGCGCGCACGCTCTGGCGTGGAAATGGGGCTACGGGCATAATCTCGAGGAGTTTATTCAGGAAGGCCAGGATAGATTCTCGCTGCTCAAGGACGGGACGCTGGATAGCTCGAGCTGTGCGAAGCTTTTGTTGGTCAATGTGAGTGTCCTTCGTTGCTCTACCAGATACGGTCCGCTGACTCTGATTGCTTGATGGTAGGGCATGGAAGATGAAATATTCCCCATTGACGATTACTTCCTTGCACTCCAGCATGGGCCACCGAAGGAGGTCAGGCTGGTCCCGGGTCGTCTCCACATGGGGGAGCCGGAGAGTTTTGGCATATGTCTGAAGTGGCTGCATCAGGTCTTGGGCATTGCGGACGCGGATGTGAAGAGACAGCTGCAAGCTCTGACGGAGACACCAGTGTTTTATAACTGATAGGATCGCGGAACAATGGAGGCCACACTTGCTTTGCGGGCTATGTGATAGCTCGGACGGTTTGAGAGAGATGGCGGAAGTCTTATAGTGGGTTGGAGTGATGTACTCCTGCGAATCGATATCATGGGATGGGGTTATGGTACATAGCTTTACGAATGGAGAAGTTGTTAGCCTCAATGCGTTATTCATCATGCCCCTCGAAGGCGTAAACTTGTGGCGATGCGACATCGATGCAGAGAGCGGACCGTGAAATGGATCTCGCCTCCAGTCTTTCTCTCTTTCTTACGTCTGGGCACCATCCTCGAGAGCATGAGTCAGGTCAAGGAAGTCCAAGATGAGACTGAGCTGTACCAACTGCGCGACATCCGCAAGCATCGGGATGCCGAGGCCGGGCGGATAGTCTCTCATTTCGGTTAGCGTTTTGCCTCGCAAGGATTGGCCCTGGACGCTTACTGAGACAAAAACAAACAACAAAACCAAAAACAACAAAAACAACACCACTATGCGGGATAAGCACTTGCTCTGCTCTCAACAATTATTGGAAGAAAATCATTCCACGGAGCGTTCACCGCCAGTGTATATGTGTGGAGCACCTGCAGCAGCTGGGGAATGGTTCGCTCAGAACCCCTCAGTTTGCAGAGCCGCTGGGTGGGGTTCGCTGTCTCTAGGCTGTTACTAGCACAAAGGTAAAAGAGTCTGGAGTCAGAGAACTCCGCTTCTTTGTTGACCTCGAGGCGCGAACCGGCAAGGGCTACAACACAGAGCCGCTGGTGAGGGGTTGGGAAGAAGCAGCGCGACCGGGAAGATGGAATACTGTGTACGGCCGAGGGTTGGAGGTTGGACGGAGATGAGCCTCCCAGAACCGGGGAGGCGATGATGAGCGATTAATAATAAGGACTGGTCGAGGTAAATTGGATGCGTGTTTGCAGGTTGATGGAGGGAGATGAGGGTATGGAGTTGTGGTTCTGCCCTCGTCAGTCCTATACAAGTAGTACTGTGCAGTAAGGGGTCCATGTTATTATTGCTGGCCGAGGCGCACTTTTGAAGACATCGGCGCATATTCATGGGTGCAAGCCCACGACGTGCCTTATTACATAGTATGACGCACAATCGATAGTGTCACGACGCAGCGCGAACAGGAGGAGGAGCGCGCTCGTCCAGCTGGCGGCCCGCTCCCGGACCCCTTCTTCTCGGGCCCCTTCAGATGAAACAAGGCAAGCACCGTAAGATGCCCGCACTCCACGATTCATCAGCCCCTCTCGCCCAGAATAGGGGGGCGTCGTTGTATGCCAATCTGTGGCGGAAATGAGGTCCAGCATCCAGGGCAGCGGGCGAGGACATGCTGGGTCATCCCAGATGCTGTGTGGATGGTGTGAACTCTATATCACCACGAGTGAGTGTATGTAAACAAACAAAACAATGCGCGCGCCTTCGCCATACTCTGCGAGTTGTGTTGAATTCTGCCGTGTCTCGAATCCCTCATTCTCAGTGTCTGCGACGTGTGCCTCAGGTTTCGGCGACATGGATGGATTCGATAGGCGCTCACAGCTCTCGCAGCTCGCGCTCGCGCAAACGGTGCAACGGTGGAACGTCTCGAAGGCTGCTTGCAAGTTGCAGGGCGCGCCTGCCCGTCTTTGGGTGGTCCGTGCGCCTTCCACGCCACGCCGCCCCAAATGCCCCATCCGAACGCGAAGCGCGTCGCGGCCTCTCTACCCAGGCAAGGCACCTCCTCCTCCTCTTTTCTCTCCCCAACGCCTCTCGCTCCGCCTCCAGCAATCCCTCAGAACCGTCTTCCCGCCGTGTGCGCTGCCGTCGCTTCTACAACCTCGACTCCATTGACTGCCGTTCTGCGCCTTGCCTCGAATTGCTGTAAACACAACATCATCGCGTCGCCTTGTTTTGTTTACGCATTCCTGCTCGCGGCAGTCGCCATCGCGTAAACCAGACATCGCGACGAATAGAATACGGCCAGCGCATTCGCCCACTCAACCTCCCCTCCCATTGCATCCCCTTCCCCGCGCCAGATCATCTTCTCGGCCTCACCCTGCGCATCGCTGGACTTCCGAACACGCCCTCTGGATGCGCCGACAGACGACGTCGGATCAAACGGAAGAGGTGGCATCGTTGGGTTGAGACGTGAGGTGGCAAGAACGACGAGTGCCGAGTACCTGGAGTCCTGCAACATTCCTTCATCCCTCCAACTTCAACCCCGCCTCCAATCCGCTATCGATTGAGCCCTCCACCGTCGAATGCCTTCGGTGCGCCCTCTTTGACTCGATCAAGACACGCCATCACCCCACCGTCCCCTCAGAGCGCGGCATCCACCACCGACCAACAATCTTTCAACCTCTGCACTACGCCTTTCCTAGACTCCTTTTATACCTCACTGCCCGCTCAACTTCATTCTCATATCTACCATGGACTACAGCTATTCACCACACTGCGAAAGCGGTGGCGCGATACATTTACCATCCCCCACCCACCGCCACAACACCTACGGCGGCCTTTCACTCGAGCAGATTCGACGCTCACTCTCCCATTCACCGTCAAAACCGTCGCGCTTTCACCTGCGAAAGACTGACTCGTTCGGCTCGCCAATCTCACCTCTCGCTCTGTCGCGCGCCTTCAGCCCGACCAAACCTCTTTTTGAGACACCCTCGCCTCAGAAGAAAAGAATCACCCTTCGCCGCTCAAACACACCTCTCCGATCCTCACCACGCAACCACCCCGCCTCACACAGTCCGCGACGCGCCCTGAGCGAATCCAACCAGAACGTGACCAACTCGACGCCAATAACCGTTACGCGCTTTGCCGGCGAAGAAAACATGACTGAGACCGATCAGGCTGAGCGCCAGGAACCCAGCGACAAGCCCATCAAGTATGGCCTTTCGCGATTGCGCAACGATGTCGGCTCACCGGGAAACAACTTCCGCGCCACGCCCCTCAAGCGCAGTGACGGCATCATGAACCTCGACGCGGCTAACGTAGGCAGTCCCTTGGCAAAGCGTAGGAGCGTGCATGGCGCATCTGTCTTCGGGCCCGACTTCGATGTCTTCGATCAACCAGCCGCACCTGGAACCGCTTGCGAGGAGCCTAGCAGGCCGCTGGATTTTGGAAGCCCAGTTACATTCTCGTCCTTGCCAACCCAGACTCCCCTTCGAAAATCTTCTTCTCTTCGAAAATCGACGCTTTCCCAACGGACTGGCAGCACGATGGCGAGATCAAAGCCGGTATTCGATGGCGAGTTCGCAGGTCCAGGCACCGCACCGTCCAAACTCAGGCAGCGCATGTCCCTCGATGGACCCCTCAATCAGGCTGCATCCGCAAACCAGTCTCCTCTTCGACGCTCAACGCAGTCCGATGTTTTCAGGCCGTCAGCGTTCCTCCGACCCGCACCCCCTCATCATCAGCCGCATCCGCTGTCGATTGATTTGACCACCTCCATCTCCGCAGAAGCTGCACCGGACAACGCAATTCAAGATGCGCCTGTACCTCTTACATTTGCGCCTCGAAAGCATATCTTCTCCCGGTCACTTCCTCTCGGCATCTCGCGGCCAACTGAACGTGCGGACTCGTTGGACGGCTCTTTTGAGACGCCGTCTTTCAAGGCAACGCGCCCGAATCCCGAGCCCTTCATGTCCACTGGCCTCTTCTCCAAGAAGAATCGCAACCTTGATATTGAAGCTGCCATCAACCGTTACAATCAGATGCCTGGGACCCCATCAAAGCGCAATTCCTTCCCACCGCCGACAGCCTCGCCCTCCTTTGACCGGCGTCCGCTCTTCTTCGGCCGACTGCAGCGACCCGAGTTTGGGCAGACGAGTACACCGTTTAGCGTGCATAAACAGTCCAGCTCTCTGTCGTTTGGCAAAGGTGTAGGCATCTTTGGAAGCTTTGGTAGCAAGACTCAGCGGCGCAGCAGCTTTGCTGATCTTGACAGCGAGGGCTCTCATTCGCCCTGTGGCAATGTGATGACGGATAGTCAGTCAAGCAGCGAAGATCTGCCACCTACGCCGACAAAGCCACATGAGGGGCCCGCTCGACGCAAGGACAGCAGTCTCAGGCGGCAGACGTTCCATCATACGCGAGTCTCACTAAACTCGGATACATTCGCGGCGCCAGCAGGGTCCGTCACGCCGACTCTGGGTGCAGCTACTCCCACTGGGCATTTGTCTCCACACACCCCCAGCGAGAGCTTCACGCCCCCCGACCCGAGTACCCTGAGCATCACCGGTCGACGCAAAGGTTCTATGCCTTTGAACGCGAGTACGAGCACCATGTTTCCGCCTGCAACCCCAACCGCTCCACGTGATGGGTCGCATCTTTTCGACAAGAATTCCGTCAGCTTCCCACCATTCTCTGTGTTAGGGGAGAACGACGTCGATATTTCCCTGTACGAGCGCTTCGACCATGTCACCTTCCTGGGCGATGGAGAATTTTCCGTTGTGTATCGGGCTGAGAAGGTCGGTGAGCGAGGTTCTGGATTTAGCTCTTCGCCTCGGACCCATGTGTATGCCGTGAAAAAGACCAAAAAGCCCTTCACTGGACCGTCCGACAAGGAAAAGAAGATGCGCGAGGTGCAGATCCTTGAGGCCTTATGTGGACACGATCACATCATATCGCTAGAGGATCACTGGGAGCAGAACGGTCATCTCTTCATTCAGACTGAGTTTTGCGAGGAAGGGAACCTGCAGCGGTTCCTTGATCATGCTGGGAATAAGGGTCGCATCGATGACTTCCGCATCTGGAAGATACTGCTCGAAGTCACATTGGTAATTTGCCTCTCTTAGTGTGTATTGCGCTGATGCTAACACTCACCAGGGCGTCCGCTATATCCACGATAAAGGATTCATCCACCTTGACTTGAAGCCCGCTAACATCCTCATCACCTTTGACGGTTGTCTGAAGATTGCAGACTTTGGTTTAGCAACTTCATGGCCTGCACCTTCCAACATCGACGGCGAGGGTGACCGTCACTACCTTGCCCCTGAAGCCCTCGGTGGTCGCTACGACAAGCCCTGCGACATCTTCGCGCTTGGTATCATCATGTGCGAAGTCGCCAGCAACTATACCATGCCAGAGAACGGCGACTCCTGGCAACGGCTTCGGAGAGGTGACCTTTCCGATCTGCCCAGCCTTACCTGGAGCTCCGAAAGCAGCCTCGACCGAGACGTCAACGGCGAGCCCATTGAGTCTGAGAACTCGGAGGGCGTTTTTGTGTCAGATGACGAGGACGCGACTCCAAAGCCGGTCAGCGCCGCTCGCCACATAGAGCGATATAGCGGTGGACTCGCGGAACCCCCCAACTTCATGATCGATGATCAAGACCCAGACTCTTTGCAGCAGATCGTGCAATGGATGCTCAATGGCAACCCAGATCTACGGCCCAATGCTGAGCAGCTCTACCGTTGCTATGGATGTCAGTGGGTCGAACGGAGAAGCAGGGCTGGCGCCACCATCTACGAAGGCAACTGGGGACCTGCCGACGATGTCTTGGACGACAAACAAGAAGATGTGGACAGGATGGATACCGATTAGACGAAGCATTCGCATTTGGATTCTGTCCATTTTGTTGCTATTTGAGGAGCTTTTGCACCTGCGTAGCAATGACGCAAGCCGTTTTTGGACATCCGGCGCCCATATCTTCAGTCGTCGAGTCCACGCCGTCATGCCTCACGCTCTCTCATTCCCCTAGGACCCGATACTCCCTGCTCTTTTCAATACTATACCTTCACGCAGCATGCATCATATTCCGGCGTTTCATGGGGTCGGCGTTCCCCAAGATGGGCGACAATAAAACGAACCCCTTTATGATTACCCCCCTTCACGACCGATCGCATTAGACTACCAGCGCTGATTGTTCGATCCCCGTCGTTTTCATTTTTTGGCCATTCGGGTTCGGCAGAGACTCCTTTGAAGGCATCTCCCCACCACCCGAAACATCATTCTCGGTGCATATGCATTTGCATTCTCCCCTGTACTATTGATACACCTCGCCGTGCCCCGCAAAGAGGCGGGCGAAGGGGGATTGGCGTCGTATGCTTTTGGTGCTGAAGACTTTTCCTTTGTACTGTGGAGATTTCCTTTGTTGCATTGGTTGGGGGTTTGGAAGGCGTCCTTTAATGATTGATGACCTTGGGATTTGGGGAGAGGTGGAGGTTGAGGGAGAGGAGAGGAAGTGCTTGTCTCGGATACCTAGGGGCTTGTCTGTTTCGGCATTCAAGAGTCGACGGCTGGGGGGTCTTGGGAGGGTGGAGGGTGGGGAAGGGGAGAGGTAGGGGAGTGGGAGAGAAAGAGAGGAAATGTATAGCTTATGTATCCATGATGCATATTATGACTCTTCAACGCTGACTCGTGCCGCTGTTAACGTGTGTGTTGTGACGATGGATGGGCCTGGGTGGTAGTGGGTTGATGGAGGTCAGGTGGTGTCCACGTGCCCCGACCGTGTCCATGAATGTTGGGCTCACGTGAGTGGGGTTGGGGTATTTAAGCACTGGGCTTCGCTGCTCTGTGTGCTCTTCTCTGTTTCCCTTACAACAGTACTGCTTCTTTCCCTTGTATTCTAAAACGATAGAATGCGAACAGATGGAGTGGAGGGGTTGTTTGTGTGTTTTCGAGAAATCATGGACAGGCGAGCTCATGTAAGAGATTTTTTGAGAAGTGGGAGGGATGGCGCGTGTGTGTTTATGGTGAGAGGGGTGTGATGGTGGTGGTGATGGTGGTGATGCTGATGCTGATGACGGCGGCGATGACGGGAATGAGGGCGGTGGTGCTGCTGGTGATGATTGTGGTGTTGATGGTGGTGATGATAGATAGTGATGATGTTGTGAATTAGGACATTCATGGGAATGACGGTTGGGTAGTGATGGTATGAGAAATCCAAACCGAAGAGAAAGATGAAAAGAAAGAGAGGCAACGGCGGTCATGTTCTCAAATATCCGTTCATGTTTTGCGATGGCATCTGCAGCGAACGGAGATTACGTGGCCGGTGCAGGGTGCGTGTGCGTGCATGAGCGGTAGGGTACGGTTATATAAACTGTTGAATCGAACCTCGTCTGTAGGACTGCAACTGTGAGCTCTTTTGCTTGTTTAACCTAAAAGGGTGATAGGACCAGAATATGTTGGTTGCTGGGGAGTTTTGTGTAGGTGTCTGAGATATGCTTGCATAGGCTGGTTGGGTGGGTAGGGCATGTTTGTTGGGAATGGTGATGTTGATGATGGTGGTGATAACGATGATAATGTTACGAACTATCGCTGTAGTATGCATAACAATAGCAATTCATACAGGAAACCCCAAGACGTCGAAAAACTGAGAACCCTGGGAAGAGTAGAGGGAGAGAGACAGGCAACGGTGTGCATGTTTTCGAATCCCCGTTCATGTTTGCTACCTATTCCCTATGTAATCCGTTGTATAATTTAACCTACGAAAGCCGTCACTCCGCTTCTCCGCACCAGCGAGGTGTGGAGAGGCAAACGAACAAGTTGGTGGGGTGAGGGCGTATATAATGCGCTGGAATCGGACCTCTACCTTTAGAACTTTTCTTCTGTAGCATTTTTTGCGTGTTTCTTTAAAAAGACATCCAACCCGATTTCATGTTGGTCCGTTGCTTGGGCGTTTGGAACATTGCTCGCGAAGCGCGTTTTGTTTGCTTGGAATGATGGTGATGATAATGATGATGATAATGATGATGATAGTACAGCGGCAATCGGTATTGTGATGTCTAGGGAAAGCAAACACATATAAAAACCTCCTCATAGCTGTTAGCCCCTTCTTTCCTTCCCTTCCTCTAAAGATTCGGTTTGTTTTTCCGCATTGTCAAAGGAATGAACGAAGGGAATGGAGTAAGCGCTGTGGGTGGGCGAGAGACGGGGGTGTGAACAAAAATTGCCGCATGTGACGTGCATTTTGCGTAGGAGTAGGCGGGGGAAGAAACGGCGCTGCGGCGGCGGCGGCGGCGGTGGTAGTGGTGATAGTGATGGTGGTGATAGTGCTGATGATGACGATCTATAGGTTGTGGACATATGATCAACACTACGAAACTAATCGCATGTTTTCGTATCCAACACCGTTATGTCCCGCGCCCTCTCATACTCAATGCCAACGTATCACTGGTGGTGAGAATACGTATATAAGACCCGCAGTTTCGCACCTCCCTCTCCTGTTGCTCCTTGCTACGCAGGGATTCCTTTATTTGCTTGTTTGTTTCTAAAAGTCCGACCTAATACTCGATGTGAAGGAGTGTGTTGTGTCTTCTAGCGTTAGGAAGAGATGTGCTGGAAGTGGAAAAAAGTGCGCGTGGAGTTATGCTATTGGTAGTAGTGGTGGTGGTGGTGGTGGTGATGATGGTGATAATCATGAAATGTTTACCGCAGCGTGCAAGGTATTGAAACATTTTCAGTCGTCATGTCTTAAGTCAACCGTGCAACAGACAGCGGGAGCTAGTTGTAGAGCAGAGGTATGTATATAAACTCGAGCTAGGTACGTTGAACTTCTTCCCCTTCTATCCAAATCCGTTTCTTTCGTTTCTTGCATGTCCTTGAAAACAGGTCTCGAGTTACGCATGTGGGGCCGAAAAGGTAGTCCTGTACTCTTGATGGAACGTGACTACATAGGCGGGATAGCACGGCGGGTGCACCTCGAGTTTCGTTGGTATTGATGATGATGATACTCATCATCTCGAAGAAACTAGTCTGCAAAACACATATTCTTAATGCCTTCCTACTCGCATGGAGGCAATATAGCAGCGAGGGAAAGGGTATATAAACTACTCTCAACTTTGCAGGACTATCTTCGTTCTTTCTTTTCCTTTCCTTACAATACCTTTGCAATTTGCCATTCCCTTCTAAAAACCGGCCAAGTGGGCTCATGTGGTGTCGACTCTGTTCGTGGGAATCTAATCTTGGGTTGCTTTGGTTGTGGGATTTGAGAATATGTTCGGAGTGATGGTGATGTGCAGCAGTTCCGCCTGTGGTTGACTAAGGCGGTGAGAGGGACACGTTCGTTTACTTCCTTCCCATCCAAAGTCTTAGTTTCGCACTCATGTACAGCGACGACATGCTACCAATAATCGGACTCTTTAGGGTATCTATCCGCTAGCTACTCGGAGGGGAATAGGGTATAAAAGATTCTCTTTTATTTCCCTGTACGATTCTTTTTACAACTTAATTGCTTCTCTTCTTAATCATGTTCTTTTTCCTTTCTTCTAGACCCCTGGATGCATTTAGGGCACGCAGAAACCAGGGAGGAAAATAATAGGGATAAGGAGATTTCAGCGGTGGTAGAAGAAACGATAACGGTAACGGTAATCAGAGGGATGTGTTGGCTTCACTACTCTAAAAATCCTCAGGTTCGTGTTTCTGCGCGGGGAAAACATGCAGTTAGCTACAATTTCAACTCTCTCTTTATTGCAAGCACCCTTGCTACGTTCGGGTCACGAGCAACATCTAATATGCAGTATAAATCGCCGATGTACATAGACTCCTGTTTCCCCTGCTTATGCCATTATTCATGTCGTGCTTTCTCGACTTCTAATATCGATCAAGTGAAGAGCGGGTATGTTGGTGATATATTGCGGGATTGCCGCTAAGATTGCGGTTGCTCTAAACGCCTTGGAAGCCAAAATGCATCTAAATCTAGAAAAAGGAAGTAGATGGTACAAAAAACCCCTTACTTCGCTGCTTCCTACATTCCTTGTTGTTGACGACTTTATTATCTATTTTTCTATCTCGAATGAGAAAAGTGCAAGATGATGTTCTTCTATCCTCCCTTCCTACAAAGGGGCTCGATAACCTAGTATAAAGAAACGCATAAGTCTGGATATTCGCAAGCGTAGTGATGCTGATAACTATCAATGTCTAGTAGCGTTGCTATTCCGCGGTATTATTTATTCGAAACTGCTGCATGTTGCGGGCTTCAACCCTTGGCCGCAGCGCTTCAGAACATATCCCCCACCCCTGAATTCTTTTAAGTGGGTTGCAAAGCGCTTTCTGAGAACGAGAATTTTTTGTACACGCAAGCGAGACATGCTCCTAACAATAGCGGGGCTAATCTAGGAAGACACGAAATTCCCAATCTATAAGGTACTGTGGAACTCCCCATTCACTCTTGCTTTCCGTTATCTGTAACGTAAAACCCGGCAATGACTGGGTACGTCCGCTAACTGAGAGGATTAACTTGATCTGATAACTGACCAGAATCTGCCAAATTAATAGGAGGTGGGTGTATTTCCAGCGCTAGTGTCGCAAATGAAGTCCAACATTTGACTTCCAAACCAGCCACTCCCACATTCCATCCCCTCCTCCCCTCCCAGACGCTTTCCAATGTTATTATCCCACGAGACCTCTTCCCCCCAACTAACAACCCTTTTTCTCAAACTTGCAGCACGCCCAACACGCCTATCCATAATCATCAGTTCCTGCTTCAAACCCCGTTCACCACAGAATCTCCACTTACACCGCCACCGGGATTATGCGCCCGCCATCCCTCGCCGCAGCTCAAGACCTCCGGACCCGAAGCGCAAATCTTAGTACACAGAAGGGCCTCGGGTGTCTTCGTGGGTTGGACGGGGAGCGCTGGGTAGGTGAAGGACTCGGGGGCGGGAGGTGAGGCGGCTGTGATTGGGGAGAAGAGTAGGAGGACGAGGCTGGAGATGAGGGGGGCTTTCATCTTGTTGTGTTTCTTGAGTATGGAAATGCTTGATGGATGGTTCTCGTCGATGTTGGAGCTTTGGGGCAGTGGTGAAGTGGAGGCTGGGTTCCCTGGGGAGAGGGAGATGAGGAATCAGAAACGCGGATATGCAGTTGATCAGTTACGACAAGACGGAGTCGTTAGATGGCACGCTTTTCCGACTTATAGGCACCAATAGGTGCCGGAATTCGGCGCCTAGCTTTATATATTAGCTCAAGTTCTTGCACCTTTACCTCCTTCAGCTACGAAGCTTGAGCTGCATGCATCATTTGTGCAACCTGTTACCTCCCTTGAGATCAAAACGAGCGATGCGAAGAATTCCAGAGAACCGCTTTTTAATTTGCTTTACGAATACGGGCGCTTGGCGGGCTTGGGGGGAACGTGTTCTTTGGAGAGGCGGATAAATCGGTTTTGGGACATGACAGTACGCGTGTACGGTACTTAGTATATACCTCTGCCTATATAATTGTTTAATATGAGGACGAATTCATCGCAGTACTTGTATTGAACTATCAATGAGCTATCAACGTCTAAGATATGGAGACGGCATCGGAGGACTGGCAAACCCTTTGGAGAGCTAGGCGCGTCAATGACGACGCTCACGTAACGGAACAGAAGGTGTAGTCGTGTTGAACGTGGAGTACAGCTGAACATTTGCCTCCAAGAAGTTTGTCCATCGTTGCAGGTGCTCGGCTCCCAGGGCTGCTCCAAATCCCGCATCTCACCGATCATGACATCTGGCTCAACCGTCAGCTGTTTTCCCGAAAAGGAGACAAGAAAAGGGAGGAAGGCATGAAAATCCTACCCCAGCCGCCTGGACATGCATGAGTCCCCCTGCATTTCTCGTTCCCATTCCTCTCCCTCCCAAAACGTGGATCTCTTCCTGGGACCTCGAGAATAGATTCACGCTCGGGAATGCAGTGAAGTTCACATATCTGATATGTGTAGTTTGTTGCCCTTCTCTTGTAAGGTCCAACTATTAGTGTTAATAGTACTATGAATTCGGGCCCATGCCCACGCCCGTACCGGCTCTTGAGCCAGTATTCTTCAAATGCGCGCTGCTACCCCTGAAGAGGCTCTGCCAGATGAACGCCTCGCTAAGCAACAACTCAATGTCTTTCTCCGTCCAGTCCCGCGTTGGCAACGCTTGCAAAAACATCATGATCTCTTGGAAGTCCATCTTGCGCAACTGGTCCGACCATTTCACAAGAAACGCGGCACAAACATAGAGATGGAATGAGGAGAAGCCATCCTCTTCGGCCTGCAAAACGTCAGCAGAATTCCTTTGTGAGGATCACAACGAATATGATAGTAGCTTACAAGATACGTATCCCACATCCTTATGGTGTTTTTGACTGATATCTCGCGCATCAGGAGGCAGTTCATCCATCGGAAACTGAACTGGATAAACTCTACTCCTTCGTTCTGCAGGTGTTTCGCAAGGGCGTCGTCTATCCGCGTAGTGAGATCCCGAAGGCTCGCTACTTGCCGCTGTATGCCAGGTTGGTGAGAGATGTAGTTATCCTGGATTCCATCCAGTAGCTTCGTCAGACACCAAAACGAATCGGCTTCCACAGCATCAAGCACTTGTTTCGGCAATTGTCCGGGGTCCATTCCGGATTCAATATCTGGGTCCGATATATAGGCGCCCAAGAACACCTGCCAGAACGGCGTGACAAGGTCGTTGATGCCTTGCACGTAACCGGATGCTGGATGCCGTATGGCCCAAACATACAGTATACGCTCCAGTGACCTTTGGGTAGCCTCATAGCTGTACAGTTCCAAGTGCGGATTGGTCCGTGGTACATCGATACTGATCTGATGCCAGATAGCCTCGTCCAAGCCACGACCACGTCCCCGGTTTGCGGATGATGCGCCGGCCACGCCTACCGCAGAGCTTCCAACGTTCCCACGCTCGAAAGCTTGCCGAACCCCTTCCAGATACTCCTTTCGCTTCCTATCCAAGGCAGCCACCCTTCGTTCGCTGCTAGTTGGCAGATAGCCTAACAGGACCTGCCATGCCATGGCCCGTACTTCGGATGGAATTCCCGACCAGGCAGAGTCTCTCAGCTCGGGGAGAGATATCGTGCTCGTCTGTAGTATGCGCTTGAACTTGTTGATTCGCGATATTCGTGCTGAGTGCTCTTCTCTCTCCTTGTCGGTCGCTGTCGGAGGCAGAGTTGGGTGTGATATCAGATGCAAAGAGTTTGCGGGGTCTCGTAGTATCTCCTGATATTGCGGTCGCAGTATCTTCCCTTCTGACTTCTTTGCCGTGGGATAATTGGGTACACCTCGTTCCTCGGCGATGTCGCCGCTATCAACCGTTCGCCACGGTGCTGTTGCGGTGCCATTCCTGCTTCCAATACTGCCTGTACCAGATTGGTCCTTTTCCCGTTGTGAAGCTTTCCGTCTACCCTTTCGGCGCATAGTTGCTATACTGGGTAGTCCGAACTCGTCCTCATCGTCCTCGAACAAGGCATCCGCGTCGTCATCGTCGTCATCATCCCAATCCTGGTTCGTGTCACGTAGAAATGAACTGTAGCGATTACGCGTGGGCGGTGGGGAAGAAGTAATACTGCTTGTTCCATGCGGTGCGGTGCTTGGATCACGAGCCTGGCCTGACACGGGTGGAGTGCGAGGGCGCTGCGATGAGCCAGACGCAGAACTTGAAGGATCAGTCTTTATGGCACATGTAGATGGAGCTGAGAAGCTAACGTACAGCGAATCGAATTTCAATATATCTGCATGCGAGTAGGATGCGCCTATGATCTTCTTGCTCTCGTATGGTTGCGTGGTGTTCGAGGCAGCCCGCCAAAATGGTGATGCAGAACTGGAGGGTGGTCAATTACAGCAGTCCTCGGCCTTAGAAGAACGTTGCACGCACGAAGAGCGGTCTGGTGAGGCGGAGAGCGATGTTAGCGTGGGGCTTTGCGGTGGTGATTGTAGACTCGACGATGAATAACTACGAACCAACCTGGACCATTTCCTGATTATGCCATCAGCGGAAATACATCAGGCCACTTCACAGAGAACATACCTGCTGCTGCTGCTTTTTAGAGGCCATTCTCGTGGAGGTTTGGGTTGCGCCCAACCCGCGCCTTTCACTTCTGGAGATCCTGCCCCCAGCGTTTCCCCGGACCATCACAGAGTCGGCTGTTGGATAGCGCCAAGCCCGAGGCGGCGCTAGGCCGGTAGCGTTTTAGCTTTTAGCTTCTGGCCATCTCCTCACCTAGTTCTGCTCAACCACTCCTTCATAGACACTATCACTTCCCACCCGCGCGTCTTCTCTGTCCCTCGACATCATTCCATTACGCGGTGGTTATTGCGCGACCATATTGACGCGTAACTTACAGTTCCGACTGGTCGCACACGTGCTTCAGGAGGGCCTTTTTCGTACCTTCAGCAAATCTGGATAACAGCAGAATGACCGATCCCGAAGAGCTTGACGAGGATCTCTTCGCCGATCTGTAAGCTTATCTCACTTCAAATCGTCGACAATATCCGCTGACAATACTCGCAGGTATGAAGGTGATGACACTGTCCCTACGAAACCCAGCCAGCCAGCTCCGACAGCACAGCCCGAGCCACCTGCCGTTTCCAGTGCACCGCCTGCCGATAAGCCCTCTTTGACTACACCAACGACGGGTGATGGTGGTGAGAATGGAAGGCAATATGCTCAAGATGGCGCTGCCTTGGGGGAATCGACAAATGCAGCGGGGACGGAGTCGCATGCTGCGGCGCCTTCACATGAAGGCAATAATCGGCCGTACACCAGCGTTGAGCAGGATGACGATTACGGTCCAATCAACGTCAAAGAAGACGGGTAAGTCGAATGTAATTGCTGCGCTGTTTGTTCTTTCTCCAGGCCTTTATGGTCAAATATACTCGTCATCGAACATGGCCATGCGCCATCTGCTCGACACGCACAGAGCTCTTTGAACGCTTTTCGAGCAGGAGAGGGCCGATGCCGTTACTAAAGCCTGCGTTCTGAGGAAGACTGGGATTCTGTAGATGAGACGAAGGGAGCAGTTCGCGGTTGGTCAAGATTGCGGTGGTCCTTGAAGTAGGATACGTTCATGTGGCAGCCGCCACGAGGCGCATACGGGAAGGCGGAACTGTTCCGATTGAATTATCAGCCAGAAACATATATTTCGCGACTATGGGGCTCTGAGCGCAATTGTCCCTGCTCTACTTTGACCACATTACGACCTCCACATCTGGCGCGGTTGGGTCGCTCCACCGTTGGCGGTCAGGATAGTGGCAGCATCCAGTCGATATATACCTAGCTAGGTACTTTAGAGCATACCAAGACGCAGGCAGACGATAGCACTTCGGGAGTGTGGATGGTTATATCTACTCTACTCTCGAGTCCGTAGCAAAACAAAGACGAATCAACGGAACCACAGTGTGCCTACCGCCAGGGCTGCTTGCTTCGATGTGGTATGGGTCTCGACATTGCATCGATTCGTCCCTTTTCGAGGATACTGCGATATTCTGGCAAAGTACTGCTCTCCTACGACCCGGCAAGCCAATCTGCCCACGTCCTGCATGAGTCTGAGGTCGATATCCAGCAAGTGGCATTACTTCTCTTCACAGTCACTGCTACGGACGACAGCTCAGAGCGAATCGCTCCGTCACTAGACCACGCGCATCACTGCACCCTGGACCTGGGCAACAATATCCTTAGGACTTCACCTACGCCTCTCGCCAGCCATGCCTTTAACTGCCTTGGATGGTTCAACTAGTCAGGCTGCGTCAACACACCCTGCTACTCCAAATGGATCACCGGACTTTTTGCACCAGGACGCCATTACTATCTCCACTATCTCCCTTTCACTTCTATACGCTATATTGTCTTTGTCTGAATTTTGTTTCTCTCTGAAATGGTTTTGCTAATTTCCCTTTACTACAGAAAGATGTTTATCGGTGGCCTTAATTGGGAAACGACTGAACGTGAGTGCCTACGTCTGATGCTTGATATCAATTATCTGACTTCATGTCCAGAGTCATTGAGAGATTATTTCTCGCAGTTTGGTGAAGTTAGCGAGTGCACCGTCATGCGGGACAGCACTACGGGCCGGTCGCGCGGCTTTGGTTTCCTCACATTCAGGGATCCGAAATGCGTGAACACCGTTATGGTCAAAGAGCATTTCCTCGATGGAAAAATTGTGAGTGTTCATTATCGACTCGGCTCAACTCACGCCAATTCAAATGTCTCCAGATTGATCCAAAGCGTGCTATCCCGCGAGAAGAGCAGGAACGGACCAGCAAGATCTTTGTCGGTGGAGTCAGCCAAGAAGCTACTGAAGAGGACTTCAAGAACTTTTTCAAACAATTTGGCCGAGTCATCGATGCAACCCTTATGATGGACAAGGATACAGGCCGACCGAGGGGATTTGGATTTGTTACATTTGAAGGCGATGCCGCTGTGGAAGCGACACTGAAAGGCAATCTGCAAATTCTAGGGAAGCCTATTGAGGTTAAGCGCGCTCAACCTCGGGGAAATATGCGAGAGGAAGAGGACAAGAAGTTCGGGCGTGGCAAGTTCGGCGGAAGACATGACGGCGGAGGGTTTGATAATCAGCAAATGCAGAACCAGGAAGCTGGAACAAATCCCCAAGGCATGACACCAGCGATGATGGCGCAGTACTGGCAACGCATGCAACAATGGTTCAGGCAGGCACAGCAAAACTTTGCGGCTCAACAAGGCGGGATGGCGAACCCCATGGCAATGGGAGCGATGGCCCCTCAGATGAACCCAGCCATGATGCCCCAGATGATGGCTGCCATGAATCCGCAGGCTGGAAGCCCGCTTCCTCAAGGCCAGATGAACCCGATGATGCAAATGCAACAGATGCAGCAGATGCAGATGCAGCAGCAGCAGCAAGGCGGAGGTTATGGTGACGGTTCAAGCATGATGGGTCCCGGGGGAAACAGGCCCGGCTACAATGCACAGGAACAGATGGCCTTTGAGCAACAGAAATATGAGCAGCAGCAACGTCAGATGCACCAGGGTTATGGCGGCCAAGGGGGTCCAACCAGCTGGGAAGGCATGTATGATGACATCCCTCAGCCGTCTATCCCCGCAGGTCCGTCTGGTCGTGCGAGCCAAATCCCGGGCCATGGAGGTCGTGGAGGTGGTGGTGCAGGTGGCTACAACCGTGGGCGTCAAGGATCCTCCCAACCCCCTACTCAACCCAGCAACGCCCCGCTCAACGCTCCTACTGGCCCTCGTAACGCTGGAAAACCTGGGGCGAATTATCGGGGTGGTGGTAGGCACGGTGGTGGTTTCCGTCACAGCCCCTATGGAGGTGGACCCCGGCATTAACCTTCCTCGCACGCTTCCGGGAGCAGCACAGGCATAGGCACGGTCATATGAGTTGGATGCAATTCAGGATGCCGAATCAATGGGGTTGTTCAATGCTCCGGCTTCTGTCACCTGTACATGGATCTGCTAAGGGGTGGAGGGACGTTCGGCACGCCGGCAGCTGAGGGCTCTGGTGGGTGCCATATTGAGAGAAATAAATGTACGATAGCACTGGCTCTATACCAGCTTTTCTAGGTGTAACTCTGAGTTATTATCCCTTTATTCCTCGTCAGCTGTAAGAGTGAAGCAATTCTTAAGAATGCAGAATGATCATCAGATGTTTGGGTGTGACTAGTCTGGGATGGTATAATGACATACCTACCTACATGTATGAGACATACTCGATATTGGCCAGAGAGCTTCAATAGACTTGTGATTTTCATACGTTATTCTTCACAATAGGTTCACCATAGGGAGAGGAGATTACAAATGCTCCGGCTTACCAAATCATTTTGGGCATATTTCTCAACACCACAGTAACCTGGCGCTGCTAGAATGGTTCGTAGGACAGAAGACCTATATACTATAATAATCTGATACAGCAGCGCCAGAAGCGCATGCTTGCAATCCTCCTCCTTTGTGTTGGACCGAAGAAAGACCATTGTCTTTCATACCTAGTCGGCACGCTGTGCAAGTGCCAAGACTAATCTGACTAAGCGGCGCTAGCGTGGGCGGAAGCCGCCCGGGCGTGGCAAGATACTTAATCCCCACCTCCTCCGAGACCTTCACCACACCACCCCCACGACATCACACGACGCCGCGAAGATGTCATCCTGCGTATTCTACCGATTCAAGAACTCCAAGGATCGGGAGCGTATCTTCTTTGATGGAAAGTCCATCACTGTCTTTGAGCTGAAGCGCGACATCATCAAAGCCGCCGGTCTAGGCGATGGGTCCGACTTCAACCTTCACCTATATCCCGTAGAAGATCCCGACGCTGAGTACGAGGATGATACCACGATTATCAGCCGGTCAAGCGAAGTAATAGCGATTCGGAGACCAGCGCCACGAGGACATGGACGAGCCGCTCGATACGTGGCAGGACGCGCGCCGGTTCGAGCTCTCAAGAAGACCGACTCCTCTACGCCAGCCGTCAGCTCCACAGCCAGCGGTGCTCTCTCTGAGCAAGATGCAGAAGCAGCTTTCCTAGCAGAGTCTGAGCAGGCTTGGCAACAGCAGAAGGAACAACTGTCACATGCGAAACCTGTCTACCATAAGAAAAAGCCAGTCAACGTCCCTGCGCACGACCCTCCGCCCGGCTATGTGTGCTACCGATGCCAGAAGAAAGGCCATTGGATACAGGTGTGCCCCACGAATGACGATCCCGATTTCAAACCTGTTGCCAGAGCGAAACGTACCACAGGGATACCGCGTTCTTTCCTCAAGACAGTCGAAAAGCCTCCCGAGGGCGATTTGGAGGATGCTCGCGGAGTCATGCTCAATGCGGATGGAGAGTACGTAAAGGTCATGGTGGACACCAAGAGCTGGGAAAAGTTTCAACAGAAGGCGACCGCAGTCAAGGCGCAAGCCGCGAGCGCTGACGCAGACCAGAAGGAGATGGAGAAGAGAGGCTTGTTGTGTCCAATTGATGAGCGCCTTTTTAACAATCCAGTAAAGACCCCTTGTTGCGAAACAACGTATTGCCATGACTGCATTGAGAATACTTTGTTAGACCGCGATTTGGTTTGTCCCAACTGTGAGAAGGTTGGCGTTATAATTGAGGAGCTCGTCCCTGACGAGGACATGGTAGGCAGAATCAGAGATTATGAAGCCGAGAAGGCGAGGGAGAGGTTGGAAAAGGAACGACAAGGCAGTGAGGAAGTGAAACCAGATGCAAAGCCCTCATCTCCTTCTGAAATGGAAAGCAATGTTCCCGTGCCCACTATCACTGATGACGCCAAAGCCAGTGACGCTGTTCGAACCGGATCAGAGTCTCCGGCGCCGAACAGCAATAACACAGAAAAACCTGCGCCCATTCTGCCATCTCCTCACACTGTTGCAGCAAAACCTACTTCTAGCTCCACCCCCAATCCCAATGGTAACGGTTCCGATTCTGACACTTCGACAACGTCGAAAAAACGCAAAGAAGCACCAACCGAGATACGAGCACCGACGGCTCCGAAAGCGATGCGGTTGCAGAAAGAACAACAGAGTCGCCAGACTCAGGATCAGTCTTCCGCCGTCGAGAAGAGTTTTATTGATTCGATGGAGGCGCTCAAGAATATGCCCAGCAATGCGGCTATGATGCCCAATATCCCGATGCCTCCAATGCCCATGGGTATGCCAGGAAACCCTATGATGGGCATGATGAATCCCAACATGAATGCGATGAACGCCATGAATCCGATGGCCAACATGAACATGAACGCTTACGGCAACGTCAATCCGGGGTGGAACAACTTCAACAACGGGTACCCCAACCCGAACCAGTTCAACAACATGGGCTTCAACGATCAGATGAACGGTTACCCTAACATGGGCTACGGCAACATGGGTGGCATGCAGGGAAACATGCACGGCGGCTACAACAATGGCGGATGGGGCAACCAAGGTTACAATCAGATGGGCTATGGCAACCAGGGAGCTCAGCAAGATGCGTACGAGCGCAGGCCGCTGAATCCGCATCGCTCGCAGAACAAGAATCGCAAGCAGCGAAGTGCCGATTTCCACTACGTCCATCAGTCTTGAACGAAGTGGTCGCATTTCTTGGGCGAATCGGGGGCATGGATGGAAGTTGACTTTGGACTGGGATTCTTTCGTCGAGGCTGGAATGGATCAGCTTTTTCGTGCTTTCGGAATCTATGCATCATATGGCAGTACTAAGGAGCAGTGTTTAGTGCTTTTGATTTGTTTTGGAGGTACAATGGCTTGGGATGGGTTGGAATTCGAATTCTCTATGTATATAAATACCCTCAGCATCAATGAACGGTCATCTCCTCATCTCCGTGCCGTTGTTGAGCAGCACAGGGACTTGGGTCCCCTGCAACCTGAGTGCCGTGCGTACGCGAAGTTGCTTCTGGATGTTTGTCTTCCTAGGCGGTGTTTACAACAAAAACAACGAAGGGACTAGTATGTGTTATAACGTTCTCATTAGTGCCACACCCGTCGGTGAATGCTTTCTCTTGTATGCGATCGCAGACTCTTAAGTTTCTGAGCCATCAATGTACGACATTTTACCGCTTTCTGTATTCACTGGAGCAAATGTAGACTTGAACCGCAACTCTACAGACTTATCCTGTCATCCCATTGTTCGAGTTACTGGAAATGAACAAAGATTGAGTTTTGCCGGACAAAGCGACACTTTCTTTGTCATCTCGGTTTTGCAAAGCTCTTGTACCGTGAGACGGCTAGTATCTCGTGAGGCTAGTGGTTGTTTCGGAGAAGAGGCTAAGAAAACGTGAGACCTAGTCCCCGTATTTATCTACCGAGTCTGATGTGTATATTATAGCGCCCACTAGTGAAATGACGAAGCTTGCTGCGTCTAAGCTCTGGCAACATCATACGCAATACACAGATAGCTTAACCGTCCGCATAGTACATATTTCTATATCCGCACATGATCTCATAATAAGCCGCCTAGATTCAAACAATCGAAATACATTCATCGTCACCAGGAAGCATTGCCAGGAACCATCGCCCATTAATTGTGGCTTTGTGTTTCGATCGGCTCGCGCGTCGCATATTAATGGGCTGCGTGATTCCCGACTCGACTCCCCTTCATTTATTCCCACTATGGAGCCTCTCACCAGAGCCGCGGGCCCATCGCCCATCCCTGCAATAATCTACTTCAAATTCCCGGAATTGCGGAGGTGGCGACCGTGCGTGGGTGATTATGGGGGAAGAACGACCGGTATTTATCCCATGTGGGATTCAAATAGAAGGGGAGAGAGGAGTGAAGTGGTGTACATAGAGGACCACTGCAGCAAGCGTTGATTTTCTCGATAGCAATTGGGGATCCAAGGTCGACTATGGCGCCTATCAAGACTCTCGTGCTCGCTGGCTTGACGACTCTCGTTTCCGAGAGCGTCGCTGTCAAGTTGCTGGCTACGCATTTCTCTGGGACTGTCTACACCCTGGACTTTGATGGCAAGTCTACGACAAAGATCACCTCACAGACCAAGGGCTGTGGTGTCACGCCGACCTGGCTGCACCTCGATAGCTCCAGCAATACCGCCTACTGCTTCGATGAAAGCTGGATGGGAAGCGGCGTGCTCTCTCAGTACACGCTCGACTCGCAGGCCGCCTTGAAACTCCAGGCTTCTGCACGAACGGCGGGCAACACGGTCCATGGCTCGACCTACGGTGGAACAGATGGAAAGGGTTTCATCGCCACGGTGGAATAGTACGTTCACAAACCTGTTACTCACCATACCAGACGACTAACCATACCCCAGCTCGCCCTCCACCCTCACCACCTACAAGCTCCCCATAACCTCCAACACCAAAGCCCTCCAAACCCGCACCTTCACCCAAGCCAAACCGGGGCCCCGTCCCGACCGCCAGGAAAAGCCACACCCCCACTCCGCCTTCACCGACCCGACAGGCAACTTCCTCCTCGTCCCGGACCTAGGCGCCGACCTGACGCGCATCTTCCGCATCAACCAGAACACGGGCGCCCTGAGTGACTGCCCGGCCATCTCCTCCAACCCAGGCGACGGCCCCCGCCACGGCGTCTTCAACAAGATCGGCGACAGCTGGAAGTACTACAGCCTGAACGAAGTCAGCTCCTCGGTCGGCGTCTACGACGTCAAGCTCCCCGTCAGCAGCAACGAGTGCCTCAGCCTGACGCTGGTCCAGACGGTCGGCAACTACGGCCCCAACGTCCCTATTGGCAACGCCACGGTCAAGAGCGCCGAGATCCGCATCGCGGGATCCTATCTGTATGCGTCGAACCGCAATGACAGCCACTTCGGCAAGGAGCAGGATTCGATTGCGCAGTTCAAGATTGGGGCCGATGGAAAGCTGGCGTTTGTCGAGTTGGCGAATTCGTACAGCTATTATCCCAGGAGCTTTGTCATCAACAAGGCTGGGAACTTGGTGGCTATTGGTGGTCAGACGACGTCGAATGTGGTTATTGTTAAGAGGGATACGGAGACGGGTAAGTTGGGCCCGTTGGTTAGCAAGGTTGATGTTGGGTCTAGGGGGACATATGGCGGCGAGGATGGATTGAGCAGCGTGACTTGGGTTGAGTAGATGGGTGAGAGAGGAGGTGGGAAATGAGCCGGTTGGACGACGGTTGAGGATCGTGGGACTTCTTTGTACATAGTGAAGCTTGGAGAATTGCAAACTCAGTCTTGCCGTGGAGTTTCCGAGTTGCAGGTTTCCCTCTTGGAGAGTGAGGACTGAGAAACGTGTAAGGCGTGAAGTTAGGTCTCATCGAAATGCTGTAGTAGCCTAAGCACAATGGCCGGAATGAATGTCCTTTAACTCCACTTATAAATGGCCCGCGTTCACATTCGTGTCATGCTTCAGGCGCTGACATATGCATGTTCGGACGGATACGCTGTTTTCTGTCACCTGGGGTAATCTTCCCTCGGCTTTTTGTGTCCGTGAAGGCAGCCTTCATGCGCAAACTCTCAACCTTAATTGATAATGGTGGCGATATTTTTCAGAGTGGTGTCGTAGAAATTCAGGGACGAAGTTGGAGGGGTTGCCCTAACCGCAAGGGGATAAGTTTACCCCTCCAACCGCGGTGAGGTCATGGCCGGCTCCGGAATTAACGACGGACGACAGAGTGCTTGTGGTTGCTGGTTGAAGCCTCGAGGCTCGGTTCTCCTCAAGTTCCTGTCCTCAACCTGACGCTTCTTCCTTCTTATTTTGCTAGCATACTGCTTCGCTGTTCACAGCTGTCGTGCTCTTTGACCATTTACATCTTCATATTAGCGATCCGATAACAGCAGACCTCACACAGTTGCATCATCATGGGCGAAGCAATCAAGCGGGGAATCCGCATTGCCATTGATGTACGTACAGCCTTATCCGAAATGTCTCCCAGAAATCTCAACTGCCACAGCGCGGAGGCACATTTACCGATTGCGTTGGCAATCCCGGCACAGGCAAGATGGAAGACGACGTCGTAATGAAACTCCTCTCCGTCGACCCCCAGAACTACGACGATGCACCTCTAGAAGGCATCCGGCGCCTTTTGGCCAAATTCACCGGCAAGGAAACACCCCGCGGACAACCGCTCGATACCTCGCAGATCGAGAGCATACGTATGGGAACGACGGTCGCGACGAATGCCTTGCTGGAGAGAAAAGGAGAAGATATTGCGCTGGTGGTGACGAAGGGGTTCAAGGATTGCTTGGAGATTGGGAATCAGTCTCGGCCGAACATCTTCGCGCTGGATATCCGGAAACCGGAGGTCTTGTATAAGAAGGTGGTTGAGATCGATGAGCGCGTGACGTTGGAGGACTATGCCGAGGATCCGGAAAGGAAGCAGACGAAGGCAGCGTCGATTGAGGAGGCTGGACCCGATGCGGAGCTCGTTCGGGGATTGTCGGGGGAGACGGTGCGGATATTACAGAGGCCGAAGGAGGAGAGGATAAGGGAACAGTTGCAGGAGGTGTACGATTCTGGGCTGAGGAGTATAGCTGTGTGCCTGATGCACAGTTATACATACCCCAATCATGAGGCTTTGATAGGGAAGATTGCGAAAGAGATCGGGTTTACGCATGTCAGCCTGAGTTCCGAGCTGATGCCAATGATCAAGCTGGTGCCGAGGGCGACGTCCGCGTGTGCAGATGCATATCTCACTCCCGCCATTCGCAAGTACATTGACGGATTCTCTAAGGGCTTTGAAGGCGGTCTTGGCACAAAGAGCTTGAAGCATGAAGGCACTAAAGGTGCGAGATGCGAATTCATGCAGTCCGACGGTGGTTTGGTAGACGTGGACATTTTCTCCGGTCTTAAAGCAATTCTATCGGGTCCCGCTGGAGGTGTCGTAGGATACGCGCTTACATCCTACGACCCTGAGACGAATATTCCCGTCATTGGATTTGACATGGGCGGCACCAGCACAGATGTAAGCCGATACGGCCAAGGAAGATATGAGCACGTCTTCGAGACGACCACTGCCGGTGTGACCATTCAGTCGCCTCAGCTAGACATCAACACCGTCGCCGCAGGAGGCGGATCCCGGTTATTCTGGAAGAACGGTCTCTTTGTGGTTGGGCCTGAATCCGCGTCGGCACACCCAGGCCCAGCCTGTTACCGCAAAGGCGGTCCTCTGACGATCACAGACGCCAATCTCTTCCTTGGTAGGCTGCTGCCAGACTTCTTCCCCAAGATCTTTGGCAAGTCGGAAAATGAAGGCTTGGATCCGGAAGCCAGCGAAAAGCTGTTCAGGGAGCTTGCCAAAGAAATCAATGAGGATATATCGGGCGGTGATAAAGATAAGGAGATGTCTCTCGACGAAGTGGCTTATGGCTTCATCAAGATCGCGAATGAGACGATGACACGACCCATTCGGAGCTTAACGGAGGCTCGCGGTCATGACACGTCGAAGCATCGACTCGCAACGTTCGGAGGCGCGGGAGGCCAGCACGCTGTGGCGATAGCAGAAGCGTTGGGCATCTCGCAGATTTTGATTCATCGCTACTCCTCAGTCCTCTCCGCTTACGGCATGGCTTTAGCTGATGTTGTGGATGAGCGACAGGAGCCAGAGTCCAAAGTATGGTCGGATGACAAAGAGGTCCGCGAGTACCTGCAGCAAAAGATGGAGGATCTCAAAGCCAAATCTACTGCGACTTTGAAGGAGCAGGGCTTCAATGAGAGCGAGATCGTGTTTGAAGAATACTTGAATCTTCGCTATCGCGGGACAGAGTCTGCTCTCATGGTTCCTAAGCCTTCCAAAGAGGAGTATGACGGCGATGACTGGGCGTTCGGCAAGGCGTTCGTTAAGCAGCACGAGCAAGAGTTTGGCTTCACCTTGCCTGATCGCGATATCATCGTAGATGATGTCCGGGCTCGCGGCATCGGCAAGACGTTCCACGGGTTGGAAAAGACTGTTGATAAGCAACTGAAAGAGATCAAGCCCAAGGATCTTCCTAAAGGTGAAAAGCAGTATGGCACTCGCCAAGTATATTTCGAGGGCGGCAGACAAAACACTGCCATCTACAAGCTCGAAGATCTGGCAGTTGGAGACCGCGTCAAGGGCCCTGCAATCATTGCCGATGGGACACAGACCATCGTCGTACCACCTGGAGCGTCCGCTCTTCTCATCGAAACGCATGTTGTCATCAACATTGGCGAGGGTGATGGGCAGGATAAGCAGATCAGCACCAAGGAGGTGGACCCTATTCTCCTGAGTATCTTCGCTCATCGCTTCATGGCCATTGCCGAACAGATGGGCCGAGCGTTACAGAAGACCAGTGTTAGTACCAACGTCAAGGAGCGTCTAGACTACTCTTGCGCATTGTTCGACTCGGAGGGTGGTCTAGTTGCAAATGGTCAGTTTGTAAATGTCTTTTGAGGTTCGATCACTAATGAAGTACAGCACCGCATCTACCCGTACATCTCGGTAGCATGTCTACATGCGTAAGAAAACAGGCGTCAATCTGGAAAGGAAAGCTGAAAAAGGGCGACGTGCTCGTGACCAACCACCCAATGTTTGGCGGTACCCATCTCCCCGACATAACCGTCATAACGCCTGCATTCAGTGGAGACAAGATCCTGTTCTATGTTGCTTCTCGTGCTCATCACGCTGACATCGGTGGCATCCTTCCCGGATCCATGCCTCCCCACTCCAAGGAACTGTTCCAAGAAGGCGCAGCTATCAAGTCCGAGAAGCTAGTATCCGAAGGTCACTTCAACGAACGGCGCATCATTGAGCTTCTCTATGAGGAACCTGGCCAATACCCAGGTTGCTCTGGAACGCGATGCCTGAGTGACAACATCAACGACCTGAAAGCGCAAGTGGCCGCCAACCAAAAAGGCATCAACCTGATCTCCACCCTAATGTCCGACTACGGCGAGGAGGTCGTCAGGTTCTACATGGCCAACATCCAGGCCAACGCCGAACAATCCGTCCGGCAACTCCTCAAAGAAGTGTACAAACGCTTCGAAGGGCAGGACCTCTCCGCAGTCGACTACATGGACGACGGCTCCCCGATCAAACTCAGAGTCACCATCGACCCCGAGAAGGGCGAAGCCGTCTTCGACTTCTCCGGCACCGGCCCGCAAGTCTACGGCAACATCAACGCCCCCGAAGCCGTCACCTACTCGGCCATAATCTACTGTCTCCGCTGCCTCATCTCGGAAGACATCCCCCTGAACCAAGGCTGCCTCGCCCCCATCAAAGTCCGCATTCCAAAGCGATCCTTCCTCTCCCCATCCGAAGGCGCCGCAGTCGTAGGCGGCAACGTCCTCACGTCTCAACGCGTCACCGACGTCGTCCTCAAAGCCTTCAAAGCCTGCGCCGCCTCGCAGGGCGATACCAACAACCTCACCTTCGGCTTCGGCGGCACTTCCCCGGACGGCAAGGAGATCCGAGGATTCGGCTACTATGAGACCATCGCCGGCGGCTCTGGCGCCGGGCCCACGTGGAACGGCACCTCGGGCGTGCACACGCACATGACCAACACGCGCATCACCGACTCCGAGGTCTTCGAGCGGCGGTACCCGGTGCTGCTGCGCGAGTTTGGCCTCCGGACCGGCAGCGCGGGGCGCGGCGCGCATAATGGCGGCGAGGGCGTGGTCCGCGATATCGAGTTCCGCATTCCGGTTCAAGTGTCGATTCTGAGTGAGAGGCGCGTGTATCATCCGTATGGATTGGAGGGTGGGGGCGACGCTGCGTGCGGTCTCAATATCTGGGTGCGGAAAGTGGATAGGAAGACGCTGGATGTGAATGCGGATACGAATCAACCGGCCGTTGGTGCGGATGTGGATGAGGACGCGCCCACTACGGGCGGGGAGATTGAGGAGCTTGAGAGGAAAGAGAGGGAGAGTGCGAGAAGGAGTGGGGAAAATGTGGAGTATAGGTACATCAACCTTGGGGCGAAGAATACGGCGAGTATGAAACCGGGGGAGAGGATTATTATTTATACGCCTGGTGGTGGGGCGTGGGGTGCGGCGGGAGAGGAGAGTAGGGTACGGGAGAGCAAGGATCCGAAACATTCGTGGAAGATGGGGAGTGTGGCTTCGAGGCAGCTGACTGCTGAGGCCAGTGCGTAAGGGTGAAGGCGGGATGCACTATGGGAGCTGGACAGTATAGGTTGGTGGGAAGGTCGTGCGAGATTCAGCAGGTGGAGAGCAGGATTGTTTATTGGTGACGATGTTCGTAAGGAGTACCCTAAGAATTTTGGGGTTCATGACGACAATGATTAAGTGCATGTTTTGAGGTAGACATGGAGAGTCATCATTTTAAACCTATCTAGGTTGAGCAAAGCCGAGAGTCGTTATTCATACCTATAAAACCATAAACCAGCCATCCATCATTATTGAAACCGTCCAAGTCAAAGGTCACTTCTATGTACCACTCCCACGCTGAAAATACCCACATCACCCCAAACGCCTTCGCTAAAAGTAGAGCAGCACATCATATCAACGATAAACCACCTCCTTGACCTGCTTCTCCCTCGTCACAGAACCCATAGGAGGCGGCGGAAGCGGAAGTGACACCCTCCTCTCCACTGCCCGATTCTCCCTCAAATCCGGATCCATCGACAACTCCTCCGCGCTGTGAAAATTCCCCACATGCTTCACCAGCGATTCCACCGAACGACACAACGCATCCACATCCTTGAATTGGTTACAAAGCACACACGCATACTGTCCGTCCGGGGTATGGCACTTGATCACAAAGCGCTGCCCGAGAACGAACTCGCGGTTCTCGAAGACTTGCTTCTGGAGCCTGTTTTCGGAAATGAGGACAGGAGTGCGCTTGCCGATTTTCCAGAAGTCGTCTGCGGTGGCGTCGATGCGGACGCCGCAGGCTGGACAGCGACATCTGCCTCCGGGGGCGAAATCGGCTGCTAGGGGTTTGTTGGGGAGGGTTTGCAGGTCGATGGCGTAGCGGCAGAAGAGACCGTCTGCGCTCAGGGAAGAAGAGGAGCGTGTAGAGGAGGACGAAGTTGAGGGTAAGGAGCGAGGTGGAGGAGCTTCGAGAGCGAGACGTTGTTGGTGCTGGCGGAGGGCGTCGAGGGAGCCATCGCGGGCTTGGTTTGAGGCGGCGATGAGCTTGGAAAGGTCGGCGCGGCTGAGTTGGCGATCGTTGTAGAGGGCGTCTTGGAGGACGGTGATGACGGCTTGTTGGAGCGAGATGACTTGGGCTTGGAGTTGGTTTTCTGTGAGAGCTGCGGTTCATTAGTGATGCTCTCCTGTCCAATGTAGTAACATGACAACATACTGTCCCCCATGGCAAATCGTCTGCCTAGCCTGCCATAGCCCTCGTCGTATTGCCTCTGTATCATGGCGCCCGACATGTGGAAGTTATTTCCCAGATCCTCCTGGCGGTTGTTGAATTGGTTCTGCTGCTGATTGAAGCGTTGCTCCGCCTTCTCAACCTTCTCCTTTAGCTCCTTGATCTGGTCGTCTTGTTTGTAATCAATCTTCTTCTGCTTGCGCTTCTCATTGATGCGGTCCCAGAGGCCCATGGAAGAGGTGAAGGTGCCAATTAGCGTCGAGCATAGTGTCGCTATAATGAAGGTTTTCTGTCGGAGAGAAGTGAGTAACAGTCCCAGAGGGTTTGACAGAATGGTTTACCTTTAGATTCTTCTCCTCTATCATATTAGCGTAGTTCATCTTTGCGACCTCTGCGAGCGAGCGAACGCTGATGCAGCGTTCACTCTGTGGGTTGTCGTGGTCCTTGAAAAGACGATGCGGCGTCCAAATGGAGTCACTGCACAATGACGCAACGCAGATCAATAACTGTTCCCGTGTCGCAATAACAACATGCAGAAATGACAGAATGTATAGAGTCGTACACTCATATGCGTAGGAGAAGGGGGAAGCAAAGGTTGGGCGATTTCGAAATAGCACACGCCACGAATCCTCCTCTTTACTTGTACGCCCCGGAGTCGGGCCACCAGCAGGTACGCCCCGAGCATGGACGACTTGAAACAAAGTGCTCGCGCGAACTTGTCAGCATGTCGGGATGTGCTGCGCAGGTTGCTGGCCACGGTGAGATGTCCTCGCCCTTTCAACATTGCGTCACTGCGCCTTGCCTTGCGGAGCTAGCCTCATTCGTACTAGCTCCCCTTGCTTTCTTTACCAACAGGTCCCTGGATAAAATGCATCATCTAGCCGACTTTACATTCGAATCCATCCCCATAGTATAGGCCGTTCAGTCTCCACTGAAGATTGTTTTAAAGCTTACAGACTATGACGCGTGAAGTCCATTTTTTTAATCGCCACAGGCACTTCAAGTCCATTCTCGCGTACAAGCATGCCATTGTCTCTTGGCCGCATTGGCTGGTACAGACAAAGAACAATATGAAAGGAGTTCAAAAGTCTAGAAATATATTTATTGTCTCATGTTGCTACTCAACTCCACTCCATTCTATGTCTATGTTTATCGGCGTCTTGATCGTTGTGGTCTCATGAGTTGGCACTGGCGGAGTCCCTCTCACTCTCATCTGGAGCCGGCATTTTTTCCGTAGCAGTTTCTGCTATAAGGATTCCAGTGCTCCTCTTGACGCGTCTCCTGAAGCCATCGTCGTACAGCCTCTATTGTATGCGATTTGTCGTCCCGTTTGGATGAACCGGAGGTGGTTTGGGAGGGCGCATACTACTCGACTTAGCTCTTGAAACTGAATCGTCGATGCCTTGCCTACCGTTGCATTACCGTCAGAGCGCCCCTTTCGATTACTTCCTCCCGCTGACCGTTCCTGTTGCGGAGATGTTTCGTTTGGCATTGGCTGAGATGGGTCTTTGGTATGGATTCAAGAAAATATAAACTCAAAGGATTTTTCCAAAAGCAAACTGGACAGCTCTCATTCGGAGTGACGTTGGATACAACAAAAGGCGCCGTTGAACCATCTAGCCTCCGCATTGCGCCGGGCTTTTTATAACGATCTGCACTGGAGGAAGGTGAGGAGGACTACAGCTCGAAGTCAACGAGCATCGTATACGCCAGTACACAAGTCGTCTGAGCACAACGAACAGCCAGCATGCGGCTGGTGCTCAACGGTTGTAGTGGCCGGGGCTGGAGGATCAACTGCGTCCGTTTTCACACGACCCCGATGCAGTGTTGCACATCGTGTCCTTGCGAACATTACCACTGCTTGAAGGCGTAGAACCAGGTTGAAGGGAAGCTTGCTATCACGAGTTGTTGAGCACGTATCCCTGAGAGGTAAATGCAGAACCTGGGTAGTAAGGTACTACTGATACGAAGGCAGTGGAGCAATGGCATAGCGCCCAGTAGCCGGCGGGGGGGGTCACGCCTCAGCGACCAGTCGACCACATGCGGGAGGTCCGTCCAGTTCCCAGCATCGCGGATACACATCTCCAAGAAGGCTTCTCATCCGCCCTGTAAATCTCGACGCAATGCCCTGGGTTGAGCTCGGCGACCCCCTGTTGCAAACCGATTTCCCTCTAGGGAAACAATGGGGAAATGCCAAGCTGCAGTCATACATTTGTGCTACCCACCTTCATTATAGGAATAATCTAATCTGTGCCAATCAGCATTGTGGGAGCGTACCGTAGGGCCAACTGGTACTTTATGCTCCGACTTCCACGCGGGTTGACCGGTTGACGGGGCTGAGAAGAGCTGAAATGTCCGGCCCCTGGCACAACCCTAGAAGAATGACAGTGTGCGGTGGGGGATGTCCTCGTGGTTTGGGGTCCGATATCCTGGGTTTGTAGCCCTCTCCCTTCCTTGATCTTCACCGGGCATGGCTGTGATATCGAGCTTGAGGCCAGCGTCTAAGGAAGCTCACTCAATTTCCTTATGTGACGAGGTTTCCCAACGCAGCGGACGACACTGACTTTCCGGCACATTTTCAAGTACGGGGATATATCTACCTTCTATTTCAATTCACATACGTGATTTCAGGAGGCCCACATTCAGCGGCCATGTCTGAACCGCGCACCCCAATCCCTCCCACTCCCACACGATAAGCGCAGCCATCCACCCTACTCGACCCAAATGATCGGTACCAACGCCGCACCCGCAAGGCAACCAGATCGCCCCGGATACCGCACCATGGGTCCAACCCAGCCCCGGATGTCCTTCCCCTTCCGGTACCCTTGGCTCTCCATCTCAACTCCGGCAGTGAGTATCTCTCGTAGTCCCTATGTCATCGGACGCAAATGGCACCTCGGACCTGAAATCGATTCTTGGTAGCCATCCGTTGTGTACGGACTCTGTTTCCTAGCAGTACTCTATACTCAGGTTTGGGGAGGGGAGCGGGATCAGGGTTCAGTCGGCGAGTTTGGCTTGCCTTGCTTGGGACGGGACCGCGGTACTGATCGATCGGTGATCTTCCGTTGTTGATTCAATGTGAGAATATCCCTGGCCCGCTTTTTTCACGAGATCGGGGTTGTCTGGTTTCGTGTCGCGGTATTGGGGCCACCCAAGCCCTGTCGACGAGTGTCGCCGACGGCCGTAAATGCTTCGCACATCACAGTATCAGGTGAGGCTGAGGAAGTGGAAGTTTGGTTTCCATGCTTGAGCAGTGCCAGTTCATTGTGGAAAATACCAGTTAACGGTTTAGACGATTTAAGTCAGACTGTACGGAAGTGTCAACTTTTCGGTTTGAGCGTCCATTCAGTGTGTCATCCTGGTCAAGTTATTCAAAGACAGAACTGACTGTGATCGCCGTTTCTCCACGGCAGAGTCATTCTCCGGTGGACCTTTAAGAGCGTTCACTTTCGGTAGAATGGTCCTGCTCTCACCGTCCGCATTACGTGAATCAGCCGTTGTGTGTACCCTTACGACCATTACTTCAGCCAGATTGGAAAATACATCATTGCTTCATTGTCCTGGGGCTTATGGAAACTATTCCCATGCATTCATTTTTTCGTGAAAGTACAGAGTAACCCCAATTCCCATTCCTCTCCAGATCCCATGAGCCGCACAGGCGTGTTGCCAAGAACATGTTATCCCGCGGCATGAAGTAGAGTCTCCATCACAATCCCTCCGCCTGAGTATCCCAACGTCCCGCCGATCTCCTCTTGCATACGAAGCGGTATCCCTTGTCTCAGTCAGTATTGGCGCTGCATTCTAGCTCCGTATGCTGAGATAAGCACGTCCACCTCAGACACCGGCCCTATAGACCTGATGAATCTCACGATCCATCTTCTTCGGATCCCAACCAAGAAGGTTAGGAAGAGCGTTCGATGGTACGCCAGGAAAGAGATGCCTGTAGGTAGAAGCGAAACGTGGGAAGTACTTGCCTTCCGGATAGATTCTGAGGTTCGCAAAGCTGTGTCCTTGTTCCCTCGCAGTTTTCGCATAGACTGCGACCTGTCCAGAAAGCCAGGTCGTCAGGAAGGCTCCCCTGTAATGACTTAACTCACTCGTCGAAGGACCTCGGACGACGGTGCAGATGGCATCCGCTACGCTGACGAAGTCGTTAAGGAGTGCGCTCTCCACGAAGAAACCTTCCATCACCCAAGCTACTTTGACATTGGGGTACTTGCAGCAAAAGTCCAGGACACTGCAGACGAAGCGAGCATTCGCCCCGTCTGGGTGGAAGTACGAGCCAACTTTGCTGATGTCGTCCAGTGAGCCGCCCAAGCGCTGAAAGGTCGGGGGGCGCATGACGAGGGTGTGAAGATTCTGCTCCCACGAGGGAGGAAGCTTCGATGGAAGATCTCCGCGAACGCGTTTAGAGAGAGGGGTACAGCCCATCCAGACTATGGTGTTGAACCTGACTTCGAGTCCAGCTGTCTCATTGTGTAGTTGCCGGCACACCAGCTTGAGCTGATTGAACTCACGAGCGGAGTTGACAGTATCCAAGAAACTAGGTTCAACGAAGCCACGGCCGTCGTTTGGTATGGTCATCGTCGCATTGTACAGTCCAGGCTTCGAGGCTAGAGGTTTGTCGAGATACACGAGTTGCTTGTTGGGAGAGGTCAGGGCAAGCTCGTATATCTTGTTGCGGATCTCGCCTGCAAGACGAAGGAAGGGAGAGGCGACCTTGTCCGACTCAGCTCGAGGGAGGTTCACAGGAGTCATCCTGGCTAGAGGTACGTGTTGAGGCTGGGTGTAAATATCTCAGTTGTAGCTTGCGCCCAGCTTTCGTAGGTTGTGGGGTGGGTGGAGGTTCAAACGATACGCCGTCCGCTCGTTAGAGTGCATCCGCAGGATCACCTGGCAGAGCAGGCGCCGCGCAGCCTCTGAATGGACTATTGTTGACGTGAAATTACAGAATTATGGAAAATCAGGTGCTCAAGAGAGTGTGCCGCACTGGAGCGGGCTTGGCGCCAGAAGCAAACGGTGAAGGCGGCGAACCGAGCGGAGAGTCTGTGAAAGTTTCTCTACAGCATTGCCGTCATTTTCAACTGATACGCAAACACCACTGCAAGGCGTGATTGAATCCAATCCAGGCTAACTCGCCATATCTTTTTTACTAAACGCTCGAAGTCGATCATCGTCGCCATGGAAACCCGCCCATATACCGCAGGCGGGGGAGTGAAGAAGTGACGAAGCCGACCGTTGGAAACCTAAAACTTCCATGCAATAAGCATCGGCTGCTCTAATGGCCTTCCGTTGAACTCTCTCTTAGCTCTCCACCCTTTTATGTCTACCGAAGACTTGTGTACCTTGAGAAAGAAGGGAAACTCACAGTTCTTCCACCACAGAGATGGGCCATATTCGAGAACGCTAAACAAGGGTGGATAAATCTCCGAAGTTTCCTTAATCAAGGTATATGTTTACGACTCAAGGGGAGAATACGGCAGACCGCATGTCAATCGTGTTAAGCGTACCGGATGGTAACCCCGGGGTTGGAGGTGGAAAGACTCACGATGGTGGAATGGCTCCTCGACAGGTCAGAGAGAGTATCCACGAGCATCCCGTAGTTCCGTATGGGAAACACCGTGGCTCGGATCTCGATATCCTTGAGCCAATCCTTCCTGGCACAACTGTTGAGGAAACTACACAGGTTACGGCACCCTGAGAGCTCTAGTCCTCTCCGTGTTTCAAAGCTCTCAAACACAAGTGTGTTATACCTCACTTCGGTTCCGGCTGTCTCTTGGTAGAGTTTCCGGTTGACATATTTGAGCTGATTGAATTCGTCGGGTATGGCGCGTTTTGATGGTGTCTTGGACGAGTTGTTGGAATCTAAAACACAAAATACAGGCTTCGGCGGAGATAGGTCATTGGACTGAGACTCCCGATAATGAAGGTAGCCATCTGGACTGGACAGTGCATATTCGTATATCATTGTCCGTAGCTCGGGCGGAAGCCGTAGGAGAGGTGGGAGAACATATTCCTCATCTGTATGGGGTGGCTCCATCATGCTGGCTTTAAAGAAACAATTGCTGATTCAGGGCCCTTATAGACAGGGGCAACCAAGCTGAGCGTCTCAGACATATCATCCTGAATGAATACGATCTGAACATATACCATCGTGCCCCCCTTTGCCGGTTGTCTAACAATTCACCTTCAGCTTGTCAGCTGAACCATACTGGTGGTGGCGGCGGGGGTGGCCTTAGCTGGTGATCCGTGCGCAACACAGACAGGTTGCTCGTCCAACTGACATCACCTTTTAGGCAAACGCCATAACAAAGCCTAAAAGCCAGCCCCACAGCAGCACTCCATCCTCCCTTTTCTTTTTCTTCCTGGACGGAAAGATCATTCTCACCATAAAAATGGCGGAACGGGAGGAATACTGGTATCTCGATCCTGAGATTGATGGATCCAAAATCACAGTTCCGGAACTGCGCAGCATCTTACTGAAGCACGGCGTTACGTATCCCTCCTCAGCCAAAAAACCTGCCCTCCTGGCTCTCTTTGAGGAGAACGTTCTCCCGCAGGCCGCAAAATTGCAACGAGCACAGGCGCGCACCAAACGATCCTCGCGCGGAATCGAAGATGTCCCTTCTAGTGCGGCGAGCACCACGACCGACGAAGCTGAAGACGAGACTTTGCTCGCACCGCCGCCCCCATCAGCTAGGCGTACGTCCCGACGAACAAGGGCTGTTTCCGAAGAGGAGCCCATACGAACAACCCGCAGCAGCAGGACGCCGTTGCGCACCGTTCCAACAAAGCATGCGCGAGGGTCAGATGCAGAGGTGGAAGAACAGCCAGCGGTGCGGCGCAATCGGAAGAGTGCCACTCCTGCTGTGAAGCGCGAGCCTGTGGAATCTGTGATAGGCCGGCGGCAAGACGAGGACAGCCCCTTTACTCAGGATAACCCGTTTCAGAGTGGCAGTTCTCCTGTGCCTGACACAGCTGCACGCGAACGTCGTCGCAGAACACTAGGGACAGATCAAAAGGAAAGGAGGAGGAGCGACGCGTATCGGAGAAAGACCTACCAACCCAAGGTTGAACAGCTGGATCAAGGGATCGTTGTCCCAACTCGCCGGACATTTGACGTGCCGGTTTCTCGCATGCCGAAGCAGGAGCCAGTCGAAGAATCGGATGGTGTAGAAGCCGGCGAGGAATTTACTCCCGAAGAGCAGTTGGAATTGGTGCGAGAACGTGCGAGGGCTGGAGAGGTCGACATTCTCCCTCCCCGGCGTCGCAAACAAAGAGCCAAGGCGACTGGAACATTGAAGGCCTTTTCACTGACTCTCCTTGGGACCGCTGCTGCACTGTTAGGAGGCGTTTGGCGACAAGAAAAACTGGCTGTTGGTTTCTGTGGCATTGGGCGCGAATCGACGTCACTCGCCGGTGTTGAGGTCCCAGAGTGGGCAAGTGACATTATTCCACAGTGCGAGCCTTGCCCGCCGCATGCAACATGCTATCAGAACCTAGAGCTTGTCTGCGATAAGGATTTTGTCAAAAAAGACCATCCGCTCTCCCTGGGCGGTTTGATCCCGCTACCTGCCACGTGCGAACCTGATACTGAGAAGACGCGGCGGATCGGCGTGGTTGCAAATCGAGCTGTGCAGCTGTTGAGGGAGCGCAATGCAAAGTACGAGTGCGGGGAGACGGATGCCGAGGGGAATCTTGTTGAGAGCCCACAGATCTCTGAAGGAGACTTGAAGAAGGAGTTGTCTTCTATGAAGCGGAAAGGGATGTCACAGGAAGAGTTTGATGATTTGTTCGAGAGTGCTATTGGCGAGGTCGTGCGTCGGGACGAGACTATCGAGAGTAGCGACGGGTAAGTCATCTCAACTTCGCGCTCTATGCGCTTGATGTGCACGGATCTGACATGGGACTATACTAACCAGTCTGCTGGTTGCGGGTACAGAAACTCCAATGGGCGCAGACTCGCTTCAAACTCCCTCGCCAACCTCCCCCTCGGATGCAGCATCAAGCGATCCCTCAGACACGCTCTTGAACGATATCTTTGGCAGCTTGCTGTAATCATCGTCATCCTTACCTCAGGAGCGTACGGACGCTACTCCATAACCTCAAACAGGGCCATGGAAACCCGTGCCAAGCAGCTTGCCGGCGATGTCTTTGATCGGCTTGCCAACCAAGCTGCTCTCCATCGTGGAGACCCTGGCCGTTATCCGGAGCAGGGCATGAGCATGACGCACTTGCGGGACGACGTCCTCCGCAACGAGTTCTCAAGCGCGCGGAGGCATCAGTTATGGGCGAGGGTGCAAAAGAAAGTGGAGCACAATTCTAACATAAGAGCGGCAGTAAGAGAAACCCATAGCGGTGATGTGGCGCGCATGTGGGAATGGGTTGGGCCTGTTCAGCTCCTGGAAGACGGACGCGGGAGTGAGCGGCGAGAGAGTGGTCGATACAGTTACGGAACTGCGATTGCGAGCAGTCCGCCAGACAGTGTGCAACGAGAGACCTTACAGGTCAAGAAGTGGGACGAGGGTCATCCGATCTACTGACACTGCATGATGTCCGTCTTCTTTGCCTCTTTTCTTTGTTTTAGACATGTCCCTCACTTGTGGGCAACCCCAGGCCCAGGCCACTTCGCGATACATACAAATGTGACAGTAGTTACGATTTGCATACTGGTTCATTTGCTACAACGTATATCGATTTCAGGTTGGAGGATATTTATGCGTCTTTGGGCCCAGTCCCTCCTCTCTTACTTGTAAGAGTGAGTTGTTTAAGGAGCTATGTTTAGTGTAGACAGTAGTAGTAAGCAGGAATTGGTCAAGTCGTTTTCGCGACAGCGTTGCTAATAGCAAAATCATGTCGTGCCATTGTGACAGAATGGTGTAGTTGATTCTGATGGTGAGGCTTGAACTTGTGGCGCAGTTGCTTACATAATATTCAGCCGAGCATCCCACAAACGAACCCACCTGAATTTGACGACCGGGACCGCGACAAAATCCACATCACGACCACCCTTCGCGCTTTCTAACCCTCACAGCGAAATCAGTCACAATGGTAAGTGCAAAAGTTCTTACGGCTGTGGGAATCAATTCTCGGCCTGCGACATGGATGAGCGAGGGCCGACAGCGACCACGAACGAGTTCGATACGACCGCATTCTGCAACGACACGATACTCCGGCCGAACAAGACGATCAATTGGCGAACTATGGCGAATTCAGTCAAAATTTGGTGCATGGGACTGTGGCATGGCGGGTACCGGACAGGAATGTATGGTGATGGACGTACAAACGGCTCTCGCATCACAAGGTGCTTGGATGATGGAGGAACGGTGATGACAGATCGGAAGACCACGACGAGCAAACATGCCCTACTTACTGGCGATGCTGTTCCTTTAATACGGCCGCTACGGCTCTGGAGAGATTCGGCACAGGAACAGGTTCTGACGCTCCCGATTCGACCCGAACAGACGCTCTCGCTATCCGCCCACCGCGGCCGACGCCCATTCATGTCGTTGGAGGTCTTACACTATGCTCGGGATTTTGACTGAGGAATCATACGTTCGGTATGCAATGGAGGCTGACAGCAAACCTTAGGTCAACGTACCGAAGACCCGCCGCACCTACTGCAAGGGCAAGGACTGCAAGAAGCGTTGGTCTACCTTTCACACTTCATGTTGGCCATAGTTACTGAATTCCGGTAGACACCCAGCACAAGGTCACCCAGTACAAGGCCGGCAAGGCTTCGCTGTTCGCTCAGGGAAAGCGTCGTTATGACCGCAAGCAAAGCGGTTATGGTGGTCAGACCAAGCCCGTATTCCACAAGGTATGGGTTTCACTGTGCTCCTCCTAGGACATGTTCTGACAACTTGCAGAGGGCGAAGACTACCAAGAAGGTCGTGCTCCGGCTAGAGTGTACACAGTGCAAGGTACGTTTGGGAGCGCCGGCCCCTACAGACCCCTTTCTCACACCCCGCAGACCAAGGCACAACTTGCCCTCAAGCGATGCAAGCACTTCGAGCTGGGCGGTGACAAGAAGACGAAGGGTGCTGCTCTCGTTTTCTAAGCGCATTCTGTCTTCTCTTTTGTTGGCCTCAGCGTAGTCATTTCTGGCGGATAGGGCTGGGCATTCAGAATCATTCACACACACGGACGGCGAAGCGAGGATAGCGGGGAAAAGAAAGAGGATGCCGGTCACGATTATGGGCTGTACCCTACATATGCATCAAATGGAACTCGGTTGAAGGCCTTCAGTGCAAGAAAATGCAGTCTGGGGTGACGGGGATTAATGATTATCAAGCGATCGCAGAGAGGGAAGGAGATCGTTCATGTATCCTGGTCAACTGCTCGGTGTATCCGTTTGCACTGGCTTTCCAAAACGATTCCCATTCGCCAAGTGTAAACACCAAGCCCTACCTTTCTACGCACGCCAATAAACTGCGTTCCATTCTTACGTTGGCCTCTGCACACCCGCCACTGGTTTTTCTTGCAAGAACTGGCACTAAGTAACAACAAACCGTGCAAGTTCCACTTCGGCTCTCATACGATTGTCCTCCAGACTTCATTTTGATCCTAGTTTAGAGCATGATGCCATAAAAAAACGATGCCAGACCAACTCCGTGGACCACGGTGGCGTGATGACAAGGAAGCACTTAAGGGTCTGTAGTCTCCAGCAAGTGCCACTCTCCTTAGTGATGCAATAGTCAGATACGCAGTCGGTGGCAGGTGTCGAGAACCACTACGCCTGAGAGACGATTATATTGCTCTAGCACGAAGAGCGCTCAAGAAGTATTTCTGAGTACATAGAAACGATTCTACTGAGAAACTCACGAGCGGCACGGTGTTCTTAGCGAGCTTGGAACCAGCCGAATCAACACCGTATATGATCGCCCAGGACTGGAAACCAACCGGCTTCATTCCTTTATAGGTAGATCTGATGCGCTTCGTAGCATTAGTTGGCTTAGAATGAATATGAACATACACATCCTAACGATCTATAGTATAGAAGTGCACGGTGCTAGACGTAAAGGTCTACTCCAGTGAGACTTATTCACAGGCCATTTTTAATAAAATCCCAGATACAGGGTGCCAGGAAGTGCACCTCGCTTTGCAAGATCACCTGCTCAGAAGGCCATTTGGTATTCTTGGACCGAAACGAGAGGTTTGGGGCGTTCAATTCCGCAACATCATGACCTCGACGCCACTCTTCCGCCCTCCACCGATCCCTCAGAAAGTACAACCGCTCGTCATGGTAAGCTCCACCGCGCTTAAAGATATCCAACGTAGAACCACGTAAGGCCAGTTTGAGGAAGACGAAATGATGAGCAAATAACCAAATCTGCCCCCTCTTGCTCTTTATTCGAGAGCAATCCATGACATTGTACTGAACACGCGCCAAAGGATTGCAGCGGCAGAACGTCGCGATCTCGATGAACGTCTTCACGTTGTCGAATTGATACCCGCCCTTCTCAAAACTAACGAAGACGGGATCCAGTTCGACTCTCCGTAGCAACGAAGTGTTTATGCCCGACGGGCCGTTTACGAAATCCACGAATCGCTTGCCCGGCAGCTCGTCCTTGACTCGTCGGAATAGGACAGGAGCGTGGCGGAGTTCCAGATCGGTGCATTCGGCCTGCAGTTGGCGGCAGACGTATTTCAGTTGGTTGTATTCTTTTAGGGTGTATTTGCAGTGGCGGCCCTCACGGCTACGAACGCAGGCGAAGCCGGCGGCGATGCGGCGTTTGAATGCGGGTAGTCTTTCGCCTGGGGGTCTCGCGTCGGCTTCGGTGTAGTATACCAGCTCTGAACAGGGGGAGATATCGCTGAATAGGTGTTTGTAGATCAGGTTGCGGACCTCTGGGGGCAATCGGAGTAGATGGCATTGTTGGGTCGGTGGTTCGGACTTGGTTTCCATTGATGGGATCGCTCGTAGTGTGGCAGTGTTGGTATTATCGCCCTGGGTATCTTTCGACGACTCTGTTGGCGCGCCTATTATGGCAGTCACTGTCCTTGTATCCATCTACACCCTACGGTGGTTGGCGTAATTCGACACCTATGATAGGTACGAGGCTTTTCCAGGCTTGCAGGATCATGAAGGGAACGCAGTTCGACGGAGAGAAAACTCTTCTTCCTCAAAAACGGAGGGAGTCTCTCTGCGTACGAGTTTCGCTTCACTGTTCCTAGGATGGGAAGGGAGTCAGACATCAAGTGGCACAGCAGTGGTCGTGCTAGTCCCAGATCGGAAATTTGTGGGGTAGGCCTTGGCTCAATATGAACTTAATATCAACCACTTCCTGACTTCGTAACCTCATCCTTGACACATCAAGTCGGATTCGCTCCGTCTTCGCAGACAAGAAAGCCTCTTCAAATGATGCCACTCCATACTTGAACGTCATCAAGAGAAATTAATCCGGGGTACGACTCGATCGAAAATGGCGCTGGAGATCTACCCCGGACCGTGTGCCCGCCACTAAACCGCGTTATACCTGGCATGCCGGCGGCTCCATTCAGATTGATTAAGGGCAGAGTCACGCCGTCTCCTTCTGCCAGTCACGTATCTGGTCTGGAATTTGGGCCCTTCGAATAGGCAATCTGCAAATGTAGGGTGGTATCCACATCTGATAGGGGTCGCTTCTCCCGGCCCCAGCGATCCGGGTTGAAAATGGCGATGGCTTGAGAGAATCCGGGGATGGGGCAGATTGCGGTGGTTTTTATATAGAGCAAGGGACGCTTCTCTCGAGAGCCTGTCTGCGTCTGCTTTTGGTCTCAGGTTCATCTCGGTTTTCACCTTCATATCGCAATGTTCGGATCTGTTGCGCTTCTCAGCGCTCTTGTTAGCGCAGTGTCTGCAGGCACGTAGGAGGGCAATCGTTGATTTCCATCGACTAACAGATGTACCAGGCACAATCCTGTGGGATGGCCGCTTCAACGATATGACATCGAGCGCTGACCTCAACAAATGTACGCCCTCAGGCATCGTAACTTTCTTACAAGTGAACAACTCACGCTGCGTAGGGTCATGGGCGAACCAGGTCGGAAACTACCAGTACTACATCCACGGATCCGGCGCCGTCACCAAATACGTCAACCTGTCCCCCAGCTACAAGAACCCGGCGGACGAGGGCTCCAAGCAGGGGGCAAAGATCACCATCGACAACACGGCCAAGTGGAACTCGGACATGTGGAGGACCGAGCTCATTCCCCAGACCAAGGCCGCCATCAACAAGGGGACTGTGTACTACCACTTCTCGATCAAGCGCTCGACGACCAACGTCCCGAGCGCGACCAACGAGCACCAAATCTGCTTCTTCGAGAGCCACTTCACGGAGCTCAAGTACGGCTGGGTCAATGGCGAGCAGGGCACCAGCAACACCAACCTGCAGTGGATGGTCGGCGGGCAAAGCAAGTGGAAGGTCCAGCTCGAGGCGGATGTCTGGCACAATGTTGCTTATGAGATTGTACGTGGCGTGACGATCATTCCTGAGAAACGTGGGCGTGCGTCGCTAACATAGGTCAACGACAGAACTTCTCCTCCAACCAGGTCACCTTCTGGCACTCCACTGGAGCCGACCCGCTTACCAAAACTGCCGGTCCTTTCTCGACTAGCACGTCGTCCAACGGTGCGGATTGGCATCTTGGTGTTCTGCGTCTCCCTCGCCAGGGCAATGACGGCACTGGCGCTGAGGACTGGTACTTCAGCGGCGTCTATATTGAGAGCGGTTCCTTGACGACGTCGGTGAATAGCCCTGCTGCTTAAGGGGCTGGGATATGTCGGTACATGGATGTGTGTCACACGCACAGTATGGTACTCGAAATAGATGCCGCCACAACTTTTGCCATCGCCCGTGTCTTGCTTAATGCATGCATAAAACTGTTGCATGATATTTAGATTCAGTGAGACGTAAGACACGCACTTGCATGACTATACAAAGAATCTGTATCGGCTTTCCAAAACGATCCATGCTCTGCAACTCCGAACCCTCCCATGGCCCCAAAATGCAGAAGAGGAGACTTTGTCAGTTTATATTCTCGTTGCGGACGCCTTATAGCCCAAGACATAATCCAAACTAGACATCTGTTTCGTGAGCTTACGGGAAATCAGCCACCGTCAGAAAATTCCAATATACTTGAATATTCTTAGCAAGATCGTCAAGAGACAGTCATTAAGATATTGCCATTGCAACACAAGTCCCGCCAGCTCACATTCAGATGGCCCACCCCCGGCGCTTTTACGAATACCACCCACATCGCGTACTTGAGAGATGTTATAACAAGTTAACTCCTAAAACCGTAGACCCAACCGCTACAGTTATCTACGCGCGTCTTGTCCTCTGCATGCCCACCTCATCTTACTAAAGTACGGGTAGCCTGCAGCGATATGCCTATAATCCATCCATGCGCGAGATATCCATGATACATACGTAGGTAGGTAAGTAGCTTGACAGAAGGCGTGTATGCGAGCATTGTCTGGAAGAGCTGTGGCTGATCTGTCTGCTCTGGTAAGGATGAAAAGTCCTGGTGGTTCTACCGCTTAAAAGGTATGAGAATGTTATGCCCCTTATATCAACGTTGCAACGAGGCAATCGTGAGGTCCCAGCAACTAGAAAAAGGCCACAAAGTATCTCGGCAAGTGTACCATCATACTCTAAGAGCTTAGTGTAGCTGATATGAAGATGTACCTAGGTAGTAAGTATGCATGGACATCACGTGCGGCCCCTATTCACTCCTCTTACCCGATTCAGAATTCCCCGAAACAAACATCTTCACGGACGCAGATAGATGCACACTACATCTACCGCTTGAACCTACTTTCCCCCAATCAAAAGAGAAACGTCACAAATACCCGTTTGTCACCTCGGGTCCCCCTCGTGCTGTGTTTCCCAGCCCTAAATACCCTTCCGCGGCTGCGTTTCTTTGTTTCCCCCCTCCTATTCCCCGTCCCCGGTCCAACAACCAGCTAGCTAGCTAGAGCTAGAGTAGCAGCCTAGGCAACCCTCAAAGGCCCCTCTTCTTCCACTTCCCTCCTTTTCCTCACCATCTAATGCCAGCAACATCAAAACCCCATGCATGCTTCTAACCCCCCCCTATCCTAACAAATCAACCAAACGACGATGAAGATCGCTTTACGGGGTAACCACCCCAATTCTCCCACGCAGCATGAGCAGCGCAGAGCAGAGCAGAGCAGAGCGGAGCGGAGAGGGCTAGATTGGCATGTGCAAAGTGCTCTCAAGCTATCTACTAGCCTAGGCTCTACCTAGGTACCTTCTACCCTCCCCTCCCTCCCCCTCCCCTCTCCTCTCCTCCTCTCTTCCTTCCCTCCCCCCAAACCCTTCCCCATTTCTCACACCAACGAACGGAACCGCCCGGCTCTACTCCGCATTTACGATCCCTAGGGTATGCATCCCGTGCCTGTCCTCCAGACAAACCATCAATAGAGTCGCCACGAAATAATGGTGAACGCAAAGGAAAACGTACCGGGCTTTCCACTCGACCCGCCGCGGTACGCAAGTAAAGTGGGTCGGTCGGTCACACTAAGTACAACTCCACCCTAAACGTCAGAGCCTTTCTTCGGACCCACGACCCACCAGAAACCCGTCAGAATGAAATTTTTCCCAGCCACAACAAACGCCAGAAAGAAAACCAAAAATGGGCTCAACCGACGTGTCTTCTACTGAAGAAAGGCTTCGGACTCACAACAGCAGCAATTACCTCTACACATACAGCCCGGGGAAATCGACATCACGGCAAAAGAGACAAGAGCACGGCACCTGTCTGTTCCACACAGATTGATGGTTGAGTTGAGGAAAACAGATGTAACATCTATAGGTAGTTGTCTCTCCACCCCACCTCCTTCAACCACGCAAGATCAGTACCTTTCCTCGCCGGCCGAAATCGAGCCCACTCACAAACGACACTCCCACGATCCCAAGCAACCCCGACGGTTCTTGACTGCCAGAAGAAGAGAGCACAGAGGGAGAGACAACCGCCCCAAGAAAGAAAAGAAGAAGCCAAGAGATTACGCATTAACCCATCTCCGTTTCGAACCTCGAATCCGTCCTAACCATTGACTATCCGAATTCGAAAGACGATAAGATACAGGTTTCGTTGGTGGTCATGATGCTCGAAAGGCAAGGGAGGTATAACCCGGCAAGGAAACTGTCGTAACCCGCTGCACCATCATCCCAGTCATCATCGCTCCAGTGGTTGTCCGTTCATAAGCGTGTCGTCGTTAAGTAAAGGAGAAGAGAAGGAAAGTCAGGGAGAAAAGGGAAGAAAACAGAAATCAAGCACAAAGGAGCGGAGGCGAGTGTGAAACCACCCGAAATAAGAAGGAAAAAGAAAAAAAAGTTCAAGGAAATGCCACACATGTAGCGGCCTCAAGCGATCGGTGCGGATCGCCTGCATCTTGTCCCGAGCCACCGCTGGCGCGACCAGTTATCGAAGTGTAGCAGAAGACATCCCCTCGTAATGGCCAGGCCATTCGCATGACGGCCTGATAAGGAACAAATGAAGGGTAAGTGCAGAAGATGGCCAGCCCCATGCTGAACTATGTGTCGAAGAAGATAAACACAGAAAAGGAGGCGGCCGGAAAATGATCCAAAGTCGGCAGAAGATATGGACATAGGAAACACTTTTGAGTAGATGATGTGGCCGGTGGGCCGTACGAGTCGCCAAAAGATCCATACAGTGGATATGAACATCGCAGCCGCAAGCAGTGTCGCTGGTAACGCCGGTGGAGATGCTGAACCGAACACCTATGCACAAATACAGGTCATAAGGTCGTAGGGCTCCGCCTACGAGCGATCGGAACGATCAGGCGTGGCAGGCAGACCGGCGAAGCGTTGCTCGAAAGAGGCCGGCGGCTCGAACCCGTGGAGTATAGAGGCACGAGGGAAGGTATTGCTGGGCTTCGCATTGAACGGCGACCCTAGCCGTATCGTGGCTTGACCTTCAGCGAGCTGGGATTCGGTAGAGGGATGTTGTTGGCCAGGCATAACGTCGGCGAGATTGGCAAAAGGGTTGAACTCGGGTGGCCCACTGGTAGAGAGAGGAGGTCTACGAGACCCTTCGACCATATCGCCCAAGCTGAAGCCACGGCTTCGCACGCGACGATGGCTAGACTCTGCGGGCGCGCCAAACAGTTGCTCAACAAAGCTATCCCCTCGGTTGCGAACCTGCTCCTCAAAGTTGTGCAAGGCACGACGCCTGAAGGGTCGAGAGATGGGGCGAGGAGCGTGCAACTGCAAAGGTGAGCCCAGCCGAGGGGCATGACCGGACGGCGCGTGCCAGGTCTGGGCATTGTGCTGGGAGATGCTCATGTCGGTCATTTCAGACATTTGGGAGAAGGATGAGCCGAGCATGCTGCCAATCCCTAGCCCAAGGCCAATGTGTAGGGATTGGGACTTCTGATGAGCGGAAGCACGAGCGTGAGACCAATCATTCTTAGGAGCCCGTGGCGTAGCGTCGCTTGCAAGCTGGGACAAAGGGTTTCCGTATTGCATAGAAGGGGCTGTGCTCGTCGTCAATGAAACGTTCATGTCTCGGATTGAAAAGCTTGGGGCTTCTTCAACGAACGGAGACGAGAGTCTGCGAGGGGGCGAAGATTCCCGCTCGCGGGGAGACGACTCAAATGGTGACGGCGACCGGTTGTCCACGAGACGTTGATAATGGGCGGATAAAGAGGGCCGATGCTTAGCCAGGTACCGCAATCGCTTACGACACTGCTTTTCCGAGGGGAAGCGCATATATGTCTTGCCGGAGATGGGAACAGGCGTGCTGCTACCGCTCTTCACGGGCCTGATGGTATCGGGCGTACCGCAACGAGAAGCGAACTTGGACGTAGAGCGACCTAGGGCAAGGGCAGAGGAGGTGCGCGGGCCTTTCCATGTCTTGCGAGCCATCCTTGCGACACGATGGCAAGCTCCGTTTGGCGGTACAGTGCTGGGAAGAGCCTTGAAAGGGGTGACGGTAGGGTCCTGAAGATACGTCATATAAGTCATCCATAGGTGGCGGTCCATTTCCTCGGTGAAGACGGTTCGTACTTTGATCTTCATCCTTGGGATACTGGCCGGTTGGCTGGGTCGTTGAGGGATAAGTGGTGATGACACGGCGCGCGAGTACTTCACTTCTGAGAACAAAGGAAACGGGCTATGCCTGTCATCCTCAGGTGAAGTACACGAGCCCCCAAGCGAAGGGAAGGATGCAACACTGCCCCTGGACGATATGGACGAATCTGAAAAACCAGAAGAGGACGCGGGCCTGCTTGATGTCTCGCTCTGCGCGGTGGGCTTGTTCACGGTCGACCAAGTCTGACCGTCGTCACAATCACCAACGATTCTTACCTGGGACACAGGTGTCTTGGGAGGAGAGAGCATGCGCGGAAGGGTAACGGGCGGCGACAGGAATCTCCCACCGGGGTGGTTATTCAAGGTGGGAGGTGCCAAGTGTACGTGGGGTTGAAGCTCTGGCGCTTCTATCGTCGGGATGGGTAGGTCATCGATGGGCTCGTCCAGGCCATAGTTGATGGGAGCGGCCGCAGTAGTGCGACGCCGGCGCACCTTCAGAGTGGCTCGAGGAGGAGGAGGAGGTGGTGGTGGTGGCTGGAGGTCTTCTTCAGGTGCCTGGGGTTCGGGAGTCTTTGGGTTCTCTTCATAGTGGAATTGAAAGCTGCGTGGCAGAGTAATTGAGTGGTGAGGGCGCTCTGCGTCCATATTGGCAAACGTCGTCCAGATGGTCTGTTAGGCAGCGACAAAGCAGGGTCTAAGAGTGAACAGCTCCCTTGGTCCCAAGGGTGTCGAGGAGGCAAATCTCCAAAGCGCTGCAAGGAGCCAAGGGAGGGGATTACTGCCGCGAGCTGGTTGGGCGCATGTGCGGGTAGAGCAACTAGGCGGACAAGCTCAAGGATGCAGATGTGAGGGCGTGTGCAGCGATGAGCGGGTCGCGACAGTGGTTTGGGAGCTGCGAACGCGACAGTGCGCCTGCACGGGGGGTTACACGGAGGATCGAGTCGTCTGGCGGGGCGCGCAAAGGTGGTGCTGCGATGCGCAATGAGTAGCAGAAGCGCAAACGTCGGAGGAGAGTTGTAGTGGATGCGCAGGCGGGTGGCGCACGAGGTGGGAAGGCGCGGAAGGTGTGGGTGGCAGGCGCGACCAAGGCGACTTGCAAGATGTAGCAGCGACGACAAGGAAGGAGGGACGGCGAGCAACAGAGGCGCGTCACGAGAGGGGTTTGAACGGCGAAGGCAACGATTGCGCGGGGCGTAGCGAGTGCTCCGAGGTGCAGGTGTTTGCTAAGTGTGGCAGCTTGGTCGTCGTGGACTCGTGGAGAGCGACGGGGTCGAAAAGGCAAGGAAAGACCGGGCGGCGGCGTCAAGACATGGCTTGAGGAGAGAAGTTGGCGACGGAAGGAGCGTGCGCTGAGGAGGCCGACGAGGGTGGGAGTGGAGGAGGAGAGGTGGAGGAGAGGTGAAGCGGAGACGGAGGAGGATGGGGCGCGAGATGAGGTGAGGGTGAGGGTGAGGGTTGAGGGTGGGCGTGGGCGTGGGCGACGGGGAAGGGAAGGGGGCAGGAAGGGGCCGGCCGGCGGTTCCTGCCAGTTAGTAAGTAACTGCTGCCGCGAGGTGCGCTATCGGCTAGGCGAGGACGCTAAGCTGATCGGGGATGGCCAAGGCCCTCGATAACCCACAACCCACAACCACTCCACTTGACGTCCAACCAACCCTCCTCGTCGTTGGCCATTTTGCTCCACGTTGCTCTGCAGCCCGCGTCTGCGCAGTGGAGTGGCAGTTGTCTAGAACATGCATCGAAAACTCGGCCAATGCTTTTCTCCTTTTTCCCCTTATTTTTGGTGGTTGGCTGTCGCTCTGGCTACCAGCAGTCCATACAAGAGAGCAAGGGCAAGACCACCGCGAAAGAGACGCGTTCAGAACGCGTCCAGACGGCATAGTACGCGCCGCCCACAACAGGAACCCTGCATGCACACAAACACTCCACTTGTCGGAGCCTCCTGCACCTGCACGCTGTCCTGCACGCCCGCTCCACAACGGCTCCCGCTCCTCGCAGCCCTCCTGACCCTCCTCATGGCCCTCGTTGCGGTCTCGTTGGCATTTCTCCAATTCCCCACGTTCTGCTGCTGTTGTGTGTTGCCCTGTCCCACGGCGAGAAACAAGCAAGCAGTCGGCAGCGCGTCCATGTATTGCCAGCAACCAGATGATGCAGCTGCTGCATCTGTCCCACCTCGCAGAATCATCAATACTGGAGTCTCTGCTGTCACCCCCCACTTGCTGCTCTCTGATTGCCCCAGGCCTGGTCAATTCGAAAATGGCCGTATCGCCTTCAGCGCCAACGCGCAGCCTGTATGGAGTCCGACGATTAACTAACCCTACGCACGAGGGCCGTTGGGACAATCCCCACGCTTGCCCCAAATCTGTCACGCCACGCTGCACACGTGCTCCCTGGACGCACCCGCAATGCACCTCTCGTCACACTCCAATATTCTCCATTTTCGTCCCCCATCGCCCCTCACTGGGCAGCCTCCCACAGCCGTCGAGCTGATTGGGCCTCGTCTGCATTTTCACCAACAATTCCACACCTGTCAACGTCTCCAACCTTTCAGGTGCTCCCATCTGCTGATGTCTGATCCCATGCCATCACGGTTATTCGCGCTCAACCAAATCCACACGTCCCTCACGCGAGTGTTCCTCTTCCCATCAGCCGATAAACTTCATGTACTCCGCAGCTCCCCATACTGTGATAGGCACCAGGAGCATCCAGGTGCCGCTAACGGGTCGAGGATCAGTCAGGAGCAAAAATTCCCTCTGGTATTCAAAAATGTTTCTGCAAAAGGTATCTGCTACTGAAGACAAAACAAGGCGAATAACTGCCATGACCATTTCCATCTCATGTACGGAGTAGGTATCCACGTGTTCCTCATCATCATCATCCATCATACCTCTTCCGCTTCATTCCGTCAACCTGGAACCATCATTCCCTCATGTCATTCGTCTGTCTTTTTTTACAGTCCAAGAGCCGAGTTGAAAGCATCAGCAGCCGCCTGGCCCACCAGACCATTGGCTGCTGCTGCGGCTGCCTCGCAGCTGGAGACAACGTCTGCACCCACGCTGCACCTATTGGAGATCTGGGAGCAGATGAAGTTTGAAATGACCGCAATGTTGAGAGCCGATCCGTGGTTGAAGAGGCTCAGGTCGGCCGGCTCAAATGCATCCTGTTGACGACCATCCGACGGCGCACCGAACACAATGGCCGCATTGCATCCACCCACATTATTGTTCGAGTCCACACCGGCGTTGTCGACTCCCTCTCCGGCCTGGTTGTTGGCACCCTTCTTCTTGTTGGCATCCTTGCCCTTGGCTTCCGCCTTCCCCTTTCCTTTCCCCTTCCCCTTCCCCTTCGCCTTTCCCTTGCCCTTGCCCTTGCCCTTGCCAGCCTTCTTCTTCTCACACGCGTTCGCAGTGTTGTTGTTATTGTTGTTCCCAGCTGCAACACCGCCAGCAACATCTTGGACCGCTGCAAGAATCTCCTCCTCGCTCAGGTCGTCAACCCGTAGCCCGAGCGTGTTTATGCATCCGTTCGGGTCATTCTCGTCGTTGCAGCCGCCGCCGTTGGCCGTTGGGTCGCCAATCTCGCCAGGAGCAAAAGTGCTGGCTTCGTTGGCACGGAGTGGGTCCCCGCCGATGGAAGCGATTTGGCGAGCAAGCTCAGCAGCAATCTGCTTGTTGAGCTCTTGCTGCTCGGCAGCAGCGTCCTGATGCTGCTGAAGAGCCGCAATCTCAGGATTGACCGCCTGAATCGACTCGCAGGGCACAGACTCCAAGCCGACGCTCCCCGTATTGCGCTCCAGTGCCCTGAAGATGAGAGCGTCCGTCATGCCATCAATGTCTCCAGCCTCCTTGGCATTGGTGAAGGCCTGGTCCGCCGTGGCTTGCTGGAGGCAATCCGGATCAGCAATGTTGCCGGCTCCCTGGGATGCGGCCGCGGCTCCAAGCAGGCCGAAGACGGCGGCCTGGATGTTGTCTGGGTTATTGAGAGCCAGCAAGGCATCTACCTTGCGAAGGATGTCTTCGTGTGCGTGCTCCCTAGGAACTGATCGCTTCGCCATGTGAGCTGCCGGCATGGCAGTCACGGCCCCGAGCATGGGAAGCGCATAGAGAATCTGTTGCTTCATCCTGATGTTGTTGAATTCGGAATGGGCTCTCGGTGTTCTTCGTCAGGAAAAAGAGTGTGGGAAAAGTAGAGAATAGAAACAACTCTAAAGGACCGGCCAAGATCGTTTCTCCAGGGACGATTGAAAAGAATGGAACGAAGAACGTCAAAGAGGCAAACGAAAGACTTGTGTGAGCGGATGAAAGGGATTCCTCGGATTGCGGACCATGCATTGCACTTATATACATACAACCGGCAGCTACGCGAGAACAGCTCGAATCGCCAGCCAGCTGCACCGACTGACATGGATCGATCCCTGGAAACGGCAGACTACCGCATGAGTTCGAGCTCCTGAGCGCATCTACCGCAACATGAACGCACGCCTTGCTGTGAGGTTGAGACTGACTTGAAAACCAGGTCGCCTATGCCTGATTCGTCGGTTTGGAGCACTGTGATTGGTGCGCATGTGCCAAGAGTTCGGGTCCACTTCTCTGACGGAGCCGAACATTTGGAGACATCATCTGCTTCACAACCGTCGAGCCAGATCCATAACAATACAGGCTGCGTTGATATGCGACGGTATTCGAAGGCATCCACGACTCAAGGGTGCAGACTCCTTGTGTGTACCAACCGATGCTGTGGGCGAGTCAGCTTGGGCTATTTCTTCTCCACCTATATTGGTGATATCTCAAATGCCGGAGCCGCAAATGCTATCGTCACCAGCTTCGCGGAAGTGATGATTCAATCTGCTGTTATATTCTCTCAAGTCCAGCTCCGCTTCTTGGGGAGCAAGCGTCTTTTCCCAAGATAACTTTTAAGAGTCGACCCATGTTGGCGGCAATGGGGTCCAGTACTCCAAAGGGTTTGCAATGCCACTGGTTTGAGGTTTGATTACCCGTAATGCAGGTTATCGTCTGCCAGGGCTTTGCTACTTCGCCCAGTCCCTATAGACGACCGACGAATTGCGCTTTCACGGAGGTGCCGCACGCAAGCCGTACATACTTGCGGCTTTCCAACGGCGTGCAGATACTCCGCAGCTGGGATGTGCAGTTCTCTCTCCCTCATCCGGTGCCTAACGTTCACGCAATACGGCATCGCTGCTTGCTCGAGAAGAAGTAGGGAGTTTCCGCTGCACCTGCCAGAATACACCAGTTCTGGAATCTGGAGAAGTCTTCCAGAAAGCCATGTACTCACTAGTCTACTTGATTACACCTTTCAGCACGCCGGCTTACCAAGTTCCCGGTTACAGGAGGCGCCAGTGCGACTGGTTCGGAAAATTAAAGGGTCCAGGTGAGCCCTAACGCTCCAAGACACCCGTTCTTATAGTTTGCCAAGTATAGCGTGCCTTGGATATCGGGATTGGCTGACACGGATTCGACATCAAAGTACTCCTTGTGTCTCGAAAACCATCATGAGGTTGAACAACACAACGGATGTCGTTCAGCCACATATGGACCAACTCCATGGTCTCGAGGAGCATTGGGGCACGCACCGACACAGCTGTACAGCCTTGAATCATTGACACCGGAAAGGGTCATAACCGCATCGGCTCTGCGGTCTCCTACACGTCTTTTTCTCAATGAGATTCATTCTCACCAATATAATCCCATGGACCCTCCCTGCGCGTTGGCTCTTTGTATGATTTCTACACTCGCACAAGATAATTAATCCTTCTCTTTTTTCTCGGTCCTCATATTCGCCTTCTCCAATACTTCATCGCCTTGAACGACATACCCGCCTCGAGCTCCACACATTCCTTTCAAGACTACTTTGATTACGACTCCTCCGATCGATCCCCACCGCATTTCATCCACCGCACACTCCAATATCACTCTTATCAGCAGCACATCATGGCACCCTCCCGCACAATAACCATATCCCGCCCCTTCGACGCCCGCCATGTCTCTGGCGTAAACGTAACCCTCAAACCCGTACCGATGCCGGACTGGGATAAAACGTTCCCTCCTTCCTCTTCTCCGTCCTCTTCCTCGACACTAAAAGCAACGCAATTGGAGCCAGATGAGGTCCCAACACATCTCAACATCAGCGCCTCCACGGCGCAAGTGCCGAAACGATCACATTCGCTTGCGAGCAGTTTGAGGAGGCCGAGTTTGAGGTTCGCGAGTTCGATGTCGAGATTGAGGGGAAGGGCGAGGTCGGCATCTGGGGTGAAAGAGGGTGATGTGGTAAGGACAGCAACGTCCAGGGCGTTGGAGGCACCGCCACAGATCCCTGCGTTGAAGGAACTCACGAAACCTAAAGAGCAAGACACGCCAGCAATCTCGACCGCGCAGGCATCATCCGGACAGCCACACATCCCGGATCTCAAAGACCAGGGTATGTCCGGATCCCAGGCTATGCGCAACCTGACTACTGTCCGGCCGAAACGAGCGGATTCGGGGACGGCGATCGATTTCTCGGACGTTGCGCCCGAGGACCGGCCAGTGGGGTTTCAGGAGATTATGAAGGTGGAGAGTCTGGAGAAGAGGATGAGGCTGTATCGGAAAACGAGGGAATATTGGGCGAAGGCGGATCATGGGCTGGAGGGGTGGATGGTGGAGGTTGGGAGACGGAGGTTGTGAATTGGCGCATCTCGGGTTGCACTTCGTTGGTCCTTACTTTTTGATGCCGTTTTGGCATTGCCTTATTTGTCGAGTAGAGACAGTTGAGGGGTGGGATGGACGTTGCAAGCAACGACGAAATCATATATATGTAATGTCTTTGGATGATTATTTTATTATGCACATATTTCTTTTCCGAAGGAGATACCTCGAGAGATCTTTGTCCCCCACTTGTCCTACCTCCAAAACTCCCAGCTCCTATCATCCGGGTATACCAACTAGGCTCGACTTCCCTCAAGAGATCTCCCTCATTGCCTTCCTCCCCTCGGCAATCGCCTCCTTCGCCTTGGTGACCTCTTCCGTCGGTGCCTCGCCTCCTTCGGCCTTATTCGTTTCCTGTATTCGTGTCAAGACTAGGAAAGGGGAAAGGGGGAAAGGGGGGAAAGGGACGTACGAGAAGCGCCTCGAGCTCTTTTATGGCGTCGGCGATTTTCGCCCGAACGGTCGGGAGCACCTTTTTGGTTTCATAAACGGCTTGACGCTGAATTGACGTGTGTGGTCAGTAAAGTGCGGACTGGGTTTTGCACGACATTAATACAGCTGATGAGCTAGGCAGGGATTTAAGAAGAAGAAAAATGTACCATCTACTGCCCCTGGACATAACGAAAGAAAAAAAAAGGTAATTAATGATATGATACATACCTCCTGCCGCAGCTGATACTCTGCATTCTCGTCACTCCCGGGGTTTTCCTCGAGATGCTTGATGCGGGCTTCTTGCTGCGCGAGCTCCTGGTGGTAGGAGGCTTCTTCTTTGACGAGGCGCTGGAGGGAGGAGGTTGTGATTTTCAGTTTGGAGGGCGGCATGATGATGTAATTTCAGAGGAGGTTAAACAGAGTATCTCACTTTCTGGCTCTTCGGTTGTGTGATTTGCCTTGCTTCTACAGCTACCTCCCCGCCTGCAGATGGGAGCTTGGGAGGATTATGTTGAGGGGCTCATTCGCTTATCGATAACGGAACACGCCAAAAAATTCAATTAAACCCTGATTAGGTGTAGTGTCCTCGCGCACGATTCACCGCGTTCGGTTTTCGCGTTTCGCGTCCCCCGGTCAACTACTAGCCAGCTGCCAAACTACACATCTCACGATTTTCCAGCAAAGCACAACAACCCCTTCCCCCCATATACCCCTCTCTTTCTTCCTCATTTCCCCTTAAACACCATAAAATGTCGTCACCAGCCCAGCGTCGCTCCCAGCGAAGCACCGCCTCCGCAACCCCCCGCGGAAGCGCCCGCACAACAGCAAGAAATTCACAAATCCCTTCTAGCAGTCCTGCCCCCGGTGGGCCGGACGAGCAGCTCTTTTCCGAGGCGTCGCAGGCCGAGCAGAGGAGCTCGCAGGCTACGCCGAGCAATAGTCGACTTCAAGCTGCTGGCGCTCCGACACAGTCGCCGCTGTTCTTCTCGCCGGCGAATGCGTCGGGTTCAGGAGGCGGGAATGGAGTGGGCACGGATGGGAATAGGACGCCTAGGGCGAGTGGGTTGGGCATGGGAGGTACGTCGCAGGTTTCTGAAGATTGCAGCGAGAATGTATATCTAACGAGTCGATCAGAATCCTCCCCCATCCGCTACGAATCCAGTTCCCCCGGCCGCGCAGCTCGCACCCCGACCAACAACATCCCCGGCAGCAGCAGCAGCGCGCTCTTTGTGCGCGGCCCCAGCGACATCGCGGCCCGCAACCGCCGCAGCGACATCCACTCGGACGTCTTCACCCCGAGCACCGCAACCCGGCGCCGGAGACTCTTCGTCGACGAGAACGGCGTGGCTGTCCACGATGCCTCGGACGCGGCCACGTTTTCGAACCTCAATCCCGATACTTCGGATGCGGATGCCCTGGGCGGGAATTCCTCGACGGTGATTTGGGGCACGAATGTCGCGCTGGCGGATACGTTGAGCGCCATGAAGGATTTCCTGTTGAATTTTCAGAGAAAGTATCGTATGATTCAAGACGGGGAGCTGGATGAGGGATTGAATCTTCCGCCGGGGCATCCCGGGCTGGCGAGGGAGTATGTGGATATGATGAAGACAATGCTGGAACTCGGCGTCACGCCCTTGAACGTGGACGCGAGGAATTTGAAGGCCTACCCGGGGACAAGGAAACTATGGCATCAGCTGCAGGCATTTCCGAGCGAGATCATTCCGCTCATGGATGTGGCCATTAAAGATGTCATGATTGAGTTGGCGGAGAAGCGCATGGCGGAACTGAGGTTGCAGCATTCGCAGGCTCAGCGTGGTGCGCAGGGGAGGGATAGCTCGTTGCCTCCGGCTCTGAGTTCGGACGCTCCTACGCCTGGGGCACCGAGTCCTGCTGCTGTGCCCGACTTCCCGGATTTGGTAAAAGAGGTGGATCAGAAGACGTATAGGGTCAGGCCGTTTGGGCTGGATAAGACTGTCAATCTGCGGGATCTGAATCCGGGGGATATGGATAAGTTGGTGAGCATCAAGGGCTTGGTTATCAGGACGACGCCTATTATTCCGGATATGAAAGATGGTGAGTGTCGTCTCTACTTCCAGTCATGCCTTTGCTGATTGGAAACAGCCTTCTTCAAGTGCTCAGTCTGCAACCACACCGTCAAAGTCGACATCGACCGCGGCAAGATCACCGAACCCGTCCGCTGCCCCCGTGCCGTCTGCGAATCCGCCAATTCCATGCAAATCGTGCACAACCGCTCTGGTTTCGCGGACAAGCAAGTCATCAAGCTACAGGAGACTCCGGACAGCATCCCTGACGGCCAAACTCCGCACTCCGTTTCCATCTGCGCCTACGACGAATTGGTCGATGTCTGCAAAGCCGGCGACCGTGTCGAAATCACCGGAATCTTCAAATGCAACCAAGTCCGCGTCAACCCGCGCCAACGCACCGTCAAGAACATCTTCAAAACCTACGTCGATGCCCTGCACATCCAGAAGGTCGACAAGAAGCGCATGGGCATCGACCCCTCCACCATCGAGGAAGAACTTGCCGCCCACGCCGCCGGCGACATTGAAGAAACCCGCAAAGTCAGCGAGGAGGAGGAGGCCAAGATCAAGGCCACGGCCGCGCGGCCGGATCTCTACGACTTGCTGTCTCGTTCCCTGGCGCCGAGTATCTACGAAATGGACGACGTGAAGAAGGGAATCCTCCTCCAACTCTTCGGCGGCACCAACAAGACGTTTGAAAAGGGCGGATCCCCCCGCTACAGAGGCGACATCAATGTGCTCCTCTGCGGTGACCCATCGACGTCCAAGTCGCAGCTCCTGCAATATGTCCACCGCATCGCTCCGCGCGGCGTCTACACGTCTGGCAAGGGCTCCTCAGCAGTCGGTCTCACAGCCTACGTAACGCGCGACCCGGAAACCCGCCAACTGGTGCTCGAATCTGGCGCCCTCGTCCTCTCCGACGGCGGCGTCTGCTGCATAGACGAATTCGACAAGATGAGCGAAGCGACGCGCTCGGTGCTGCACGAAGTCATGGAACAGCAGACCGTCTCCATTGCCAAAGCGGGCATCATCACGACGCTCAACGCGCGCACCTCGATCCTCGCCTCGGCCAACCCCATTGGCAGCAAGTACAACCCGGACCTGAGCGTGCCGCAGAACATCGACCTGCCCCCGACGCTCCTCAGCCGCTTCGACCTCGTCTACCTGGTCCTGGACCGCGTCGACGAAATGAACGACCGACGCCTCGCGCGCCACCTCGTGGGCATGTACCTCGAGGACACGCCCGCCAACGCCTCGCGCAGCGAGGTCCTCCCCATCGAGTTCCTCACGTCGTACATATCGTACACGCGCGCCAACGTGCACCCCAAGATTGGCGACGAGGCGCAAAAGGCGCTCGTCGACGCGTACGTGGCCATGCGCGCCCTCGGCGCCAGCGTGCGCGACCAGGAGCGCCGCATCACGGCCACGACGCGGCAGCTCGAATCCATGATCCGCCTGTCCGAGGCGCACGCTAAGATGCGGCTCAGCGGGACGGTGACGCGCGAGGACGTCGACGAGGCGGTGCGGCTGATCAAGGCGGCGTTGAAGCAGGCGGCGACGGATCCGCGGACGGGCAGGATTGATATGGGGCTTTTGACGGAGGGGATGAGTGGCGGGGAGAGGAGGAGGAGGGAGGATTTGAAGAGGGGGGTGCTGGAGATTTTGGATGAGTTGGCGGCGCAGGGGAGTGGGGGGGTTAGGATGGGGGAGATTGTGAGGAGGCTGAGGGAGGGTGCTGGTGGGGTCGAGGTGGAGCAGGGGGATGTGGTTGAGGCGGTTAGGTTGGCTGAGGTCGAGGGGTCGGTGGTGGTTAGTGGTGAGGGGGGGAGGAGGGTCGTTAGGAGGGTGGTGGGTGGTGGTGTTTAAGCCTGTACGAATCGCGGTGAATTGGGCGATGTGGAAGGGGATATACTTGGGCTGGGCATGGTATCTATGAAGGTTACACGTCTTGATGCCATAGTGGTGTTATGGAAATGATTCTCTTCTTCGCGACGAAGTAGATATGGCATTATGCACACTCATGAAATCGATATCGGATCCACATTGTATATTTCATTGAAGCTATGGTCATAACAAAAACATATCCTGCTCAGACATGACGGACAATAGCCTCAAAACTCCCAGCCGTGCAAAACAGATAACCCATCACAATGTAAAAGAGACCCTCCATGGTATCTTGACTCCAGCCCAGCCTAAACGCCCATGCTGACAACGCTAAACTCCCCATCTGCTATACTATCATGACCAGTGCGTCAGTGCCACATCCACAGCCCAAATTTCCTTTTCTCACTTGTATACCAAGCCGGCGCGATAATAGTTTGTGATCACTACTCTGTTAGTCAGACCCTCCGCTTCTTAGTCTGCATGAAAACATTCGGTTCCTCCCTCTTCCTCTTCTGCACAGCCTGAGTGGGGAGATTAGCATTGACATTGGTAACAGAAGCGGCAGGAGGGGAGGTAGTAGACGGTACCGAGCTCGCAGCATTCTTAATCCTGATCTTCGGCACCGAGAAGCGCTGACCCTCGGGGAGTCGGGGTCGCTGCGGCGGAGCTCCACCCTTCGTGGTCGTAGCCGTGGCCGTGGTCGTCGCGGCGCTCGCTCCTCCTCCTCCTCCTCTTCCCGCAGCCCGATCCAACGCCGCCTTGTCCATCTTCGCCGCCTCGTTCAAGCGCAACAGCCTCTCGGGAGCCTTGTCCACCTTGCCCAACTGCTGAGGTGCCCGCAGCGGCGTCGTGTTCCGCGCCATACCGGCATTCTTATCCCTGAACAGGCCCTTCTTGAACTTATCCAGCGCCTCACGACCCGTCGACCTCGGACCCGGCTGACCCCCCGAACCTCCCCATCCCGCCTTCCTCTTAGGAACCAACCTCGCCAAGCGACTCCCCGGCTCGATAATCAAGGTACTCTTATTCTTCTCCTCGGTCAACCTCTTCATCTGCAGCCGGAGCTTCTCCTCCTGCGCCGCCTTCTCCCGCTCCGCCTCGCGCTTCAGCTTCGCATACACCTTGTGCCAGTTCTTGGGGTTGTGCGGCTCGTGCGGCTTCTTGTCCCAGCCGGGGATGTCGCGCTTGATGAAGCGGAGCCAGAGCTCGCCCGTCTCGCCTTGCAGCTGCGGGCAGTTGCGCTCGAGGGTCACGAGTTGGTCCGGCGATTGCAGGTGGCGGAGGATGGGCGCGACGAAGGCGTAGGGGAGGTCGCCGACGTCTTCGATGGAGTCGATGGAGGCGATGGCGCGGGCCTTGGCTAGGGAGTAGAGGGATGGAGCCGGCATGGTGATTGTGGCTGTTGGTCGATATATACTGGTTGCTGTGCGTCTGAGGAGTCGAAGACAGATGAAAGACGAGGGTTGACAGGGATATCCCGGATCCGTCGTGTCAATAAATATCTTGAGCACACTGCGTCAAACAGTCCGAGGAAGTAGTCGAGAAGTCCAAATAGACAACGTAGTTAAGCAACGAAGACGAACAAGTCCAGCCGGAAGTCGAGACGTCGAGAAGAGGACGAGGTGGGCGGATGAAGCCGGTATATATATTCGGGGGGTGGGAGGGGGCACAATACAAGCCCAACACAATAGGAGCCCGACACAATGGGAGACACAACCCCTGAATAGGCTTCACCTCACTCCGACGTTTGCCTTCTATTCACCGGCCGGAAACCGTTCGTCTCGTCGCGGATATAGCGGGTTGCATTTGATAATATTGGAGGCAGCGATATGACGAGTATTGTACTTCTTTGCGGGTTTTCGTCTCCCAGAAAGCTGTGCTGGATAAAGAGGAAAACAGGACGATTGGGACAAAGCTTGCTAAACTGCGTCGTGGAGCTCAAGTGTGAGTCTAGGTGTGAATGTGAATATTGTCAGAAATGACAATGAACGAGTGAAGTGACGTTGAATATGTGACCCCTGTCAGAGCGGGAGCCCTGGAAATCAGTGGGGCGCTAGTGTTCTTGGCAAAGTATCCCGCCAATGCATCTTTTTGGGCAAGCTCCAACTTATGGACGAACAACTGCTGATCGATTGGAATTGTAAACTGCGCCATCACTGCTATCCCCACCATCTCCGTCCACCTACATCCAACCCATTTGATATTCCATTTCCAATCTCATAATGTCCGCGCCAGGCTGGGGACTCCTTCCCCGCGAAGAAGAAGGTACCTTTGCTATGTCCCCATGCAAACCAACCCATTCGTACGCTTTTACTAACACACCCCCACAGAAGCCCTCCACAACATCTCCCGCCTCATAACCATCGAATCCCGCCCCTTCACCCGCATCTCCACCCGCCTAAAAACCTCGCACTTCTCCTCCCACCGCCCCATCCAACTCGCCTCCCCACCCCCGGACGCCTCCTCCGCCGACGACCACGCAGTCGACGACCACGCCGCCAGACAAGCCGAGCAAATCGCCGCAATCAAAACATGGCAGCACGACCTCATGAACGAAATGGAACTCCTCGACTACGCGGTCCTGCGCATGGAACTGACGACCAAAAGCAACCAAGCCGAGCGCCAGCGCTACGCCGTCGAGAAGGAGGGCATCACGTCCAAGCAAGCGGCTGTGCGAGCGCACATCGAAACCTTACGCACGGAGCTCGAGGCGGCGCGCGCCACGCTGTCGACGCGCAAGGCGTGGGACGCGCTCGCGCAGGACATCTTCACCAACATGGCGAGCCAGAAGTCGCGCGAGGACCAGGCGGCGGCGCATGCGAAGCTGGACGAGGAGATTGGCGAGCTGCAGGCCGAGGTGGAGGGGTCCAAGAGGACGTGGATGGAGAGGAGGGTGCAGTTTGGGCGCATCGAGGACGAGGTCAAGGAGATGTTGAGGATGATTAAGGATGAGAAGGAGGAGGCGGAGAGGAAGGAGGGGATGATGAAGGAGGGGGATGAGGGGGAGGATGGGGGCCATGGCGAGGGGACCGCGTCGAGGGGGATGGGAAGCCAGATTGGTACGCCGAGGTTGGAGACGGGGGCGGGGACGCCGATGCATGGGGAGGAGGGTTCGCAGGCGAGGGAGCAGTCGCAGTCGCAGTCGCAGTCGCAGTCGCAGTCGCAGTCGCAGTCGCAGTCGCAGTCGCAGTCTCAGACCCTACGGCTGCCGCGGGATCGATTGCATTCGTTCTCACGGGGCGCGACTAGTGCTCCTTCGCCTGGTGTTTCCGCTGCTGGAGGTGACACGCCCATGGTTGACAAGGGCGACGATTCCTCGATAGAGGAAGGTGAGGAACAGGAGGACGAGGAGGAGGAAGGCCTCGTGGAGACTATGGATGAGACTTGATATGGTAATGCGTGCCGCCTAGCAGAGATCTGGGCGGTGCCACCGAGTTTCATTTCGAGGGTGTGACGTCTTTTTAGGGGACGTCTACGGCCTTCTCTCTGACTTTATGCATAGCGCGGCGTTCCGGTGTACAGTATTGCGGTAGATATATACCGGCAGGTATTTCCTCCTAAGGCGCAATAGTGGGCAGGTAGTGTGAGGGTTGGACATTGAAGAAAACAACAAGCCCTTCCATCGACTGTTCTTTTCAGGTCCAAATGTGTGCTAAAGGTGTTTATGGGTTGAATTCAGCGGGCAGACTCGAGAACAAGAGTAAGATAAAAGACTCAAATTGGTACATCGAATCAAGGGACAAGTGCAAGGAACTGGCGGGTGCAACGGACGCCATATAGGAAGACTAGACCACAACAACTCAGAGACCAAAAAGTCGCTTCTTCGCCAGCTGTAAAGGGAAAAGTTGACTATACTTTCGTTGTTTCCCATCACAATCCTAGATAAGTTCCCTTGGGAAGCAAAATCCTACGTTTTGGTATGGCTGAAACGCTCATACAGCATGCACCACCCCATTTGACATTCCACAAGGCATCCATGAAATGAGGAGCTTAATCATGATTGCTTCTATTGGGAAAGCTCTCTTGAGCATCATGGACACCCGGAACCCAGTGTTCCACCACCACCACCACCACCACCACCACCACCACCACTGCACCACACTCGCCTGTAAAAGCTATTCCCACCCTCTAACCTACGCTCGATGCTTCATAACTCCGCCACATCGTTTATCCTCCAAATCCAGCCGTATCGCCATCTCCGTCTCCAGATTGACGCGGGGTTAAAATCCACCACGCAGCGCAAGCACCAGATGCAGCGTCGCACCGCCCTCCAGATTGTACTCCGCGGCAGTCTTGTCGTCACTCCTGGATGCAGCACGTCAGCTCCTCGATCTCCTCTGTGCTTCCAGACGGAAACTCTCTTACTCCCAGGAGATAGGAAGAAAGAGGAATAAAGAAGCGAGGCGAAAGGGTAAGGGAATAACCAAAGAGGAGATAACGTACATCTGTTTCCCGCCAAAGATGAGGCGCTGCTGCGCGGGGGGGATGCCTTCCTTCTCCTCGACGCGCTCTTTTATCCGCGAGACCTTGTAGTCCGGCTCGATGTCCAACTCAATCTCCTTGCCCGTGAGCGTGCGAACCCTAGGATTTCACCCGTCAGCATTTCCATTCCGAAACTTCAAACCACACGTCTCCCCATCCGCCCAAGTTTCTGCATCCCCCATCTACAGCCCTTGACCCCAGCCTATATCCCACTGGCCCCTATCCCGTCTTGTGCCAATCCGCTTTGTCCGAATCCCCAAATCCAGGAGCGAAAAACCTCCAAAGGACATAGGAAGGAGAATACCTACTTAATCTGCATCTTGCCCCCTCAATATCTATCCCGCAAACACAAAGACGGATTCGTGCTCTCTTCCTTCCCTTATCCGCTGCTCGTATGCTATTGATTCGGATTGGAACTCGGTTTCCGGTCGGTGATGAAAATGCGTGGCTCGACTTGAAGCTAAGTTCGACCTACAGGCACCGATCCCGGGTCCTGGATCGTGGGGTGGGGGCTGGGTACGGAGTAGAGGAACGTGGCAATTCGCGCAGTCCGCTTCGATGGTGGAAGGAAAGAGGAGTGATTCAAGCGGCAGAAGCTCGTTTGGGCTGAGGTGGTCAACTATATAAGGCAAAGCAAGCAAGCTCTCGAGATTGTGGAGGTGAGGCAATCGCGGGGCTCGCCGGAGCCATCGGAGCCATGCGCGGGGCGCATAAGTGGCGGTGCAATGTGGCGCACCCTGCCCTTTCCTATAACCACAGTATTGAAGCGTAAATGTAGTGTAATCTTCACACACCATTCATACACAAAAGTGTAAAATGAAGTATCAGACTCCTCAAATATTCCAGTTTGCCGCAGCCCTCGCCATAGCGAGATTTGCCAACTCCCTTTTCCTCAAGCCTATACCAAATATGTAATATACAAATATGCTTTTGACAGCTCCGAACGCTGGGGAAAGTCAAATGCAGCTGGTCAACGCAAAACACCTTTCGAATGGCAGCCCTCCAGGAATGCCTCGTCCAACAGAGTTCCGTCATTTGAAACTTTGCTGGCCAGCTGCTGCAGACGTAGAAGTGCAAATACATATTTACAAGAATGCATGCGTGCATGCTACAAGCACGGCAGACCAACTAGGTAAATCCTCCCACGCTGCAAAGGTTGAATGGAAAGGAGAAGAAACACAGACGCCGAAGAAGAAGGTAGAAGGGGTATTTTGATCAAATTGAAGCCGACGGGAATGAATGAAACCCCAGGAAAGAAAAGAAATAATAAGAAAAGGAGAAAGAAGAGCCCTATCAAAGAGCATCCACAGCGGGCCTTCAGACCAGAGGAGCACTACGCTTGACGTATTGACGGAGGCAGGTGTCCAACGCTTTGGATCGGGAAGACGAGCATGCATTGTACTTTTCGAATCGCACATGCAGTGAGATGCAGGGATTCATGTAGGAGTGGACAAAAAGTCGACAGTCGCAGCATAGGAATATCGTGTTTCGCAGGCCTTTGACGGGTGACAAGTACCCAGCCCACAGCGGGAGGCATCATGTCAACACCTCTTGACGAGACTGCCAGTCGGAGAGCGATGGATGCACGTCCACCTGGACCCGTGTCGCCATCTTAGGCTATAATAAATAATACAGCAATAAAAAAGAAGGCGGTTCATCGAGATGATAGGAGGCGATAACTGAGTGTCCTTTGGGGGAATTCGAACCTGAGACAAAGGATTGATGAACCCAATTCGGGCATTCTGATTACCCGATCGGGAGAAATCATGGTTTGATGAAGCGTTGGATCAAATCGTTCTCCCATCATGGATGTCGCGTAAGCCGGGCCGTCGTCCTTGAATCCCTGCCGTTTCAGAAGACCAGCAGTCAAACTGATGAGAATCTCTTCATCTGATGACACTGCACTTTATTGGTATGCTGAAATATGCAGATAGTCATCTCTCCAAACTGGGTGACAACGAATCCAATCACCGAGGCGGCATTGCTATGTATAGCCTCCAATGGAAGAATACCGGGGTGGTATCTGGTTGACGTCGACATATAAGGATGCCAAGAAGAGGCCGAAAATGGGAACGGCGTGCAAGCCAACTTTGAGGCCGAAGTGAGATCAGCCGTAATCTAATGTCGCAGAATAGGCGGTTCGAGATGGTGCGTCCTACCATACTTGGAAACATTGCAGAATTGACAGTGTCGATGCTCGATGGGCTCATATTATTGAAGGGCTGCGGGTGGGGTTCGGGGGTCGCGACGTCGCAAGTTCTGCAGTATGCCGGTGATGTGATGATTGCAACTCAGAAGCTTTTCCTGTGGTGGAGATTTCATCTCGCTTGCAATGCCTGCAATAGATTCGTATGCGCCCCAACCAACCCTGCCATCTCCGATGATAACATCCCAATCGTCAGGAAGACTAGTGAATGCGCCAAACAGAGGAGTCTCCCGAAAGAACAAGGCGACCGCGAAATAATGCGGGCTCGACGTTTTGGAACAAGCTTCGTTGCGAAGAAATTACCCTTATTGATATATCCTCCTGAGGAATAAAGGGTCGATACCGGGGACTGAATTTGCACTGAAATTGCACCCCCAATGACTCGGAGTGTCTTGCCAAATATTATGCTCTGGAGAAGTGTGCGCCGGCGACTGCTTGTTGTTTCTGATCTGGCAGAGTTCTGCTCGTAGGGTCAAGGCCACGGAAGTCGTTGAAGCGATCGATATGGGTGGCCAGTGGAAACGGGAGATATCCGTCGCACAGGCTCGCGGTGTATGTCGTCAGTGGATCTATTTGTCGTGCAACTAGCATTTATTGAAGGTGTCGCGTGTACCCCGTCTCCGACAAAACGTTGTTTCCGGTGTTGGTTCCCGCGCTGCGAATATTCTACACTCCGTGGCTCTCCTCAGTAACGCGACGAGAGGCTGAAGAGGGTGTTACTGCCTTCCCTCTTCTCGCTTAGAGAGAGGCGCACCCTCATGGCTATGGCTGGGAGAATGTCGAGACGACGCGGGAAGGGGGTGTTCAGTATGATGTGACGTCGGAGACGGGAGTGCGGGGCGTTGGTGATGGGGTTGCTGATGTTGATGCCAGTCCCCTTGCGTTTCGTATCGAGACGGTTCATTGACCAAAGACGGTTCATTCGGCGGTGGACGTCGACCATAATGGTAACCTTCATCGTGAGACGCCCGGTAATGTCTTTGCTCCGGCACATTGGTACGAGTTCCACTCCGCTCCGTATACTCCTGCCCATACCCCTGGTTGGGTCTGTTTAGAGTAGCTCTGAGGGTATCACCACGTGTAGATGCGTCAGAATGGCCTCGGGCGTGGCCTCTTTGGGGTGTGGAGGTGGAGGAAGACGATACCTGCGAATAGGAGGGCGAAGTATGTGTTTGAGGTGCCGATGTTGGAACCGGAGGCGCTGGGTGGCCTCCTTCCGCCTTCCGCTTCTTTGGGGAGCTGGCATAGTTGGCGTCTGACGCATCCGTAGCTGCACGCGCACGGGGCGGGAACGAAGCGGAGGCTTTGTATTTACCTGAAGGCGTTGCAGGCGCGTTGCCGCTTGACGACTTTTCTTGCTGAGAAGAAGGGGGCACCCAATGGTAGAAGTACAACGACGACTCTTCTTGTTGCGCCGGCTGAGCCGATTGAGTCTGTTGCACGGATGACGGCGCCGTGGGTGGTGGCTGTATTGACATCTCGTTTGTTGCGAGTTTCGGAAGCTGTGATGAAGGCGGCGGCGGCGGAGCCGGCATGGGAGCGACGGCATGGCCGGGGAGCGGCACACTACCGCCTGGATAGGCTGATGAAAAGACACCGTGGTGCGGCTGCCCTTGCAAAGGCTGTGTGGGCAGCACAGAACTCGGAGGCGGAGGTGCTGCCTGTTGGGGTGCAGACGAAAGGACGTACGTTCCAGGCTCAATATGTCTTCGGGACGCTGTTGGAGACTGTGCCGTCGGAGGGGCATGCTGTTGCCCTTGTTGCTGTTGTTGTGTAACCTGTAGCTGGGCCGCATATTGTTGAATCAGGTCCATAGTCCAGTTCGACACATTCCCTCCTCCAATGCCTGCGAATATTAAAGGAACCAGATGCGGTGGGACACCGCCTTGCAACGACTCCTGAAGCATTGATCGTTCGATTTTCCGTTGTTCAAGCTTCAGTTCTCCTTGTCTAGTTTTTTCCTCCTCCTGCTTCCGTCTATCTTCCTCGGCTTTGGCAAGGAACCAGTCTTTTGTATTGCTCTCGACATTTGGTGTTTGTGAAGTTTGCCAATGGGGCGTGGATGGAGGGGGAGGCCCCGAAGAACCTTGCTGATGTGTTGGTTGGGTCGGAGCAGGAAGTGATGTTAAGGGGTGTGGGAGTCCTCGCAGAGGTGCGGCCATGGTGGTTGGAGCACCCGCCGGCACTGAAGAGAAAGGTCCGCCTTTGAGTTGGGGGGAGTATCGCGCGGACGAAGCTGAAGGGAAGATCGGAGAGTAGGCATGAGTCTTGGTTTCGAATTCAGACTTCGCTGTCTTGGGAAGCGTAAGCAACATGAACGGTTATAGAGGGTTTGTACGTTTATGTCGAAGGAGAATTGAATGCGGGCGGCATCGGTGATGGTGTTGAAGAAGTGACCTCAGGATTTCCAACCCCGAACAAGGCGAACCACATACATAAATATGGAGGAACTATTCTGACCAACGTCCACCTATGTATGCCCCAGTTCGCCGCAGACAAGACGGGGATGCCCTGGCACGGACGGAGGCCTACTGTGATTCGCGGGTAAAGGCGATGTAATAATGAGGACGGTTACAGGGACGCTGACGATCTTGGCTGGTCGCTGACCCACAGGGGCATCCAGACCGTGGGTGATGGATGTTGATTTCAGAAGGATGGCGGATGTTGAGAAGTGGGGAGGGGAAAGGAGCGGAGAAAGTTTCGTACTCTGGACTAGGAGGGAAGCTGGCTATCGGCTAGTCTCCCGCAAGGATGACTGCACTTGCCAGTTGCCGGTAGTAGTTGGGTCTCCGAGTCTCAGACTTTTGAGAGCAAAGAGCTCAAACCAAACGACAAAGGAGCCCGTGTGGCGTAACATATCTTTATATAAGGCGGCCAGGAGTGAGCAGAGAATGAGATTGCAAGGACGTGCATGAGGAGCACAGCTGGCTTGCCGGTTCGTAACTGTGTAGGTAGACCGCCTCAACGAGCCCTGCCACCGGGTGGTATGTACTGTGATGATTTTAGTATTATTAGAGCCTGGTGCCGCGTTGTACTCTGGCTCTAGCCTGGCTCCTCTTCCCCCGTCGGGCTTCGTTCGCAGCGCCACTGCCTGTGACGGTTGCCTCGGCCAAGCAGAGAGGGGCGCCATCGAAGAGGTTGGAGAAACGGGAGAGATGGTTAGTTTTGCGAGCCAAGCTCCCCATGGCCGCTGTGTCGCCTGACGCCTCTGGTTGTGTGTCCCTTTTGTATGCAATCATGTTGAACGGTTTGATGATGCTGCCCACTGTTACTTCATCAACGCCCGCCTATGGTTCCGATTGCAGCTGCACTACTCCGCAATCGAGCCTACCATTCAACCGAACGGACAGTGACCGCCTCCGAATCTCGGGAGGAGAACCGCGAACCCCGCAGCAGGAACAACAGCAATTCACCATGCTTCACAGTCCAATCTGTTGCGATACAAAGCGCGTAGCTCCAAGACAAGTACTCCGTACTCGTGTTGAACAGGACCGCTCAGGGCTTTGTCGCCGATGCCATCCATTCATGGGTGAGGGCGCTTCCCAGTGCCCGCCTCGTGGCTCGTGGAGTCTCAATGTCAAGGGACCAGCACCGTGGCGAGGACCAGGAGGCAGGGTCAAACGTCCTTCGGGAGCAAGCGAGCGCAATTCTTTGGAAGATTAACGCCCTCCCGCACGGACGGCGGCGCTGCTCCTTCGGGACTCTTCAAGGCTCGGGTCACTCGAGGCTGTGTTGGAGGAAATGAAGGGTGGTTCCAGCTGTCAGACCTTTGGTACCTCATCCCAAAAGCAGCACAGCGAGATGAAGCTGCGCTCTGGCGGAGCCGCCATGCATCAACACGAAACTGGGAGCAGACAGAGATCCATGGCAGCGAGACCCACCACCCTCAACCACCTTTGATTTGCAACTTGTGACGAGTACGGAGTACTGTATGGGTCCTAAACAGGCAAGCCTCCAGATACTGTCACTGGGACTGTCATGGCGAGCCAACGGCGGCCTTGTCGACCCAACGCACGGCCGTGACACGCAAACACCTTGCCTGTCTGTCAGCCCTGAACACAACCCTGGCCATCTTTCGACACGACCGTCCTGGTATCGATGAACCGATAAGCAGCAGCACCATTATTAGAGAGACGCGGCGGCCGTTGGGTACTCGGTGGCAAGGGTCCCCATTTGGCGCCTTTTGCGTGACAGCCGCCAACAAAGGATATCAGAGTGGGCGCACGTGTGGCCTCTGTGCTGAGGAAGGTGGTGCGCAGTACAGTGGTTGCCAGCCTGAGGGAGGAGTAATAATCCGTCCCGAGGACCTCTGCTACCGTTCAACTCTTCAGTACCAACAAATAGTAACGAGGGGCTTGCCCGACGAACACGGGTTGCGCAATCACCAAGAGCCTGGCTCTGGATTTGTCGAGCATGGACTTTGCCTATTCCGTTACGACAGGGCTCTATCTGAAACGTGTGGCGTGGCGCCCGCCGTCCCCAAATCAGTTGAAGACGGGATCGCTGTCGGTTCTGGGGCGCGTCCAGACGCTGTGGCCGGTGATCAATACGGTTGTATCGATGGCGTCGCTCTCCCACGGCACTTGGACTGGGGTCAGAGATGAACTTCCTCGTTGACGCCTCAATTCCTGTTGATGAACAGCAAATGTCCGTAGGAGCTGAGGCGGTCGATGGATGGGTAAAGGCTCGTTTGAAGAGAGGCAAGCTGTACTTAGTGAACATAGGTTCCATGATTTGCTCCCGAGATCCTTGGGATGAAGCTGAGAGAAACCGATTCGGCTCCGCAACTGGCATGCTCGGAACGGCCGGCGGGCCTTTCAAAAGTGGATTGCAGCCACATCTGCAGCCAATTTCGACCAGAAATCCGGTTGCCGGGGATCCAGATTTCCTGATTTGGGTCCGGCTTCTCTCATCACAGTGCGACGACTTGCATCGGCATTCCAAGGATCAAGAAATTAACGTGTCTGGCGAATGGGGTAAGGTCAATCGGCGGACTCCGTTCCCAAGGCGTGCCTCTGAAACTCCGTTGAAATGATGTTGGGCGTTAAATGGCATCAGGACCTTTATGGATGAGGTTAGTTCTTTTTACTTTCCCATCAACACCGTCACGGTTCCCAGGGAGCGCGTAACAAGATGAGAGCTTGGGAAAACAATCTCCCAGTTTATATGGTGGCATATTGACTGGGTAATCCGGCTCCCGCTTCCATCCCAGACATGTCAATGTGTTCTGAGATATCCAGATGCGTCGTCACAGGTGAATGTGGAAATGACCGCGTCTCAGAGAGGACGCATAGACCCGTTCTTTAGCCGTGGGTATGCCTCGTGTGTCCAGAAAACCAAAGATGCCGGATACTCTCATCAAACTCCATCCGCAACCCGACTCGAGAGATCCGAGTGACTCGTGCGTCCATATCAGGGCGACGGAACAGAACGGGCTGACCCCAATCCCCCATCACTGTGTCCGGCCTTCTGCGCCACCGTCCCCAGCCACACGCATCCACGTCCCTCTCTTTTTATATCCAACTCTTTCTCGGACTCGGATAGACATGTCTCTCGATCTCCACCTTCCTCACCCACACTGGGAACATACCGACTGGGCTTGTAGCAGCCCAACGGCCGCGGTTGCAGATCTCTTCGCCTCGCCTTGCGGGTCTTACGGACCCTAACGTTGCTATCCAGGCACAGTCAAAAGATCAGCACTGTGAATCCGAGGATCACCGGTTGGACCTGCTCGGGAGGGCCGATTGGTGGGAGGAGGCGGCGCGGACGGTGTACCGGTGCACAGGAGCGATACCGTGATAGAAACTGGTGTACTCCCTATGGAGTAAGTGGAGATGAAGGAACGTGAGGGAATGAAGCAGAGGAGAGGAAGAAGAAGAAGAAGAAGAAGAAGAAGAAGAAGAAGAAGAACGGGAACCGGAATGGCTCGGTAGAAAAAAATGTCCGAAGCACCAAGGAAAGCGCAATCATAACCGCTCCTTTCCCATCAGAAGGGGAAGTTCCCTCGTTATCTACCAGCTGGGCAACCTTGGAAGGCGCGTACGAATGCGCCACGTGACCAGCATACACATCCCGAGGTCTCCGCAAAGTTTTCAAATAGTGCTTTATAAAGGAGCCGTTGCATGCAAGTATTTTTGTAACTGCGGGGGCGTACCACCCCGTGCCCCCTACCTATGTACTCGTCGGGGAAGGGTTAGACGATCGAGGCATTGGTGCCATTAAAGATTACATATTATGGGTAGCTAATTCCCTCTACGAACATTCTAAAAGCTACAATAAGTGATGCTGACGTCGTCCTACTCCGAACCAGCAATGGGGGTATGAGAAAAGGCCCTCCTGAGGGCAAAAGACGGAAAAGCACTGTGGTATCTAGGTTCAAGTCATCCAACACAAGCCAGCCCATGCAGCATAGAGAAAAAGAAAAAGAACTTGATCGACCAGTCGTAACACTAGTAACACAACGGCGTCGAATTTCGTAAAGGGCGAAAAGTCCCCAGAGCGGCCGTCTATCGTAATGATTGCCGTGCTAAGCAGGAAAACAAATACCGATGCATGTCCAGGAAACCGCAGGTCGTGATAATGGTGACTCCCGGTTGGCAACGTCCGGCAAGAGGGAAGATGTGCAGAGCCGCTTTGTCTGCACGCGATCCGGATCAAGCCCAGCTGACCCAGGAGATCCGCAGTGCAACCCGTCGTTGACACTTTCGAGTAAAGCCTAGAAACGCTGCTAGAAGTGCTTTTCGCAGGCCGGTGGAGCTGTAACTGCAGCGACGCTCGCACATCTGACCTTCTCGCCTCACTATTGGGGAACGCCATCCTTCATGTCGCATTCCTTCGCTTCTTCCGCATCTTATATTCGGCTTTTGCCACCTTCATTAAGAGATCTTCGTCTTTGATTGGAATCCAGGACGTCAACACCTTCATCGCGTTCTCGAAATCTGAGTCCAGTAGAATTTCCTTCGTTGCGTCAATCAACGCCGCCGATGTCGCATGGAGCACGTCGAGATCACCGCTGAAATTGGACGGGGAGGAGGCGTGAGATATATCGCCCAGAAGCATGAATACGTCCCATACGCGAAGTTGAGCAGGGAAAGGTAACGAGTAGTTGAATAGTGTGAGATACCATCTTGTACCATAGGCGGTTGGTGAGACGTCCAATTCGGTCTGCGAGGGTCAGCCAGCTCACCAGGTTCGGGCCTGATACTAAGACTTACCAATTTTTTCGCTACATCTCTGCCGCGCATCCAGTTCTGCTCAAAGTCTTGCAACGCTTCCATTAGCCCTGTGAAGCCCTTCTCATACAGCTTCTCCAGCCCCCGGTGCATCCACAGTCGTACCAGCATCACAAATGCCTTGTCTTCTTCGTAATAGCAAAGGAGCGTTGCGGCTAGGGGAGCCATTCCTTGAACATAGCCAGTCTCAGGCAGATACAGCGACATGGCATGGAGTACTCGAAACAGGAGACGTTGACTGGCAACTGTCAGCAAGAATCAAAGTCTTAGTGATGCAGCACGCACCCGCCCCGGTACCTCCTGCGGAACATAATGTGCCTGTTAATCGTTCTGGGGACATCCATGTCAATCTGAACGTCATCTGCCGAGCTCTCTTCTTGGAGCTCATAAAAGGATTCGATCAGTTCTTCGTCGGTTGGGCTGTCCTCAACTGCCTTTGCGCTGGCGGCCAAGAAGGAATACCACGCGGTCGCACGCCAGCGATCGGGTATGCCTTTCCAGGTGCGGGATGTGACTTTTGAATCTTTCACATCGAACTCAAACAACATACCTCCGCCTTTCGTGCCCTCTTTAACCACTTTCGCCATTTTCCTCCATTTCTCTTCTCTTTCCATCTCTTTCTTCTTCATCGCCTGCGCTGCCTTTCCGTCTTCTGCTTCCTCTGCCAGTTCCGCCAGGCCCGGAGGCAGCTTCAGCATATCGCTTGCTTCATCAAGGAGACGGCGATTTCTGTTGTGCGGTAGTCGATTGGTAGCTTGTCGGAAAGGCTTCTGTGGGGTACGTCGAGTGTGTGCAGTTCGGTTAGAAAATAGAGATGGCTGAACTTGAGAAGATCTCTGCGACTGCCGTCGAGCGTGCCCCTTGGCGATCGCCAACCGCCCTGATCGTGCTCGGGATACACTGCGTCCAATCCCTCCCCTGTTTCTTGGTTCTTCGGACGCAAGCTTCAGCAATGTTGTTACTCTCTGTATCCCAGGCTCGTCAGGGCCGTCATCCGGTCCCTGGCTCGCAGACCCGCCGGACGGGGCTTTCTTAGGCATGATAAACCCATACCGGTCGACCTCTCCACCCTCGACATCCGTCCAGTCCTCTGCTCCTCCTGCTACTTCGGCCGGTTCCCTCACGATCATGCTATCCCGCTTAGTGTCTCTTGCAATCACGCTTCCCCGTTTTGAGCTGCGCAAAGAGCTCGCGTCCTCCAAGGTCACTGTCAGACTGGATGTATTTGCAGGAGTGCCAATCACACTGCTGCCAGGAAAGCCATTCCGCACGCTTTCATCCTCTTCCTCCAGATCGTCCCAGTTAGCTGCGCTCTCGTTCCCGTGCTTGTACATGGCTCGGACTTTCCGCGACAGCATCGCCTCGTCGGTAGACAATATACGGTTGCTGACCACTCGCCTCCGCATGGAGTTCCCAGAAAGCGAACGGGCGGTCCGACGCGGAATGCAAGGTGCCGAGAGCTGTTGTTGCCCTGCCTGCGCGTTCGTTTCCTCATGTTTCTCCTCCTTGTCGTCCGATTGCGTTTCGGCTTGTTGGTTAGACTCAGAGGATGCCTCAGCGACATGGCTGAGCTGATTGAAGTTCATCTTGTTCGCCCGCTTGCCCCCTAACAACATGCTCCCCCTCTTGGAGAAAGAAATCTGGGTCGGGGATGTCAAATCGTCAAAGCCCCCGGTGGGTATAACGGTATCTATGGCTTGGAAATCAAGTTTGCGCTCGGAAGGGGTCCCGCTCTGCGACGGGTTGTGCTGCGATGCGCGGCTGCTGGACGACGGCGGTGTTGGCTCATGGTGAACGGTGATGACAGGCAAGCTTGGCGCCTTGTGCAGGCTGGGAGAGGATGATGAAGAAGTCGCGTGAGTGGGAGCTGTAGAGTCCGCGCCGTCACAGCTGGTAGTAGAGGTCGCCAACGCCGAGTCCCGGCGGGTATCGTCGATCGCGCTGTTCGTGAGGAGTGTTGTTTTGTTGAAAGAGGACACAGACGTTCTCGGGCCAGGAGAGGTCCTTGGACGGCGAACACTGCTCAGCCAACCCCGCGACCCAACTCGTTTGCTTGTGCCAGAGGGGGTTGTCCGGTGGCTGGTGTGAGGGTCGAGGTCGCTGTGGTTGTTGGGGTTTGCGTCAGGCGCCGCCTCATCATTCATGGTGTCCCGAGTCTTTTGCTGGCTGGCATCCAGTTAGGCACAAGGTTCGGGACGGAGATGAAGATCGCGGCTCGTGGGAAATGAAGGGTGGTGAGGCCGCAGAGGGTGCTAGGTTGGGTGAATCCTCGAACGAGAGGCGGTCGGGATGGAGGCGTGCGGCGCCGGGGGTGGAGATTTGAGGTGAGTGAGAGATGAATCTGGCGGAGCGGTGCTCGAGAACAAGAGCAACGAAATCGACATCAGCGAACGCCTTCTTGCTGGCGGATATGGGACATTCAGGGGCATGTTGAGCTCTCGCAGTGACCCCAAACGTGTTGTGCCATGTTCGGAAATGACCCGGAGAGGACATAGCGACCCGCTCCTGATTGGCTCCTGCTCCTATCCTTGCACAATTACACATATCATGTCCTACTAACCTCCTCTCCCTCGAGCTCTCTTCCTCTTCTTCACTCTTTTCCTACGCACCCATTGTGTTTCCAATCTGCCATGTCAGACTCAATGCCTCGAAATGGCTGCTGTCCGTTTTTGTCTTTCGAAGAGCTGAGGCTCCTCTCACATCCCCTGTCTTGTCTTTCGGGTTGCTATGTGACAGCTCCACGCGCATCACATAGCAATATATCTCCTTGCCTAAAACGATCCACTCCCCGAGACGTGGCGCACACAAAGAGTCTGGAAACTTTATATTCTGCTCCGTCATTTCTAACCTGTGTACATATGCGGCATGACATCTCCTTTTTCCACATGTCACCGATTTGGGTTACGGGTCCGCAGTACGCTGTCAGACCGTCGCTGCATAAGTCTGCATTTTCGAATCTCTTCTGAAAAACCTACTGTTTCCATTGATATCCATCTTGTAAAGGGCCGGCCTTCCGTGATACCTCCTCTTCGAGCTGTCCTACCGTATCTTTGGATGGGTACCTTTAGAAATCCACCATTGCGTAACGACCACTTGGAAGTTGCTTCACCTCCTAAAGCTTCCCCTCTCGTCTTCAAGGGACGCGTACAGGGCATATCAATGGTTACTGGTTGAACACAACGCTCTCCTCTGTTACGACGAGACAAGATTATCTTACTTGGGTATACAGCCTATTCGACCAGAGAATTCCTTCGTTGCATTGGCGTTGCTCCGCATCTGTATTTCGCTCTCATCTTCTCTGACTTCTCTATACCATTTCCTACTCTGTTCTATCGTACATCCATTTCTCATACAAATAACTGAACTGCGCAATTCTTCTCGTTGGGTATCACATCACAAAGAAGGGAGAAAACGAGCCATGACACTCACACCTCCCCCCTTACCCCTTCTCTACGTGCCTCCTCGTCCGCCCTCGGCCGCTGCTGCTCCGACTCCCCATTGTTTCCCTCCCAATCCGCACTGGAACTCCTGTCACTAACTCTTTCACTCGGACTCAAGCTCGCACTTGCTCGCCGCTTCTCCACGGGATCCACATAATACACGGCCCTACAAACGGGACAACTATACTTCCTCATCAAAAACCAGCTCAGCAGACACTCCTCGTGGAACTCATGCCGACATGTCTGTAGCCTGAGAATCGGGCTCGGCTCGCTCATCGTCGCCGTTCTCGCTGGCGCCGAGAATGAGAAGGTTTGTGTGATTTGTCGTGTCAGGGTGCGGGGAGGGGGCGTGAGCGAGAAGAGAGAGGCGAGACATATTGCGCTGTTGCACTTGTCAGCTACGTTTCGTCCCCATCGAAACTAGATGGATGGGTAATTTGCCGGACGTACCACTCTCTCTCCAGCACGGAAGCAGACTCAGAGTCAGACTCAGTCCCCTTACCATCCTTCAACGCCTTCAATTCCTCCACGCTCAAGACTTTGGCAACGCCCTCGAGTGTCGTCCGCGCTGACTCGCGGTCTAGCGTCCGTAACTGCTGGATGATTCTAGGCGCTGCAGCTGGTGTACGTCGCGCAAGTCGGCGACGGCGGATGCGTATGCACACGCTGAAAGCATGTCAGTCTCTCTTCTCTCCTTTCCCATCTTCACCTATGAGTGCAGGATGCTCCGGGGGGAAAGGAAGGGGATACGAAAATGACATGGAAAAAGAAAGACAAGGAGACGTACAGAGGGCCGAAAAGGATAAGCGTGAACACGGTGACAATTACGCCTATTATTGCCGGCGTGAAGACGACTTGCTGGTTACCGCTGGGTACAGGTACTGATTCGGACTCCTGGCGTGTTAGGAGTCGGTGAGCGTGGGCGCTGGGTCCATTCGATCCGGGTAGGGCGGGCATGTATGTGTCTCCTTTATGTCGGAGAGAATGCGTAGGAGGGTACTTTAGGCGTATAGATGCTGCTATCCGAGATATCGTGTTTTCGGGATCCCCAAGCCAACGGTGATGGAGACACTTAGTCAACGATCCACTCCTAGCTCTTGCGATTGGTGAAGTGTTCCTAGAAGTTTGTAACGAGGCACTCGATAAGTCTGCTGTTGGCAAGTATAAAGATGTAGATATCGTAGGCCTAATAGAACTATCAAAGAATCGCTTCGTGTAGATGGTTTTATGTACACTCCAGAATTCCAAATTCCAAATCTCCTACCACGACTTCCCTCCACCGACTCGTTATCCCTCGCACGACCGCCGACTACGCCATACCCCTACATCCCCGTCCCTAACACGTCAAACAAACCTAACCTCAACCTCACATCACGTCACATCCCCCACAGCCCCCTTTCACGCCGGCACAGCCTCAACCACGTAGCTCCTAAACCAATCACTGAGCCCAAATCCTTTCTTGACCGGTGCAGGATTCTGTATCTATTGTCTCGCTAGGCGCTTTCTGCAATGGTATCACAGTATTATGGGATGAGACGACGCGCGGACGCAGAGGGGAAAATAAGTAGAGTGAGGAGGAACGAGAAGGGGCGGACGGGGACTTGGCGGCGCGTGAGGGTGGAGAGTGGACAGATGAGGGAAGTACCTAGGTACACCGGGCACAGCCTCACGCGTACGTAGGAACTTCGACAGTGAGATCTAGAACCAGGAGCCGCGGTGCGCTTGCTCGAAGGAATATGGACTGGCTGCCGGAGTTGCGCTTATCTGACTACTGCGTTGACCGTGTTCGATGACCAGCAACCGAGTATTTGGAATTCGAATAACGTGCTGAATCAGCTGACGCACGGTCTCACCTGGCGCACACTTTTGGATGGTCGCTACACACAAACTTGAAGCTGTAGAGCTATATATATATTGTAAAATCATCGGATTTTTTGTAGTAATAATCGGAGGGCCCTAAGGAGAAATTCTGGCCTCTTATTAGGTACCTGAAGCGCTCTGAGAGGCGGATTTGGCGGGTACGCGTTGAGGGGCTGGCATCAGGCACCTCAACTTCAACAGGCGATAACTCAGGCTCAGCAGGCTCAATATCCTTCGGCCTTTTTGCTAAGGCCTTAAGGCTATGCTGATTACCCTTTTTAGTAGATTTAATCTCATCGCAGAGTTGTTTTTTAATCGCTCTAGCCTCCCGAAGTTCGTGAGCTTCAAGAGCCTTATGCTCACAGGCTCGGTCCTGCTCTATTTTAGCAGCAGCCCTCTTACACCACCTTTGCTCGAGTAGAGCTGCTTTCTGAAGCTTCAGCTGCTCTCTCCGCTTCGTATTCTCATCCTTTTGAGCCTGTATTGCTCTCTCCTCGGCGTCCTTTTGTTCCTGGAGATCGCATGCTTTCTGGACCTTGGCTGGGGACCAAAATACAGCTCCACCATTGTAATCCTCTGGTGCCTCGAGCAGTAACACCTTACCCCACTGGCGGTGCTTTTTCTTGTTCACGAGGGCCTCTCGGAGCTGCATAACTTCATGCTCAAGTAGAGCTTTCTGTGTCACAATCGTGTAGATTGTGTGAGAGAGTTTTGAGATCCTAGAATCGTAAATATCTTCAATAACCTAGCATAATAAGTACTCAATTTTTCACCAGTCACTGGTGCTGAGTACTGAAGAGCCACTGTTATTTGAAGATGAGCACTCATTCTCACCAGCATGGAATCAGGCAAGGATTTTATCGGGATTGAGTGGCTCAAGCCCAGTGGCCTCGAAGGCCTTAGAGATGGTCTTTTTGATCAGCACTCCATCCCAGACAGCTCGAAAAAGGTGGTAGAAGTCTCTCTTTGTGATCGTAGAGAGTCCATGGCAGCTATCCATGAAGTGGGCGAGGCTGGTGCTGTACGCGCTCACGAGTGGCCCAAAGATGTAGACATCTAACGGCTGAAGGATATGGGTGCTGTGGGATGGAAATACAGCTAGCAGGATCTTATTGGCATCGTAATAGTCGATAAAATCCATCATTACATGAGATCCATGGCCATCCAGGATCAAGAGGTGATAGGATTGCCACACCTTTGCCTTCATCTCTCGATCGAACATCTGTTTGAGCCAACTGAGGCCGATATCGTGGTTGGTCTAGCCCGATGGTGATGAGGCAAAAAAAGGCTCTATCGACTTCTGGGTTGAAATCCTGCAGCCAGGTGTCCTGTATATTGCCAGAGGTAGCTTGATAAATCAGGCTCAGCATTAGTGCTGAGCCATCAGCACAAATACAAGCTATTGTTATAATCCACTCTCTGTTGCCATCCTGGAGTATTTTTCTAAACTTCCTAACCTCATACTGGCTCCAGAAGAACGGCCTTTTTGACTTAGCTATCACTCCGATAAGGAAGCCTTTCTCATCTATATTGTATATATACTGGCTATCGATCTTGTATTGCTCGATTTTATACATTAGAAGCTTGAAATATAGCTCATATTTCTGTGCTAAATCGGCTTTGAAGCATGTGGCATCAATCCTGGAGGTCCATCGTGAGATCAACCTGTCGCTGTGGTGGTTGACAAAGCACGTAACCTAGCATTTGCCAACGTCCTTTTTGGCGACTTCTGAGATGAAATTTCATATCATTTGCTTTGTAGGAGGTAGCCCGTGCATATTAAGATGCTCAATATACTCTATAAGAGCTTGTTCTTGCGATTCGTTGAGGTTGCGACATTTGATGATTTTCTCAGCCTTGGACTTCTGAATCCTGCGATGCTTTCTTGACAAAATTGAGTGCCCAACACCATAGTCTGCAGCAATATGAGTATAGTTAATTTTTTCTCCTGGTTTCAGCGAAGAGATTGCCATAAGAGCTGCGTCAATAGTGGCCATATTGGCTGAGTTATGGTGGGTTGAATATTTCGTGATTTTCGCCAAAGTGTACGCCAGGTGAGACCGTGCGTCAGCTGATTCAGCACGTTATTGAATCCAGCAAGATATCAGTTCGATTGCGCATGGTAGGGAACCCTAGAGTGCTCCGCCGTAAACACAGACGCATCTACCATTGCGCGACAGATGTTCTACTACAGTCTGAACGTCCATCGTGTTAAGACAAAAAGTGAACAATGTTGCAGTCTCACCTGAGTTCGAATATATTCTGCCCAACCTTGAACGCATTCAGACACCTCACCTCTTTCTATTCTCACTTATAAAAGTACACACTTAATAGCCGCCTCTTCCTATATAATCTACAACCATTCCCATCCTAATCGCCCAAACACAAGGAGCGAAAAAAAGGTCTAGCAGCTTTCCAAAGGCTGAGTCACGCAGTCATTGCACCGATTCGGCTGCTCGACCTTTTTTGGCAATATAGAGGGCGTTG